AGTTGGTAGACTGGCGCAAACATGCCCACAGTAAGCTCGTGATGAAGCAGATTGCGCTCTTTGGGTCGCAAAGATAGTTCCTCATAGATGAGAGAATATATCTTATTACGATGTTTTCTTGCTTGGCCCTTGGAATAGGTCTAGAAACAAACAAATTCTATCCCGTATATACCTAGGAAGGTAGATAGGTAGGCACGTAATTCAGGGATCTTGAAGATCCTCCCCCCTGTCGCTCATCATTGGAGGGGTATCCCTCACTGCCCTGAATTTCCCAAATCATTGGTGACTCTAGAACGGCGCGAGAACGGGTTCATAGAACGGCGAAGTAGACGCAGAGACGACGATCATGATTTGTTTCCGGATGCGATCGTATGTTACATATTACATACAGTAACGCGAACCTCACCCTTTCCAATTTTGACTTCGATCTAGTGACGTGTGCATTGGTGTTTAGATAGATGCTCTCAACAATATTCGATTCGGTGCGGTCCGAAAGGGGGAGCTGCAAAGAACAAAATGGCGGGGGGTTCGAGATAACGATAGAAGCTCGATGGAAACAGCAGAAGCAGAGACGGTGGTAGAATAACCCATGTCTCCTAAGTCTCGGCGTCGTCTTAGAACATCCACTAATTCCTCGCCGTTACACGATCCACCGAGTTATAGTAGATGGCCAATAGGTCGGAGTCGAAGCTAACCAGCCCAAGCACAACCCGCAGCCACATACATACATAATGTATGTAGATGTAGGTGTATGTATGTCTAGGAGGCATGTATGTAGGCAAGTATGTAGGTAGGTTAAACTTCCCCATCTCTCCTAAACCACCTAATCGCGTATACGGTCAATTCCCGCTCACGTTGTTACCGTAGTATCCACCTAGCTCATGTATACCGACTGGGAGAATATGACGATGAATACCTAACTTTGAGAAGCAGGCGCAGTCTTGGAGACACCATCTCTTGGCTTCATACTTCCTATTGCGTGACGACGTCAGATTGGGTACTCCGTAGCTCTTCGGTCTCCCTGATAGATTCTTCTCCAACCGAATAATGTACCTACCTTGGAGAACTCGACGCCGCATCGAGATGATACTATGTTAGTAGGTAGGTAGGTAGGTAGATATCTATGTGGCATGTCGTCCGTGTGAGACTATCCCGGGCAGTCGAGCGTCGGGTATCTCGTGATGATTGTCTACTATGGCGAACACCTTGAATACGACAAGGTCATGGTGTAGCTATGTGGTACGAGAACCATGGGCCATGGACCCCATATAATTTACGACCACAATGTTGAGTCTAGCGTTGAGTCTAGCACTTTGAAGGCTTGCACTGTCTCTCGTCATCCTGTCCCTGGGCACTTAGGTATGGGTTGCACGTAGCCTATATTTGATTAATTCTCGGCCATTCATCTGAGTTTACGTGAAAATGAACTTCACACCTCGGATTAATATTATAGCTTACACATGATGATGTCCGACGCGGTCAGTTACCTATCAGATGCAGTAGCGCCGCAGCCTTACCATTAGTCCGACTTCAATAAGAGTTATCTCCCCCGAGAGCCAATCTAAATCACTCCAGGGCTATCTCATAAATTAAGAGCAAACACGATTATACTAAAGCCGTGTCCTCACGCGATGATGCAGCCACTTGAGAGGTCAGCTGAAGAGTGAGAGGTAATTACTAGACACTCTTTACCCAAATGACATCTTCCATTATTTAGAATTTTAGGATATGTCTTACGAAGAAAAACCCTCAGGTTTCGATCGGTAATCCCACCCTACGTAGGTAGAGTTGACAAAAAAAAAGAGAGAAAAAAAGAAAACGCCAAACTAAGGGGCGTCTATAAGCGAGGAGGGGGGGCCACTTGTCACAGTAATAGAATGGCTGGTTCGTTCGTTTAATGCTTGAGTTTGATTCTGCCCAACTACAAAGCCATCCACATAACAGTCTCGTCTGGTTTGCAGTCGTCTGCCATAGGTAAATCTTCGCTCTGCGCCAACGCGCTCTTTGAATGTCCGTGACCCCAAGATCGAAGTATTATATGATAGGTACCATACTACCTAAGAAAGGGGTTGAGCGGTATAAGGCAAGACGAGGCGATTTGACGTTACAGGCGTAACATAGATGCTCTGTTACGCAGCGACGTACGCAGCGATACAGTGATACTAGTCCCCGGATTCAGAGCTTACTTGCCCTATTCCCTGCGGCACTTTGGAAATGCGATCGAAGAGTGGGACCCCGGTAGATGATCAATTACTTGGGTTAAATGTTAGGTTGTTAGGTAATAGATGCTGCTTGGTAATAGGCCTCTAAACATCATCATCTGAGACAGGACATCTCATAGGTAGTTTGAATTACTGAGCAGTCTATGGAATTGGAGTCGTCACATTACCTTGCCCGTTTCTATGGGTTACATACAGTAAGCAACTATGAGCACGCCAAGGCTTGCAAAGCTTGTTGGCTATGATCTGGCGTATCGGAAACATTTACAAGAAAATGTTGATAACCAGTCGGAAAGCATGTGTATAATATAATTGTGAAGAAGAGAAAAAAACTGTATGAAATTAAACGTTCGTTATGATTTGATATCTCCGTCTCGGTACGGAGTTGAGGAGGGTTGAGTACTCACTTGACAGAAACCCAATATAATACAGGCATAGGCATATATGCGTATCCTGTATTGTTGTACAGCTGACTTGGAGAACGGTAAATCGGAAGTCCAGCGTGACAGAACGGTGGATCTGTGTCTAAGTGCGCTATGGATGATGCTATGGATGCTATGGATGCTATGGATGTTAACCTGACCTTTTAAGCTTATAGTGGCTTCGCGCCGCCTGAAACTCCCCGCCTCAAAAATAAAAATCCTCGAAATCCTCGGTCAGGTTACTCGCCTCCAGGGATGATCGATCTAATAGTAAATCGATAAATCGATAAAATGATAAGTCGCACGGTCTACCTTTATTATGCCGACCTACGTAATTAAAGTCCCGGAGAGCGAAAGCATCGCTTGTGTACTTTGTACGGTAGATAGCGTTAGGGGAGGACCATCCCCTGATCACAGCGTCTTTTTTTATGGGAACTTTGAAGGGGGAGGTAAAAAAATGGGGGGTAAAAAGGCACCGATCGAAAATCCTTCCGCAACAACTAGGGATTCTTAATTCTAATGTTAGCACAACTGTACGGCATTACCGTACCTAGCAACCTAGCAACCTAGCAGCATAGCAGCCTAGTAGCTACGTCGAAGGCGCGCCGAGGCACCTTGAAGCAGCACTTGTAACGTATCCCTCACTGATGCTCGTACATCGGACCATAGTGTTGGAACTGCGCATACCTATTCTCGAGCATTCCTAGGCGAATCTGCTCTAATCTGATGTGTATCAGTTGTATGCACCGCTAAGCGGCACATTACCCCTTCTATCAAACTGTCAAACTTACAAACTAATAATAACTTCAACTTACAAAGAGTTTCTAACATTGAACCTTTAAGGATTCAAACGATGGCAAAATGTGGGATAATGTGGGAAAATTAACCCATAAGCCAAGAGGCGGAATCGAACGATGCTGTTTACAGCATCTCGCGCATTTCCGTGCTAAGCTGTGCTCGTTTCTGGTTTCTCTGCTTTCCCATCCACATCTACATCCACATCCCACTCGCTATTATCCCGTAGGTCATCCCGCAGGCCTACCGAGGTTTACTTTCCCAGCTCCCTGTACGATTCAGTAACACAAGCAGCGAGCGCTGTATGCAGGCTTTTCAGCCACTCTCATCGTCATCCTCTGCTGCATAGATGGCGCGCCATGTAGACGGGAAAGCCCTTCACTAGCCGAGCTGACGATCATTCTTTCTCCACTGTAGAACACCCACGTATGTATTTGAGTTTTTTTTCTTTCTTTTCTTTGCTTCCTTTGCTTTCGGTTTTCTCGTGAAGAATATCGATATTTCGTCCGATGTTTATCGCAGACCAGGTAGAGAATGCGATACGAAAAGAGGTAGGGAATACAGTAGCAACAGGGCTCCTCCCTAAAAAACCCCCCCCAGACTGATCAAATGTCTGCTAAGCCTGTTATCGTTAGGACTCGCCGTTCGGTCTTGACCCTTGTTCCTACAGTAGTTTCTGAAATCGCAAGAGCTACCAACTACAAAGTACCTGCCACGATGTTCCCTCACCCCCCCGTTCTGCATTGCATCTCAAGCCTACAGGGGATACCCTGCCCCCCTGTCGCCGTTCACTCCTCTAGCGTCCCTCAACTTGCTTGTACAATAGTATGTACATCTTAAGTGCTTGTACAGTGAAGGTATATCCCGCTGATCTTGAAAGTGGGCGACCCACTCGCTCTTGTCCAGCAGCTCATTCATTCTCATTCGTTCTCATTCGTTCCCATCCGTTCCCCTCGATCTCTACCTATGTAGCATACTGTAGCATACTTAGCATACAAGGTTAGCATACTAGGTTCTGCTAGGTAGGGTCGAAATCAGATTCCCCCGTCATCTCACATCCAACCTTTCAACGTTCTTCTTTTGCTGCCCCGGTGGCACCCCCAAACTACACATAGGCCGGGCCCACCCATGCTCTCTCTCGTCTGCGGTTTGGCTACTTCTGCGACTGCTACATGCATATTATCGCCTCCCTAGACTAGGGGTCGAGCATGGAGGGTGAGGGTTGTACCTCTCCCGTACCGACCCAGCGCGGGTGGGGAGCACGACTCGATACGGTAGTGTGCTCGTTCATATAGAGGACCGCATCGCATCTTATATCTGGTCGTCCCATTCGTTCCACCCCCCATCGATCTCGTCTGCCTTTTTCCCATGCAGTTTATATAACATCTTGCTTGGACGATCCATCTTTTCCATATTAACGTCAATTTACCCACGCCAGTCAACCTCCCCTTCCTTGAAAGACAAGAGATTCTATACTGCGTCGAGACCGGAGTCGAGACCGTTGTCGTGCCGAGTTGCCTTATGTGCTAAGAACGACACATAACATCTCTGCTCTTTCGATATAGTGCCTAGCCTAACATGACAGTCTCACTTCCACCACAGTCTAATTCGTCCAAGGACGCCCAGGCCGCTCGCAAGCGCCGGAGAAGAGCCCCCGCCGGAGGAGCTGCCGATGACTGCTTCACTTGTATTAAAAGGAACACTAAGTGCGATAGGCGGCGGCCATACTGCTCGCAATGTCTCGAGATTGGGAATGAATGCTCCGGCTACAAGACTCAACTGACCTGGGGGGTGGGTGTGGCGAGTCGAGGCAAACTGAGGGGACTTTCGCTACCTATAGCAAAAGCCCCACCAGTTGCGCCTGTTGGAAAGAAGGCCGCGAGCAGGGCCCGAGCAGCAACTTCTGCGACGAACTCAGCTCAGTGGAATAACCCGGAAGGGGAGCAGCGCAGGGCTCGTCGAGAAGATGTCGATATCGGCGGAGATCACACCACGTCCGTCCCTACAACACCGTATGGGGCATATTCGGGTTACTCAAGATTCCCACACGGCGAACCGACGCCAACTTCCCAGAGAGGTTGGGATGGCCTTCCAACATACGGCGGCAGCATGAGCTCCAACGAGCAGTCCAGATATCAGAAGTTCAGTTCTTCGATGGGCCACTTCCCCATAATGGGCGACTCGCTGTCATCGTCTGTGGACTCACTAAACGACGTCGACTACACCTTATCACCTATAGGACACGCTTATACGAGAGAGGAGATCCCCTTCGTACACAGCCCAACGCTCATGTACGATAACTACACGAGCCAGAACTCACCCGCCCCCCAAAGCCCCGCCGGTGCAATTTTAATCGACCAACGAGCCCCAACATCGTGCCCTAGCTTAGTCTATGCCCCATCGGAGCCGAGCTCGAGCCTCAGCTCGCACCATGACTCCTTCGAGCCGCAGATGGCCCATAGACTCGTCGCGGACAACGATACTCTGAGTAAGGATCAAGCGTTCCGAAATGCCATGCCTCGGATCACTGACAGCTCCTTGCAGGCGTCCCTGAGATGGAGTCCTATGGCACCAGTCCACATTCCGCACATGGTTCACACTGGGCCCCTTCGATTTCAAGAGATGATGATGTAACACCCCACGCCGTGGACGCCGCTTCCGCCCTGTCTCTCCCGTACGAGAGCCAGTCGATACAGGTTAGCCCTGATCTCATTGCTAAGATGCCATTCTTCATGGACTACTACGAGAACATTATGTGCCCCTCCATGGTTCTTGTAGATGGGCCGAATAATCCATTCCGAGACCACATCCTGCGGTTAGCGTCTGGCAGTCGAAGCCTGCAACACGCCATCTGTGCCCTCTCCGCGTGCAACCTAAGGATGAAGAGAAGGCTAAGTCTTGGTCAACGTGCCAGGGACTCGGAAAGCAACGGCTCTGAGCGACTCTCCGATATGCAATCAGATCACCACTCCTTGTCCGAAGAACACCAACACCGCAACTTGGCCGTCCACCTCCTAAACCAACAACTAAACGATCCCGCTAAATCATGCCACGACTCTGTTTTGGCCACAATACTACTTCTTTGCCACTACCGCATGGTTGAGTCCGGTGTTGCGAAGTTTCACACACAATTCGCCGGAGTTAAGAAGATTCTCAGCATGCGAGGTTCCGCCCCATATCAGGGATCCAGCGACTCTGCCTGGATGGAAGCTATTTTCACCTATTTTGACTCGATATCGGCCAGCATCAACGACCGCGAGGCGCAACTCAACCACTCATTTTACGGACTACCCCCTGACGCCAACCTGCTACCACCAGGAGCCGAGAACTTAGTCGGCTGCGACAGAGAGCTCTTTAAGACTATTAGTAAGCTTGGTCGTCTAAACCTTCTAGCACAACACCTCCCCGTACAAAGCGTTCTAGCGTCACCTACTGGTCGCGTCGGAACACCATCGTCTTCTTCTCCCATAGGTTCTCCGTTGGGTCATTCTTTCAAACAACCAGCTCCATCAATGGGAGATTTTTTCAGCATAAATCATCATCGCTACGACGGCAACGGATTTTCAGCGCAGCTTGAAGAGGAGGAGATTCTATCCACAGGGCTTTCCTCTTCCCCCCAATATGATGAACACCGCTCAAGTTTCTGGCGCGAATGGAAAGACGCCCGCATGGCTCTTCAGAGCTGGGAATTCGACGCCCAGCGAGTAGCCTCGTCTCTTCCTAACTCGGCAACGCAGACCCAAGTCCGCGACCTACACTGGCTTTCCGAGGCTTTTCGCTACGCCGCTTTACTCTACACCGAGCGCTTGGCTTCGCCTAACGTGCCTTCGACTCACAACAACTTCCGCAACTTAGTTAGCCAGGTTGTCTACTACGCAAGTTCGCTCGAAGCTGGCAGCAACGCGGAGAAATTTCTGCTATGGCCTCTCTTCGTCGCCGGCAGCGAATGTGTGAACGAGCTCCAGCAAAACATCGTGCGCAGCAAATGCCGTGAGATCATGTCTCGCAGCGGCTACATGAACAACCTAGCCGCCATCGAAGTATTGGAGAGACTCTGGGCCGGCGAGTACTACGAGCCCCCTACTAGCCCTGGAAATAAGCTAGGGATGAGACGCGGATGTTTCAACTGGACTAAGTGCATTGGCGGACCGGGAGTCGAAGTGGAGTGGATTATGTTTTAATATACACACCACGCGCACATTTTTATTCTACATACTAGGTACCACAAAAATGGGAGGCAATCTTGAAAGAGACGGAACCGGAACATATTGGATTATAGAGGTTTATATCCCTTTTTTACCTACCAACCTTTACCTTCTTGTCGTATATTTTTAGCACCATTTTTGTTTTCTATTTTACCATTCCCCCCCTTTTATCACGACTGTACTATTATATATATCGCATGTTGATATCCCCGGTTTATGGTTACGGCGGACATGAATGAGATCCGGATTATGGGCCTTTGTTTTTTTAGCTTAGTTTTCAACATTGGGAGATGTTCTGTACGAGACAAGTAGGAAATGTGGAATTGGAGTTCGTTTAGAGAGGAGCCGGTGGGGAAAGGGATGTGTGGGAGAGAGACATGTTTGAAGGGTGGTGGTAGAAATGAGCTACCAACTATGTAGCTATTTAGCAGCACATGACATGTGAACAGAGACATTCGTGCAGATGAAGAGACACACACAGAGAAAAGAGAACATTTCCCAAAAAACCAGTACCAAAACGCAGTTCGTCACTTTGGTCTCGTGATTTCTAGTACACGCCCGATGCCGTCCCTCCTTTACCACACCCTCTGCCAGGTTGGGGGTGCATGTGAGCAGTTGTCAGCACGCAAAGCAGATCTCCCGGTGGCCGACGTCACGCCATAGCGCCTCAGATGGCCCCCCAATACATGGACGAACTGGGCTAGCATATATGTATTTAGTAATGGCATATTATAAGCACCTATGCGGACTAGTGTAGAGGTAGACAGATGTTCTACCACACACCCACCCATAACCGACCACCCTCTGTCAACCGAGCGGGAAGGAGTACTCCCACCCTCCCTGCTCCCTGGCAGGTCATCTTTTTTTCCTTCTCCCGCCCGCCCCTCATACCTGGTACTTAGTAAATACCGTTTTCATAGTGGAGGTATGTAGTTCGGCTCAGCCACATCTTTTTTTCTCATAGAACTATTACATATTCATCGGCTAGTAGATAGGCAGGATATCTCGACCTTACAGAAGCTATCTAGCTACATATCTACCTTACTAGCGCGTATCCACCAAGCGAATGCGAATAAGAACAGCTAGAATATCTTCAACCTCAACAATATACATGTGAATACCTCTATCCGTTCGCCAGGAAAAGCCGAGGCTGAGGTCCTGAGGTCGGAGCTAGGAGCTCGCCTAGAGGGAGGAATCTCGCCTGGATTTTTAGGTTTGCGATTTAGCTATAGAAGTGCTATATGTCCGTTCCTATAAGACAAGCCTACAAGCCTTAAAACCTTAGTACGAGATCTAGACATATCTCACTAAAGCAATAGCGAAGCTTGATATAGTTGCCTCTTATTGCCTCCTACCTCCGTCCCTATCGACTAAGAAAACCCCCACTCCCCACACATTTCCCGAATAGGGAGGAAGAACGAGCGTGGGCGCGACAGGTCCACAGCCTGGCTAACGGGACTTGCACCTTGTATGTGGGCATGTAAGTAGGTATGTATGTAGGTATTCCAATAACCCCCCAACCCTTACTGACGTAATAGTAACCTCTGACACATGATATCGGAGAGATCTAGTAGATCAATATATGTACCTGGATACGAAATAAGTAAGACGGGAAAGGGTAAAGAAGCAGATAATCAGACACCGAGCTAAGAACGAGCAGGAGGCTTTCGAGAACGGTTCCGCAGCTGTTGGAACACTATGCCTTATCCCCCTAACCTAATCTATCCAGCTATAGCTAGCTAGGCAGCTGTCAGTGATAGCCTGGGGCCAAGAAGTTGCAACACATGATTTCATGTACTGTATGCTGTATGTATAGGTAGGTCACAGAGATAGGCGCGTACACTGTTGTATGAGGTTTGTACCTATCCCGTGCGGCTTTGCTATTTTACTTTCTCTTTTCTCCCTAGCTGCTTCTGCCCTTCGCGATGTACCAAGTCGACGGCAGCGAAGCTTGGTTTTTGCCCACTTATCGTCCGTCCCCACTGCTCCCTGGGGGTCGGCCGGCGCCATCACACCCAACACCTACGATGATCGTCGCTGCACAGCTAAGCTGTGTGTGCGGTACGTAGCGGTCGCTCACCTTCGTCCGTCACCTTTGCTCGGTATGTCAGACCCACCGCTGTAATAACGGATCTACCGTAGCTCTAACGCTAGGTACGGTAGATAAATCGCGTCAGCATGCTTACCCTCTCCTCCCCTTTGGTTGATCCATTGATTACCCGCCTACGGTCAGCTATTGATCACTGTTGATATATATGTCGATTATATGAGAGCTGCGAACGGGTCGTCTGACCGACCGCGGCAACCAGCCAGCCTTCCCAGCGAACCGACTCTGCTGGTTGGCGGATTCGGCTTCAGCTCCATGCTGCTTACGCTATCCCGGTGCGAACCGCCATAGGATCCTATCCGGCGCGCGCCGGGTAAAATCTAGATGATTTTCCATAGGATGCAGATCGCATGGAGGGCGGACCTACATAGCTACGGTATCTCTCTCGTAGGGAAACGTCAACCGACCCAGAACTCTAGCGACGGTTCATCGAGTCGATCAATCAAGCAACCAATTCATCGTCCCAGGGCGGATTTATTGGCCAAGACGTGCTCCGGGATCCGAGATCTTCCGCCAGGGAGACATCGTCGTAGAGCAAGGCCGTACCGTAGCTAGTACCGTAGCTAGAGAAGGGGGTCCGCAGGTCAATCGTCGAGCATCCCGCTCAACAGGTAGTAATTGCGAGCGTACATAGAAAGATGATGGGTGTGATCCTGAACGATTTTAGCTTCTTCTTCGCGGGTTCTAGTAGCTCGCCGGATCTGCTAGTCAGGGGACCATTTTGGGGGGGTGGCTCCGCGATTCTCGACCGGAGTCGAGAAGCTCTCGAGTTCGGGGGTTATTCCTCATCTATAACTAAGGTGCGCCCTATTATGCGACTCTGCGCGCAGAAAGCCGGTCCATTGCATCAAAGTTGCGGGCTTGGCCGCATCGGCGGGTTCCAGAAGTTCGTCTAGCTGCCGATTGGCCCTGTTCGGACCCTGGCATTTCTCGGATGACAAAAGGCCTACTGGACAGGGGGAGTCGGCGATCGATCAGAGATTTGGGGTGGAGCATTCTAGCTAGGTTGATTGCCTTAAAGCAACTTAACGAGACGACAGGTTCGTATCCGGAGCAGACTAGCAGTTACGTCTATTATGCAGGAATCGTAACATGGGGGCTTTGTTAGTTGCGTGAGTTGTGTGTGTGCGGGATCTTTGGAATCATCTCGGGACTTGAGAAGTTCTGTTACAGTCCCTCGTAGAAATATGGAAATAGTGCAACATCAAGGTCTCACTGGACGGGAATTGCACTGCCACCCCTTACCGTTCCCAGTCGGAGTTGGGTGGGTTGGAGACAGCAGAAAACATCCCACCGTCGAGCGGCTCGACGACTGTTCGAGCTCACGGATTTCATGATAAATAGGTACTTGCGTAAGACTTCCCCAGGTTGGACGGCAGATGTTGGAAGCGTCTCGCAACAGGACGAACTAGATAGGGCCCTTACCGGACGCCAAGCCCGACCAACATGCGTTGATATGTTGCTATGTGGCAAGATAGATTTGCCGCGCAAGGCTCCAGGGCGCTCTCTCATTCTCACTCGTATCGACTATCTCTCCCGTGCTTCTGTACGAAAGTTGACGAAGTTCCAACGGAGTATTAAAGGACTCCAAAAATAATGTTGCAAGAAACAACTTTCCAGTGTTACACAATTATAGGTAACAGCTTAATATCTGATAATAATGCCAAGAGATCACGTGTAGATAAGATTTCCGAAAATGTTATCTTATCTCAAACTTTATCGCAAAGTCCCATTTTACCAATCAGCAAGAAATTTTGGTGGAAAGTGGAATTTTCAAATGATTGTAAAAGCCAAGAAGCATTGCGACATTGCGACATTACACCTGAATTGGACTCCAACATTGAAGTTTGCGAATACCTATTAATGCGGAAAACCTAATATCTAAAGTCATAAGAGGAAAGCAAACGAAATCATGGGTCGGGATCTTCAAAAGCGCAAGAGGCGATCGTCTCGCAACGCCATCCGACAACCATCCTCCAACAAATCGAAGCGTCTTCTAAACCCACTAGGGAATGACACTGTGGCGAGGAACTGGTATGTTCTACGAGCCAAAGAGGAAAAAATAACAACTTAATACTAAACTTATGTAGGAACAAAAAGGAGACTGCGTCACAAAACTACCGCCGTCTAGGCCTAGTATCCCGCTTGAAGGCGCCGGCAGGTGGTGTAGAGCCCAGCGCCAGAGTGAAATCCGCCAAACCCGCAGACCCCTTCGCCATTACCTCCCAGCCAGCCGGCGCCGTCATCGGCGAGGTGCGCGTGGAGCGGGATGAAAACGGGCGGATCGTGCGCGTGCTACACGGGTCAGGGCCGAAGGAGAACCCATTGAATGACCCCTTAAACGACTTAGATTCCGACGATGATATGGAAGACGAGGAAGCGGCCGAGGAATGGGAAGGCATTGACGAAGTGGAGGACGGCACCGGGATCTTCCCCGAACTCGAGACCCAGGCCAATCGACCCGTAGCTAAGAAAGTGAAAACTCTGAGCAAGAGAGAGGCCGAATGGTTGCAAAGACTCGTGGAGAAGTATGGCGATGACACAAAAGCCATGGCGAGGGATCGGAAGTTAAATCCGAGACAACAGACAGAGGCGGATATTGCACGGAGGATAAAAAAGCTGAAGAGCCCGTCTGCTTAAAAAGGGGCTAAAAAGGAGGCTACACCCAGCTTTCAGGGTTTTGAGACAATTGCATTGCAAGGCGTTATAGGATCTCAGATTTGCTCTGGCTGATAGAAGCCAGGACTCGCAACAAAAGTGCTCTTGGAAGCGCCAAAAAGTGATATATCATTGACAACTTTAACTACCGTCGTCCAAAGATCCAAATACCCGTGTATCCCATGTATTACGAACTAGCCTAGACAACAATCCGTAATTAGTAGAGCAGTACAGTACCACGCAGTTGAGCATCGCCACGTCAACCATAGAGAAAGCCGAGACACCCCAGATGAGAAAACATTGAAAAAAAAAGAAGAATCTTCAATGGATATATTTGCAGACCAGAACTATCGAAACAAACATAATGATCGCAACAATCCGCGTGCAAGACACTATTCCTGGTATCTTTTAAAGTGCCATATAACGAGCATAATATGTATCCGGAACACCAATCAACCGTCGTGAGTTTTTTAAATACTGGCCCGCCAACTCTGTCTCCCCAACGACACTTTATCCGCTTTCGTGCAGGCACTATTCGTATACCGTCGTAAGGTATGCCCCCTTCGAGCTGCTACCGCGTATTCCGGCAGCGGGATACCATCTACGCCAACTTAACCCGTCTAACGCAACGTACGGTCGTAGTTCGCGCTGGGGAATTGCACCGGTCTGTCGTCGTCATAGTCCTCTGCCGCAGGCGGGGCATATATGTGAGGTTGAGGCCTAGACGACACCGAGGAGTACGGGTCGCCGTAGGGGTCGCTGTGCGCCGGCGAATGGCTGTGTGATCGGTATGCGTTGTCGAAGGGGTTCTCGAGGGGAGCGGGAGATGTGCTGTGCGGTCTGTATGTGGTATCGGTTTCGAGTCGGCCACCGAAAGAATCCGGGTCATACGGGGTATCGTGGTCGTGCTCGTCGTGATGGTCGTCCATGTGCACGGGCGCATATGCCTCCTCGTCATGGGGCGCCATCGAGAATGCAGCCTTATCTGGGTCGATGTTCTGGCTCGTTCCGAGGTTCTCGTATCCCGGAAGACTATCCGTCTGTCGGTAGTATCTTAGCGTGTATACGCTGACGGCTGTCGTCGCAACCCATGCGAGACTATATGAACGGTTAGCGGTTATGTTTATTGCTATGATGTAAGTGGTGGTTGGGACTATACATTTCGAAGAAGGCTATTCCGACGATAGCCTTGCTGACAGCGCAAGCTGTTCCACATGAATTCGCGGTGTTGTAAGCTGCCTGACTGGCGAAAGCAGATAACCAGAAGATAGCGAAGACGGAATCGAGGACGACCATCGCATGCGGCTCAGCAATCTTCCGAGTTCGCTCGAATCGTGGTGACATGGCTAAGTAAATCCAGGCCGGGACGGATAAGAAACACTGTTTATAGGAAGACCAGTAAGCACACGTGCACTGTCGCATATAAACACAAGGGAGGAGAAAGGGGGTGTGTTTACGTACCAGACCGAATGGCCATCCATTATTACCGTTGATGACTGAACCATCTGCTCGAAATAAAACGATCTCGAGTATGAATATTACAACACCCAAGATGATCTGGAAGATGTGGAGGCCAAGCTTGGTGTTGGGCACCTTATCGGGGTTGATATCTAACTTCTCGATGATTGCCGCCATTTTCTAACGGCTAAGCTCTAGAAAGAACTTTAAGGTTAATGTCCGACGTTCGACGTTCGATTGTTTGACAACGCTGACGGAAGGTTTACGTCTAAATGAAAAAGAGTTTTACCTCGAAGTAACACGAAGCTTGCGGGAGCAACCTTAGAACCAAAACAGCCAGGTAGGCTGAGTCGTATTTTAGGGGCGGCTTTGCGGCTGATGGGGTTTGTCGAAACTTTGCCTAGTAGCTAGTAAGGGCTTGGGCTAGTTTCAACTGAAATATCGTGTTTTGTTGTATCGTATATACCTAGTCGACTCGATGTCGCGGATCGTCAAAAAGTACGAAACTCGATTCAAAGAAGGAAACGAGAGACAAAGAAAGGCCAATTGCGATGGAGTTGGTTTATTATGATAATATGAAGATTTTGTGTAAGTTTTTGCCTAACTACGGTTACGTATTAGCTGACATGAGCCCGGGCTGATGAATGTCGATTGCGCGTAATGTAATAGGGAGGGAGACTTGGGATGTTCTATTTTTAAGCTCAGCCACAGCTAAAGTGGGGCTATTTAGCCCTAGAAGAGTCTTGGAGCGCATCTTGTCACCTATTAGCGGCAAGACACAGCCTATCAACGCCACTCTTGGACTTCGCTTTAGGTGCTTAGCCACTATTTTACGCACCGGACTTAACTGTTAGCGCTCTCCTGTGCCTAGAGATGTTCCAGCTGGGCAACTGAAGAAACAACATCCGCCTGACAGACACTATTCTGTTAAAAGCGAAAAAATGAAAAATAAGAAACATAACCAATCTATCATTTGTTTATCCCGCTACAACCGCAGGAAACAATGAGACAACGATAAAAAACACTACATATGAACGGGATTCCCCTCAAATTATTGCGTCGGAGTTGTCTCACTCTCTTCGAATGTATTCGTCTAACTCGACACCTTAGCCTATCTTCCGCCACTTATATGGGCCTTCATGCAATATGACCTATCCTGGCTTTTGGCTTCAACCTTCTAGCCTGCTTGGTCGAACATTCCCTCGTGTTCTACCCACTTATCGACGGAAATGCAGCATACCGACGCTCGCTCTCTGTAGCACATCAAGGCCACCTCTTGTACAGCCGCTGACTTACATGACCGGGCCTGTGAGTAGGCAAGTACGAGTATGTCACTGTTGTACATTACTTTATATTAGCCCTAGAATCAATACCCCGAAATTGCGCAACCCGGCGCTGGTTTCCGGCTTGATGCTGCTGCTATCCCGAATGTGACAGCCGTTGGTGGAATGTCACCGGTATAATATCCGATCATCGATGACTTGGACTCGGTGCAAGACGATGATAGCGTTCCACGACATACTAGGAAAGTATACAAAACTCGGAATGAAATCCATAGATTGAAAGCAAGCTCCTACATATTTACTCTTTTATTTATGTTCATTTTAAATATTTAGTAAACTCTAAGTTGTCAAATATTTATACCCGTGTTCGCGGCATCCGAAAAGTCGATAGTCGCGTGCCGATTATCGGGCCGTCATCCAATAACGCAATCGACTTTTTGGAGCTATCTAAACTCCGACAAGTGCTTACCTAGGCAGATATCAAACCCGTCTCAGTTCCCGCCATCTTCATTTTTCACTACGCGGTGAATATCATATACATTAACTAATCATAATCTCGCCCTTTTATCACTAATATTATAGTTATCTACTCATTACCGGACTTTAGACGATTATTGCAACCTAATTAAGCCCATTTCCGTGAATGGGAGTGGGGTCTAAGTCAAAGAAGAAGCATTACTAATATGACCGGAATCGAAGATATATCCGACGATAGTGTTGCGCCGCTGCCGGTAAACGGAAGCAGTCGCGATCGGATTGATGAGTCCACTCCTCTTCTTAGCGACCAGAATAAGAATATCTTCCCAGCTGAAGAAGCACCATCAATTCACAATGACGAGGAACAAGTTGTCATCGTCGAAGAAGTGAAGGGGGTAAAACTATGGCTCATTCTTTGTGCCGGGTGGCTGGGAGTGTTCCTTGGCGCCATCGATTCCACCATCATCGCCACGCTATCCGCCCCCATATCCAGCGAGTTTCACTCCTTAAGCCTGTTGTCGTGGCTTGCGAGTGCTTACCTAATCTCGAACGCGGCGTGTCAACCCATATCCGGAAGACTGACGGATATCTTCGGCCGAGGCCCCGGCCTCGTGTTTAGTAATATCTTCTTCGCTGCTGGAAACCTCATCTGCGGCTTGGCACAGGACGCCAATGTTATGATACTTGGAAGAGTCGTCGCTGGTATCGGGGGTGGTGGCTTGATGTCGATCACTACCTTCCTTGGCACAGACCTTGTTCCTCTCAGAAATCGAGGCGTCATCCAAGGAATAGGGAACATATGCTACGGATCCGGAGCGATGCTGGGCGGCGTGTTCGGGGGTCTAGTTAACGACGGCTCGTCCTGGGGGTGGCGCCTAGCCTTCTTGATCCAGGTCCCTCCAATTTTGATTTCGGCTGGTCTAGTCGCCTATCTTGTCCGGTTGCCACCAAAGGTATCAGAGAAATCATACCTAGCTCGGATCGACTTCGTGGGTGCCTTCTCGCTCATAGTCTTCCTTGTTCTGCTCTTACTTGGGTTGAACGCCGGAGGTAACCTGGTGCCCTGGACTCACCCCTTACCATTGACAACCTTGCCACTGTCTCTTGTGGCATTCGTTGCTTTCGTCGTCTGGGAATCCCGCGCCAAGCAGCCTGTTATCCCGGTCCGCCTCCTCTTAGACAGAACCGTTTTTACAGCCTGCATGACGAATCTAGCATTATGTATGGTAAACATGATAGCGCTATTCTACGCTCCCGTCTACATGCAGGTGCGCGGACGCTCAGCTACGGACTCTGGCCTAGTAATCTTATTCGCTCCTATCGGTATCTGCTTCTGCTCGATTGGAAGTGGATTGATTATGAAAAAAACTGGACGCTATGGTAAGTGATAAGGACCCACCCCAAGACGTCAAAGCCCCCTTTTCGAATTTATTCTCGAATTCTCCCTTTCATCCAGTAATGTATTCCATGCATACGCTAATTATGAAGTAGTAAGTTAAAAGCTCGGGATTTATATGCATTGTTCCCCTTTCGGTCACGGTTGCGTGTACAAAAAGCTTAAAAATCCCAACTTATCTCCGCCACCCCTCCGGATCGAGATGATCGTAGTAAGCAATTGTATACACTCGCTACATGAAACTAACCCTGCAATAGTTGGCCTTGGGCATCTTGGCTGTATCGCTGCAGCTCGCTTCTGCCGTCATCTTCACGACTCTCAATGAGGACTCTCCAGATTGGCCCCTGATGATCGCATTTCTGCTTCTCGGCGCTGGCTACGGTTCCATGCTTAATATCACGCTACTAGCTTGTCTAGCAGCTGTGGACCACTCGCACCAAGCTACAGTCACATCGGCAACGTACGCGTTCCGATCGGTTGGCGGGACGGTCGGTATTACTATAGCGTCGGCTATCTACCAGAATGTGCTGAAGAACCAGCTATGGGAACGGTTCGGCAATTTACCCGGCGCCGCAGAGGAGATCCACAGAATTAGGGATGACCTAGATGAGTTGAAGCATCTTCCGGAGGGTTGGTATGATGGCGTTATCGCTTCGTTCATGGAAGCCTTTAGGAATGTGTGGTTCGCGATGTTGGGGTTGGTGATCTTAGGATTGATCAGCATCTCATTCATGAAGCAGCACAAGCTACACTCGACTTTATCTCGGAATGAAAATGAGTAAGAGTTCTGTGTGCTGCAAAAAGAGCCTGCTTATGATTTAGGGAAGCTATACGAAACCTGATGCAATTTAGGCGGTCTTAAATCTGTCATATTGAAGACCAAGCACTTCCGATAGGTAATAGGTAGGTAGATAGGTATAACTAACTTAAATTTGGAAAAAAGTTCAGAATTCTATAGGTCAAAACGAGCGTTTCACAGCTTAGCACGTTGAGTGCATCATGAGTTCCCATCTAACAATCAGTCTCTATCAAATCAAACAGCAATTGGGCGCCAGCAAACGAGTCCCGTTATCCTCGCTCATACAAAACACAGATATACTCTTATAACCCAGCCAGTTACGACACGGTATTGATTTGTCACTTCCATTCGCATCGTTATCTATACTGCAACAGTGCACTCGCAGTCACTCAAGTTGGAGATGAATGAGACGAGCACGGCGACGTAAGCGGCCAAGCCCACGAACATGTAGCTAGTGCGGGGCTCGAATATGGACATGATGATGGCGAAAATGCCAGAGGAGATGATGACGACGATGAGGTAGGCGCCGCGAGACCACTATAGGATAGCGACCGGAGTCAGCGGTTGGAATTATTGAAAATGCGGTTCGGGGAGAGGACGTACCTGGGTTTGGAGATACAGCAGCGAAACGGGAATGGCCACAAGCGACAGGCAGCTGAGGACGAGCAGCGTTTTGGTGAATATCGTGAAGGACCGCAGTCTTAAATACATGTGCGTATCGCCGGGCTCGGAGGATTGCGAAGTGTTGCCGCAGAAGATAGAGCAGATGCGTTTTAGGGTCTCCTTTCGATTGTGTGGTGTTAGATCTGTACTTCTTGGGATGGAAAAGGGGTCGCGTATCATAGGTTACACAAGGGTTACAGAGACAGGGGTGGGAATAGGGGTATAAATAGGGGGTCGGGGAAACAAGTGTCAAGTCGAACGTACGTTTACCCATTCTGACTCTGGGTATAGAATAGACTCAAACTTTTGGAAGATGGGATCCGGCGCGTCGGAGATGAAGTCGTCGATGTAGCGCATGAAGGCTAGCGCTTCGTTGTCTAGCTTGTCGTATGCTCGTACGTGATCGAAAAGTGATTGATGCGCTCGTCTAGAGACCCGGGGGAACTTCATGTTATCGTAGCTCCTGTGAAGGAGCTCAACTGGTAAATTGCTCCTGGTTAGTGGTAGTTGGTTTGCCTTTCGTCCCGTTTCGCTACTGGGTAGGTGTTGTGCTTCTTGACAAGCCGAAGATATCAAATTAGAATGTTCTTTTTCGGAAGAACTCACAATATCTTCTCAACAAGGACTCCTTGCTCTCTATGAGATTATCTCTCTGTGTCGCGCGATCCAACTCACCAGAGCCCAGATCAGGAGGTAGATGTCCAACCCCTTGGATACATCGAGCTAGAAATTTTTTCTGGTCGAAAGGTAGTGATCTCAATGGCTTCCCTTCGGCTTCACTGTCCTCAAAATTCATCTCATCTAGTCTGTTATCGATGCAGTGAATCCTCTGCTGATACCAAGTTAGGACTTGTTGTGTCGAAGCCCTGAATATACGCTGGGAGCGGCGATTTGGAAAGTCTGCCTGCGTAGCTGCCATGGACGGCCAGCCCTTTGATGAATTATTTTCTTTGGCACATTAACCTAAATTTGCCCTTATAGACTATTAGCAAGTAGTGTCTAACTTACGGACGTCCTCATCTGTATAAAATTCGTAAGACCCAGAGCCAGCCCGTATTCTAGCTAAGCCATGCGTGTTAGCTATATAAATCAACAGGAACGGAATTCTAGATGTGCAAACTTACCATCCACAACTTTATTAAACATCGCCGAATAGCTAGGTGGTTGTTGCATGGGTGGTTGAGAGTGATAGGGGATAACTGGCGTTGGCGGAACGCTGTTCCTATTGTGTGATTGAATTTCATTCAATGGGAGAACCGGGCCAGCATTAGATAAAGGTGCCATGATGAGAGATAGTGATGAAGTATAAAATGATCGTTTTTTCTGTATTCAGCCGCATGGAACGTATCTCCTGTATAAATAGTGCATCGAAATTTCGAAGCTCAGAGCTAGAGGCCCCGAGACACATCATCGCATCAATCGTTGACATGAGTGCTGGCAAGACCGCTCAAACGAGAACACCCTTAAAATATGCTTCAATGCCAATTTAGCCCCCGAAGAGGCCCAGGAAACGGCCAGTGTCTTGAATTTGGTGTAGTGCGATTTGATGGTAATGGAAGAGCCTCGACGCTGTGCATATAGAGAGCGAGGCGCAATGGAGCGGTGAAGCCAGAGACGAGCATCGGCACGAAACTCGTCGGTTTTGTGCAGAAATGACCTACTTAAAGAGCGCTGCTTGATTATTAGCGTCTTAGAGCAGATCGGGGTTGTCCAATGATATCTGCCGTGCTCACGAAGGTGTGTGCCACTCTACGGACCGTGAACAACCAACATATACTAATTCAGGTAAATTATCAGTCGACGTTGATTTTCGAATACCACGTGGACAAACTATGTACATATCCAGCCTCATATAAGTAACATCGTCTCGGCCTACATATGAATCTAGCATGAGAAGTCAACTAATCTGGATTAAGAAGACCATCTCTAGTACCTAAAATTACTAGGTAGGTAGGTACCCAAACATCAAAGTTCCCGGTTTATTCGACATGAATTTTTCGGTGAGACGGATCATAGCCTCGATCTATAGTACTATTGTCCTTCAAATTAGGATATGGAAGTCGGCATGGTGCGCTTAGGGCGGCGTGGCTTGGAATATCCGAGGCTCATTTTACGTAGGTCTTACTCTCGGGGTATAATTGATTCATCACACTATTTCTAGATGCGATAAGTAAAAAAAAACGACAAAGCTTCCCTTAAAAAACTGAGATGAAAAGGATTAGGGTCTTCCCAATAACGATGATGAAGGTTTACCTTGGACCATTAAGACCCCTATATCTAACCCTACTAGAGAAAGAGGGTGGCGCTAAGCTTTTTCCCGTCATCCTATAAATAAGCCCCGCGTGAGTGGCGCGAAATATAGAAGGGATCAGTGACACTAGAATTCATTCCAATGCGACATCATCCATGGAAGGCTATATTTACCTTGACTTATTCCTGATGAATATCGTAACAACTTCGAGTTATCAACTAGGAGATGCTTCATACGCTAAATTTCTGTTCGAACGAATCAGAGGGTCTGCCATATCATACGTGTGATATGATTTCGAGAACGAGTGCTCGGTGGTATGTCTCTAATGGAATGGGAGACTCCCTGCCAGAGGGTGGATCTATTCGTTAGATAAAGAGATGCCCCTTAACGACTACACCAAGGTCAGGGAACCCTAAAAAACGTGGTTTACTCCTTGTGATTTAATTTAATTTAATACTTGGGGATGAGTAGGAGACTCCTCGCTCTGAGTTTCTATCGGCAATTATAATCAGAAGGTGTTGTAACAGGGATTTGCTCCAAGCGTGGCCTGAAAAGATAAATCACTAAAGCACATAACCCCACGTCTGAGATCATCGAGTTATGCTGGGGTTACTAGCATAACATTATTGTCCAATGTTGGTAGTGGAGCGCATATTTGGTACCCCTAGTACCTACATGATTTTACTTGACGGATTTATGTTTAAAGAGGTATTCCCCCAACCCATAATTTCTCATCTAGAGTCAAGCTGGATTGAATTCTAAACCTCATCATTACTTCTGAACTCGCCAACATACATGGTAACTATCAAGCTATCAATAACATACCATCGATGTACCGGATATGACTAACTTTCTGGCTTTGGCCTAACAGTACTACTGATGAGTCTCTAATGAACACCATTCTATGTTCATCCATGACACTCGTAGCGAGATGAAGGCCAACTTTGGTAAAGGACGCATGAGAAGTAGAGTGCGCCCAGCGCTCCTTTGGACGAAGAGGCGTTCCCAGACATAAGGGGTCAAGAATCTCAGGGCAAAAGGGTTGGCCCCTTAACGCCCCATCAGCCGTCTCATGGCCCCAAAGATCCTGAATGAAGATGCATTGTGATTAACTCGAGGGGAATACCTCATTGGCTATCACGTGTGTCTTACCAGGTGTTTTACCAGGGTGTAATTTGGTATGGCACGCCGTTCTCGCACAAAACTGACGGGTGTCCGAACCGACCGAACCGGAGTTCCGAATCAGGTTTAATAGTCGCTGCACCCCGCATCTGGATTATCGTGACTGGATCAGTTTGAATCCTTGACTCCCGATATGGCGTCTTTATAGGCGACTATCCGGATAAAAAGATATTACGTTCTCCGACCGATCGTTCAACTCGTGATATCAAAGATCTTTAAACCGGGTAGCTTATAAAAGCCTATTCTATCCTATGAAACGCCAAATATCAGCAAGGTGTTGATACACGAAGCAAAGAGCATAAGAATAACGGATCAACTTTAAGCCGCAACACACAAAGCCATATGAGCCACCTAAGCCACATGAGCCACATGAGCCACAGATGTGGTGGTGCGTTCAATGACGTGTGTATTACTCATCACATTCAAGTCAGCGCAGTGACGATGATGAAGATGTCTCGCAACAAAACATCCGTATAACGGCGCGAAGTCTTGAGACGCGGATAATAATACCCATCTGATGGATACAGCTCGTGCAGGTTAGAGCGATTCTTAAAGTCGGGGGCTCTGATGCAATTAAGAAGTACTGGTCCGCCAAGATCGCTGTGGCAAGGTACCTACAAACCTGATAAACTTCAGAAGATTCTTTCAGGCGCAAGCATAATCTTCCAGAAAGGACTAAAAATGCATTTTATCACGGTGACAAGAGCGTCCTGGTACATAACCCCTTTACGGCTTAGCGCCGGTCGACTAGAGGGCCTCATCATTTACGATAGTCAGATGAAACAGGCCTGTTATTCGGATATTTCGCAGCGCCCCTGAAACCGTGAGACTACGAGATAGGTTAATGCTCGACTTTGGGATTTTATGCGGAATAAAAAAGTTAATCCGACAAGTAGGGTTGCATTTCTCATTTCATGGCGAGCTCGCTATAAGCTCGACGGCAGATTTTTGTTCGCGAACCTGGTCGCGGATCGTTCTGAGCAGTTCTGAGCAGTTCTGAGCCAAGGTTGGCCCTGCGGGCTAGTCAATTTCCCCTTTTGTCCCCCATGAACAGATGTTCCAAGATTCGCTCAATGTTTACGGGTCACAAAGTGGCGCGGGAAATATTCAGATATTCCCCTTTGTCATACATGAATATCGCCTCTTCAAATACTGTCAGTACGTACTATGTACATGCATAGACAAACCCTTGTCAGTAGTATAGATTTGGAGATTTTCACGGTTGACAACTCACCTTAAGTGGTTCTCATTTGATTCTACTTTGGTACTTCACGACGAGTCTTCAAACCCTAGGGCACCCACCGAACAGAAAGAGTATAAAATGCCTTTACATTCATCACTTTGGTTACCTCGTTCTTGCAAGTTCATAAAGCCTATTCTAAGTAGCTTCTACGAGCTTCTTCAACGTCAACCTAAAGGTGTTAACACATGTGAGGTAATGCTTTCGTCCTTATATTCTATCTCGCAATCCTTGGTACTAGTCTCTTGATGTTTATGCTTGACCTCCAACTCACCTTAAGATTCAACTAGATCACGTTTACCAACCACAAATGAACTCGAAACCTCACCGGTCGACCTGTCTTCCAACCTTACTAAGAATGGTCTTTTCTTACAATCCTTTCAAGAGGCGTAAGAAGGGCAAGGGCAACTCAGACCCAAGGCTCAGCCGTCGGAGTGGAGAACTTCTCCAGGGGTCTTCCGCAAAATCAACCCCGCCAACGATCCGAGGCGACGATCAGATGAATAGCAATGAATCTACGCAGCAATCACAGGATGCGAATGGCTCTTCACATGGACAACCGGTAGCAGGGAATGGACGCTGATGAGAATCCAAGGTATAATAGGTACAAGTGTTTAGGTATTGGTGCAACTGGGGAGGATTCGCGTATTGGTCATGGATTTTAAGCTAGATAAAACTATTTCTTCAATTAATGTATAATATGTCTCCCTCGAATTATTATTAAGGACTGTTGTATAGGTAGGTAGTATGGCATATACAACTTCAATTAGCTGTCGCTAGCGATGATTAAGCGTCTGTCCCCTAAGGTGACAGGTACCCAGTGAATCCTTGCATTGGAAACCAGTCACTGTAACCCCAAATCGTTGGGGAAAAGGAGGCGCAGACACCACAGAACAGGACTAGAATACCAGACCTGGCTCGATAGTGAACACGGCAATCGATCCGTCAATTATAATCCACATTTGCTGTCACCTAGACTACCTTCTTAGGCATCTTAGTAACAGCATTGATCACGTAAGCACGTCCATAACGAGCTATCGCTGTCAAGCGTGTTGCCGAGTACAACGAAGGAGTTTGGTTACGCAAAGTCCTCGTTGACTCACAAGCCCACCGCCTACCTATCACAACGCGAGTTCCGCTACCTACCCAGTCCACCACACATACTAGGTACCTACCTAGGTACATAGTAGGTACAGACTCAGGTAACTGTAGGCAATCCGGAGGTAAAACATAGGAGCAAATGGTCTGTAAGTCAATGAAGGAGTACGAACCTTATTTCAACCAAGAATTGAGCCTCAGTGGGTTGATGTCTTCGGAAAGTGTAAGGCAATTCCACACTTTCAAAGACTTTTCTCTTCCTTCTGTCACACACACAGCTGCGGCCTCCATCACGGCCGCCTTCGCTGGACACGTAGATCATCCCATACCATACAAGAATGATATTTCGGACTTTGCTCACCGCATATAGACGAGTTGCCTAATGCACCTTTTTACCAACACTTCTTATAACCCTATTTTTAACCTTTTCTAATTTAAACGGAAATAACTTCATAAGTCGGAAATTGGCATGTTTACTAGCAGACTAAATACCTACCCTAGCAGCCTTATCTGCCTTATCGGCCCTAGAAAGGTTCTAGCTACCCCACTCATAGATTTATAGTTCGATCCTACATACCATAGTATCTCGCGCTAAAAGACATCCATGGATTTAATATTTAGTTCGCTTCGTATTGTTTATTTCAACTTTTTCAATGTTAGTATACGTACCTAAGTATGGTAAAGATGATCGTTTACGAGATTAAATAAGATGCTTATTACCCAGGGTTCAAGAGATACATCACATATGACTGGTTAGCGGATTCGATCGGTTTCGTCATTGGTTCCAGTTTAAGAGCCTCACCTGGTGGGGCTGGTACTTCCTACTATCTAAATCATCCAAACCGTCACTGCGGGAACAAAACATCTCACCTTACTCGGACGTCCGAACGGGGGTGGGCGGTGCCTAGTATGCTGCCTTCCATGATCTATAAGTGGGTCGAGAGCGGCTGTTCGCGGCTGGTTACTAGCTTCGTGCCAGCTGAAGCCAAGCCTGTCGCTAGCTGTCAGTAATCCACCTCCACACAGGGGTCCCTAGCTCACTAAAACTTGCCCTCCAGACCCCCGAAAGAAAATCGGCAAGCCGAAGAGAAAGTGGTCGTTATTGCATCACAGTTGGAGAAATTCAAATCTAAACCTGTAATTATGATTTGAGTTGTGGAATTACCTGCTGTTGTGGCTACAGATTATTATTTTTATTATTGAGATCGGTACGGTACTTACTAGTAAGTACCGTACTGGCTTAAATCTCCCAAACACTCGATCCAGGTATCCTCGAATGCTGGGACAGTTTTCTAAAGAATAAAAATAAAATAAAAATTAAAAAGCCTGCCACGAACAAATGTTTACAATCATTTCTTATCTAACTACTTGCCAATAGGTACCTAAGTGGTTTCAGATTTATGGAGGGATCAGCGCGTTGGGGGGATAACAACACCAACTTCACAGTGGTCGCCCAGACCGGCCACCCGAATTTTGGACTTACACCTACGGCTTCGGCAATGAGAATTTCTACCGGATGAACAATAATAACGAGAATTAAATTCTAACCTAAACAATATATGAGAATTGCATGGCTCAATATGACACAATTCTCAGTGTTTGACATTCCTAATTCGAAAATTTACTAGTGTGTTACCACAGCCTCGCAACAACGAATGTGGCTTTCCAGAAAAAGAATTTGCGAGAGCCTGATCCTACCTAGTATTTATATTATTACCTACCATCTAGATTCCTATTCTCCCACATCAATAGTTGAAGAGAGTCACTTACTCCATAAACAAAACACCACACACGTTTTCCTCTAGAGATATCCTAATCAAGATCTAACCCAGTAGCTCTGAAGTTATCAATACATACTTGAGCAGAGAGGGACGCATTACGATACTCTGGACCCTCCGTATCATTATGGACACTTTCATGGTAGAAGGAAACTATTCTACTTCTCTCCCAGTCCCTCCCCCAGTCAAGACTCACATCTCAATACTAAGTACTTGACAACAGTCATACAATATACTTGTTAACCCAATAATCATGACAACAGAGGCTTCCCATTCCTTTCTTCGCTCTACTCAACATACCACCTCTAACAGATAGGAGACCACGAGGCTCTCATTCGGCATATTCAACCATAATGCCTACATCGAATTCCATTTTCTCGACCGGTGCAGTATAACACGAACGACCGACATGATCTATGTAACCAAGTTTATAAGAAATGGCGAACCATTGTATATTAGGGAGTGGATGGAAATGTTGGATACGATAAAGCCCGAGACGATTCTCTTTAGCAAATAACACTAGAGGGAGTCACTGGAATACTCCCCAGCTCCAACTTCTAAGTTGTTACATTGTATTATTTCCAAACCGGCTATGAAATATAAAAAGGCGTCTCAATGCTTTGGCATCGTTTACTTGACGCAAGGGACTACAACGATAGGTATATAGTTAGGATCCAGAAAGCTACTAGGTAGTCTCTACGATACAATGAAGCATACCTGGTAGGTACCTACCTACGTTTGAACTTCTACGATATTCCATCTTAGAGATGACGTATATGGCAGTAGTACGTACCTAGGTAAGTATATAGGTACATATTAAAATATCTTTGGATCCAATTATGCGACTTCTGTTAGCATTTTACTACATAGGTACCTACCTAAGGTCTCCCCCTTTTATCACATACACATGCTGCAGCTTGAGAATGATACAGTTTTGGAGACGCAATCCAAGTGGAGTATAGATATATCAATACCAGCAAGCTATCTCTCAGAAAGGGCAGCATTAATATGGATCATATTAAGAAACCCCCAGAATCATACCTTCTTCGTGTCTTCCGATCATCTTCTATCCAGTGCGGACCCCTTGTCACTCCGGAATATTGTCGATCTCCACCGGCTCCAGCCCCCTTGAATGGAACCGAATTTTCACTTCAGCGTACGTAGACCGGGTCGATGAGCTTTCCGACGGTCATGATCATCACGTAATATTGCACTGCATTACTCGTTGTCCATTTCCTGTCTCTATCTGCTACATATCTCACACCAGACCCACAGCTTCTCGCCCGACTACTATGGTGCATGAATTCTTTGTTGCAAGGATAGGTAGATGCAGCAGTGCGCTTTTGGGAGCACGTTCCTTGAAAGAACTTCTTTTGGTATCCAGTTGGAGCCTTACGAATTTGTCCCTATTTCGTACATGCCTCTCGCCCTTAAGTCGACGATCATTATTACACCATGCGTACATGCTTAATTAAGCTTAATGGCAATGATACATTGTGTACGTCTGCAGATTCTCCCTGCATGGCAAATTTCCATGCGGATGAGTGTGCCATTTCACGCTCCATGTTATTTCCATACCACTCATAATGTCATCGAAGTGCGTAATAATTGAGCCTTTTGCTGCGAACCCTACGGGCCAGGCCTATCTACAGTGACGGCCAGTACGGGGCAGCGAGGGACGAGGGACGAGGGATCACACCTACTCAGGACGCTGAACCCTAGTGGCTCCATAGGTGCCTAGGTAGTGTTATTGGAGTAAGGGTACACAATGCTGTATTATCACGGGTGAGGATGTAAGCAGACTAAGGCAGAATAATAAGCCGTAGCGTCGGCAACATTCAAGGGTAATTATTATAAATTTCAGTGCGAGTAAACTCACACCTAGCTATATTATGGGAATCGTAATGTTATGATGAGTTGTTCAAATGTATGGTCAGGAAATAGGTGTGTGGCTATCAGAAGCCTTTATATTTTTACGTCGGTACCTATCTTTTGAGAGAATACTTGTGGGTACTGCTTGTGTCTGGTATGGAATACTGATCTGGCACGAAAAAAAGCAAAAAACGGGTAGAAAATCTACTACGAATACCCTTGAATGCTTTAGATTGACGAATGTCTGGGTATGTACACAGTGTTGGAGACACCACTTAACTAGTACTTGCGTAGGTACCGGTAGGTAGGTACCTAGGCACCCATAGTTATCAACATTTAGAATCTTCTCATAGACTGAGATGAAAAAGACGACGTGAGATGCATAGAATATGATTCTCATGTGCCTACTTAGGTAGGTACTACGCAGGTGCATTGGAAAGACTTTTATTCAATATTCATACACACCACGAAGCTTTCCACAATTAAGCGATGTCACAAAACATCGCCATACTAATATACAAAAGTAACGATAGAAACATACTGGGTAGGTGGGTAGGTAGGTAGTAAAATGATATGGCTTTCGTAGCAGCCCAGTATGCACATGAGTCATTGAACCTAAATGAGCATCTTATGGTTCGTCGTATCTAGAAATATAGTAAGTACCCATGAGCAGGTCTCAGGCCTCTTTACTGTTAAATTAGTGGGACGTAAGTGTTAAGCAACAACTTGAAGTCGCAAGTATCATCATACAATGATGATAAGAGACAATACATATAGAAGTTTCTGCTTAGCAGACACGCCTCCACAAAATCAAGAATAAAAAGGCCTCGGACATATGTATACGAGGGACCCATGCAGATTTCGGCTCATGAGCGGTCCGGCTTCTGTCACGTAATTCTGTGTTTACCTGGTTCACAACTGCTAAACCGCAAAAAGGTTTCCATGGTTGAGAGCCAGGGGTAGGTAAGGCTCTCAAATAAAATAAATCGATCTAACCAATCTGAGAATATTCCCCTATCGACAACCCGCACGTAGTATCCAGGGCAAAGGAATTACAATGTACGGGGTACATAGCAGCAGAAACACCCTTAACGCCGAAGAGGCCAGGGTTCACCCAATAATGGTCTCCAAACAGCCTTGGAAGGCTTCCACGCGGCTATAACCTTCCGCTCGGCTAAGTCGGCAAGCTGACCATTCAGGAATGAAGCTGTTGCCGCCATTTCAACGTCATGCCTTCTTCAAAAGCTCCGAAAAGTTCAGTTATGTGTTGTAGATAAGGTATACTAATGCAAAGTCTATTCAAAATCATTATATAGGAAATAGCCTGATACACATGTAGGTAAGAACCTTGGGTGAAGCCGATCCGCTCTCACCAATGCCTACCTACCTAGTACCTACCCAGTCCCCACATGACGAGCCAACCGGTAACCTACAGATGAGTGAACGATTAGTTGTGGCCATATGCCCAATATTCAGCATGTGCAGTTTCCGCCTCCTTGCGTATTTGCCAAGAACCTAAAGCCATCACAATTAGCTCCAATAGAGAAATGGAAATTCTAGAGAGCCCGCACATACGTAACTAGAACAGCCGAGTAGGCAGAGAAGCCAATGAGCATTGTGTCGAAAGTCTTGCCTAGGAGCATTAAGGCGAAGACGAATGCTGCCCCGAAACACACTACCACGATAAGGGAGTTGACCTTTCCCATAGGCAGAAGCAACAGGATCCCAACTGGAACCATCAAGATGATACCGCTTCCGGCAGCCACAAGGCCCTTTTTCAGGGACTCCATGCCACCGGTATGTAGGTAGATAGTTGTCTTGTTGGCCACTTCATCGCCAGTCCTTCCATGGTTCCTATTCTTGAAGAGCCATCTGAATAGTCTCTTCCGCAGTTATTAGAACATTATTAGAGAAGGGGTGTGTGATAACTTACAGAGAGTGGTGCGTTGCCGTATACAAGAGCGGCAAACGTTTGATCGGCACGTTCGGTTCGTGTGCTCACGAAATCATCCTGGAAAGACAAGAAGTCCCAGTCGCTGCCTTCTAGTACACCCTCCCCCTTTAGTGTATGGTATAGACTAGACCATTCTCGACGAGTTGTTTGCGGGATCTTTTGGAGTCGGTGTAAGAGGAGTACAGACTCGGCTGAAGGGTCAGATTAATAGGGGTAAATTCCCCTAACAGCGGAGGTCATATCTCACAGTAACGTTTCAACCGTTTCAAGATCGTCTCTGAGAGATCGCTCTTAAAGTCCTCTTCATTACAATCACAGGGCTTTCTCGTACATGGATTAGACACAGAGTTAGCAGTCGTGTCATCTTCGCGATGATTCTTGCTATTCCCGCCACATGCGATATTTTTATGGCTTGGACATCGGCATAAGGTAGGTACACAAGTGTCTGGGCCGAGTTTGGGTCTTCGTGACGTGGAGTTTGATTCATTTTCGTCTCTCTTATCTAAATCTGCTAGCATTTTCTCCATCCTTGTTATCTCGCTTTGCTCATTTAAAAGAACTCGGTGCCAGAGCGTATCATATCGCCTATGATGACTCAAATTATGGGATAGGCTTTGTAAAGCGGCAGCTCGAGCCCAACTCTTGAGTGTGTCGGTGACTATAAGAAGTCTAGCGTTAGCCTCTAACCTAAACTGAGAACTGGAATGGTATAACAGCCTTGTTCTTACGAATTTCTTGGGACGAGATGATCTTCATCGTTTCGCTTGAGAGGCTCCCAGGGTCGGCTACAATATGTCAGTAGCCCTAAGAGAAGTTTGGACTATCAGTCGACGTTACGAACTTTCTTGTAGCATAGGACATAATTGGTTGGCCTCAGTTGTCTGATTATCTTGAGAAGATGTTACTGAGATATCATTATCTCTTCTCTCGGGAGTGATTGTGGTCGAGGTTTGGCCGCGTTCGGCTTGGGAGAGGCTATCCATCGCGAGAGTATGTATGAGTTAAACATGGTATTTGTAATGAAAGTTCATTGAAATAAGTATTCCTAGATAAATTGTTCTGTAGGGGTAAATTTCGAGATATATATATTGAAAAATGCAATGTTGAAGAAGGCGACCAATAACCCCTTTCTTCTGAATAAGCCAACGGCAATTGAACACGCCCATATAATTTGTTCTTCTTAAGCTTATGTCTGTGCTTAATTAGAAGTCTCGACTTTGGACACGCTGTACGTAGAGTGGCTATGATAAATCATAATCATCATTGATTTGCCCGTCATTATGATTTCGTCGTATTCTCTTCGTGTTATCGGCAACGTGTGAAATGCGGCTGTGATACGAATCCAATAGAAGGAAGTGGGATTTATTCGATATAGAGCTGGAAGATGTGTCGCCATACAACTAGTACGCAACCCGGCCGTCGCTTAGAGGAAATATGATGATCACTAGGTAGGCAGTGAGAAATAAGCTATCTCGTCGTGTAAAACAGCGAACAATAAAGAAACTAGGTGATAAGTACTCACATCAAATAGTAGATGAAACAAGAATATAAGATATAGGTAAAATGAAGTTATAAATATTTAGGTTATGTTGAATATTTATGTTTATACATACCTTTAGTCATTTACTTGCTGACGGTTATGTGAACAAATATCGAGATATGCAGTACATGTACCCAGGTATCTACTAGGCAAGCGTCGCCTCGCGTCACCTTGTGTCACCTTCCTGTAAGGTCGTTAGGTTTCATTTCTAGATCGATTCTGATTTTGTCACATTGACCAAATTGAGACGATCAGTATTCTCGAAGCCTTGCAGAATGCTATTAACCTAGGTAAAGTATAAGTAAGTACCTACATGCAGATAAACATTAATATGATATACTACACGCAGACACCTAGGTTAGTGAGTAGGACCTAACTTCATAGTTACGAAACGCGCCCACGGCTGGATGAGGAACCCGGTACTTTCTTTTGAAAATAAATAAGACCAGGAACGGTGAAACCATTTATCCACATGGTAGCACAAGCAAACGCCGAACTCGGCTTGATATCGACGTCACTATATCACCAGAGAAGGGAATAACCTCACCTACTCAAATTGTTTAACAACACAATCTCTTTTTGATTATTACTCTTATACTTTGATCTTTGCGAAAGGAATACTGATTAAATAAATATCAATAGATTATAGTAATTACTACCTCCTCAGTGCACAACCAAAAGGAACGATTGATTGTTACCTAGGTACCTCTTACTTACCTAGTATTAAAATACCAGGAACTGGCTAGCATGAAGAATCGGCGTTTACGTTGATAACCAAGTAGATACCTCATATTTCTGCTGACAAGCTTTCAGACGATCTCTTAATGTATTAGGCAATCGGCATAGCGGGGTTTACAGACTCCTCATTAAAGACCCTACCTAAGGATTCACTATTCTGACCCGGATAACCACCCGGCCTAGTAAAAAATGTGAAGCGATTTTAGCTTCGTCTGACTATTGGGACCGGTCCGGCCCGATTTAACCGGGCTAGATCGGGTATGTAGTGCCAATAATGGTTAGCCCAGAATTATCTAATACCTAAATCTTGAGGCTCTTTGTATGTTTTACCTACTTATCTGGTAACTTGCCTAGTCATCACACGAATCATTACACATGGTAGACCGCCTACCCCAACACACACCCAGAATGGGTGGATTCATGGACTAGCCTAGTCCTGAGACCCTGCCTAGATGGCGGGTTCGTCATCTAAACATGAGGAATTGTAGGCGCAGTCTTGATGCTATTCAGGGGGGGTCCCGATCCACCTCATGCGAACGATCACTGTTGTGCTTTGATTAGGATCGTGATTCCGCATCGGACATAACATGCTTTAATTTGGGGTTGGTCGTTTACATATAAAAGGGTACGGTCTCCTAGAAGCTGATTTTCCAAATCGTCTCTGCCGAAATACAGCAATCCTAAAGCTTTCGTATCGCTTTAAATCTAATCATTCATTCGTTTGAATACCCAACCTACCTACCTTTCGATGTGTGGGCTTCTATTTCGACGCAGGTCTAGCCATGAGTATGGAAAGTCCATTCATACCATAAACGATCCGGACTGACTCAGAAGAATAGTGGATCGCCTCCTCCGACCATAGTGTCGTTGCCTCTTGTGCCTCTTGAGCGCACGAGAAGTGCAAGACCGAGGGGTGACCAGGCTGGGAATTCGGGGTTGCTACACCCCCAGCCGCAACACCCCGGTAGACAGGATGGCGCCTCGACTAGTATAATACCTACTGCCTCGTCTTAGTAGTCATTTTACTAGGTGATGAAGGATATGGTTTCCTCATTCATTTGAGCAGGGAATATGAGGGTTGTGGGGCTATTTGTGGAGGATTGAGCAATGGTACACACATTGCATACCTAATATCCGACTGTCTGGATCACGATGTTCTGTTTTAGCAATGATAAGCTGCATTCGCATATCGACTTTATGATGTGATTGTCGCTTATAACCTGCCGATAGAGTTAAGAATGCTGCAGATTATAAAGTTGCTCCACCTAGTCCCTGACTGCCGACTTCAATGCTGTGCCGATTAAGGACTTGGCACGCACGTATAAAGGTAGATATTAGTAAAGTTTAAGTTAAGATAAGAGAAGTAAGTGAGGCAAGTGCTATGTAGGTAGGAAAGCGAGGCGGCTGCAGGAACCGGAAAGCATAATCAGAACATCGAACGAGTTGACGCCGCACTGCCGCACCACATTAGTTCGTACCTGCATCTCGGATTGTAGATCTATCAGGACATAGAAATGGTCTCGAACTGTCCATTCCCTTACCCCGGCCTGCCCGCCCAGCCTGACTTGCGTTCGACTCACTTTTGCGAATCGCGAATTCAATCATTTGTTTCCAAGGCTCCATAATAAAAGCCTGTTTCGAATCCCATTATATTCTGTACATACCTAGTAGGTATGTTATCTAAATTTGATATCCGGTTCCAGAGTTTTAAACAGTTGGGTCAATAACATGAATTATGACAATTGAATTATGATATATTATAGAAGCTAAATGTCGGTCACTTTGCAGGTATTTTTAGGGGACAAGGGTTCTTACATAGTTCGGGAAATCCCCACTCATCACTGCATAGGTACCTAGGTACAATGTATGATACACTGCCATTAAGGTTCAATCTCAATGCCGGGGATCTCTTGGATACGAAACCTTGTTTTAAAGGGTCCTGCGGGTTTGACATTTCTGATGTTCAACAACTCACAATCCTAGAACAAGATTGCCTCGCGAAAATGGCTCTTGATTGTTCTAGTTAACGTCGCATCAAGAATATACTTGATTATCTGCTTCCTTCAATGCTATTGCTTGTCAATGTTTCTAATTGTGGCCGGAACCTATTTCGACCAGTTTGCGGAATTAATACCTAGTAGGCAAACGGCGTCAGTTTCAGACAGGTCGTCCGGTCTAAAGCGCGGCTCGGTCCGTAGATGTCAAGACTCAACATACCTACATACGTTCAAAACCCTAATTACTTAAGTGCCGTAATAAGGGTTTGGACGACCGGTTGAAGATGAAAAGCTTGAACCTGATTGATCATGAAGGCCGTTTCAACCATTTTTCAGCTTGAGGATATGCTAGGAAGCCTACCCATTTCGAGGCACAGGTTGCATGCAGGATACCCGAAACAGGAAGGTCGCCGCTACTAAATTTTCAATATTTTCAATATTTTCAAGGGCATGCTCGCCGACCACATCTCGCTCCTCTCAGCCTGCTGCTTCGCAGCCGATGATATAATGTCGCCTTGCCCGGATGTGTATCATCCTATGCCTTTACTACATTATGATTTAACATAACCCTCCGATGTTTGGGTGGAAGACGAATAACGATGAACAGCCTTGGGCCTAGAACACGTTGGGTATTGCACTTTGGGTTGCAAATATCATTTTGCGCCATCTTAGCTGCTTGCTTTCCTGTTTCTCGAAGACAAAGCACCACAATTGTGCTACCAGATAATGTGAGCAATCACGGATCGGAAAACCTCATTTGCACCCCGTCTGGTTGGACAGATGTCGCGCTTTTCTACCTCGGAAATTACGTTGCTCATGCCGCCACGGTCAGAGTGTCCCCGGGAGAACCAATCTTGGACAGAATTGTAAATTCGATCGCCGTTTTACTTTTCCCTCAAGCCGGAGCTATGAAGGGTCTTAATGCTATCTTCCGATGCGCCGTGCTTGAAAATTCACCCCTGCAAAGAGCTGCTAGGGCGGGCGCTCTCTGCATGGTAGTCAGGACTCCGGAATGGAAGCCAATGCCTAGCGAGTCAATTCAGGGTGTTTCTTATATGGGGTTAGAAACAATGAAAGGTAAATGCTTTTTCCCCTTTTCCTAAAAAAAATAGTATCATGAGTTATGCTTGCTAACTTATCAATAGCATTCAATAAGAATTATCTCTCGGTGAAGTTCAATGAAAACCCTGTGGCCGAGCTGAATGAACTGTAAGATCCCGACGCACGAGCCTACACAGTTTACCACCCTTAACACAATAGAATAGTCGAAACCTAGAAGAACCTGTCGCAACAAACGTATGGATACCGCCATGGATACGACCATGCTCAAAAATGTTCTGGATGTATACCGACACGTTGTTCCCCTGGGTTCCTTGGGGTCGAGAGATACATGGCGTTTGCAAGCTTCCAGAAGGTTATACGCTCGCATTCGTTCCCCGACACGCGAAAGTGAGAACGAAGCCTCTGGACGTAAGCCAAGGCAATGGGCTCGAGGAAAGGTTCGACAGTACCATATCTGCATCTTTCAGCACAATTAAGGCCATAGTCGCAATCTTACAAACATTATATGCTTCATTCACCTTGTATCGCACTCGGGGGGATCAATTGACACAATACGGATACGCGGCCTTTGGTCTAACGGTGACGCCGTATCTGGTTATGTCTATTATTAACCTTATTGGAAATCTAGTAACTCCCGAGTATGCGGCGCTATACATGGTAAGGTCTGACGTTATGAAGGAGGCGAGAGGCAGAGGAGCTGTGATCGACGGTGAAGTTGGTGAGATAATCCCGGACGATTATTCCAATTGGACTTTTGGAGTTCCGAACCAGTTCTCCGGGTCATTTACGTCTATGGAAGAAAATCGCCTAGGATTAACGAATATCACATATTCTTCGTCGAATACAACGATACGTCAACCAGCGGACATTGAGCCGACAAACAAGCTTGAATCGACGGATATTATCAACAATGCGACGTCGACAATACTACCCGAAGATCACGTAGATGATGATAAGAAAGTTTCGGCGATAGGATCTGACGAAGAACCCATTGTGGAACCTGATGCAACGATTGAGCTTCAACTGATGCGCGCTGAAAATTTCAAGGAGGATTCGGAGTTCAAGCCGAAACCTACCTTAATGATTCCAAGCTGCGGCAACTTCGCGACAACACGTCGCCCGGTAAACAACTTGCCCACGGGGATATCCGATATCAGCCAACTTTCTCTCCATCAACGCTCCAGGGTCAATCATAGTGCTCTAATCATGTACCTCGTTATTCAGGGTGTGAATCTTGTGATTACCGGCATCTCCATCGCTGTCATTGGCGGGCTATCTGGTTTCCATAAAGGGAATAGCACAGTAGCACAGCGTGTATGGACCATGATGTGGCTTGCTTTCGGATTCTTGATGGGTCCGAATTTCGTAGCACTCCCCTCTGCGACGGCGGTAGTTAAACTACTTAGATCCGCAACGCGAAAGGACCAAGATCCCGATTCATGGAGATATTTCTTCGCCTGGGGCTTTATATCAACGCTTATATACGGAATCCCTGGGTTTGGTGGCTATGTCGTCGTGGGCAAGATGCTTTATGAGTATGGTAATTGCATTTCTATTGATTGATCATCGCATGTCCGTTTGGAATATCGGCGATAGTCGATGATAGGTCATGTATGACACGAACTGTAATGAGTTATGATTTTTTAATGTCTTGTTATCCTCGAAAGGAAACGTTGGACTTGGTTGGGGCCGCTACATGGCTCTTGGTGTGAGGCAGGCAAGGTGGGATGCGAACATTTATCTGGGATATGAAAAAGCAAGATCTCTATGCAGAGTAACAGTATAATATTGAAGGCGGGTACCAGGTATTGGTATTCAGGTACTTATGATAGGTATCATTTGTTAGAAATACACCCGTTAATGAAAAGCAAAAAAGTGCATTAGGTAAAGAATATATAACATATAACGATTGCTGCGTTAGACGACATAATATGTATCTAATGGGTTTATAAATGTAATTATATAATCAGTAATTGTAATAACGAGGTTATTTATAAGCTTATATGCGATGGCGCAATTCCGTCCCAGGATTCCGAAACGCCGGCTACTAATCTTAGAATTTCCAGGTTTAATGGCGAGTCAGCGCACCCAACCACCCGCTAAATATTCATTTTCAAGGACATCTAGAATGCGGTCGCTTGGTATTGTAACACCCTTCGGTAGTGTTCGCTTTCAAGAAGACCCAGGAAACTGGAACTAGTTACATACCCAGTAATTAGACGATATCAGGCTCTTCTATTACACATTACGTCATTTTCGTCCGAATGTTAGAGCAAAGAGCCGCGCTATCACATTTCCAACCATTGAGCTGTACGCCAAGCGCTCTTTAACCGGACGAGTATCATGAGTTTTCTCGAGTTTCTTTCCGCTTTCTTCGGGTGGATATATACGTTATCCTGGTCATTGTCCTTCTATTCTCAGCCTTTACTTAATATTCGAAGGAAGTCAACCTCCGGTACTACCGTAGACTTCCCCTTTATCAACACCCTCGGTACTTTAGCCATACCTTGTGCGCTACTGTCACATTCTCTAACGTTACTCAGGATTTCTCACCTATCTTATATATAATACCGTATTCTACTCATCTCCGGTCATACGGTATCAGTACGCCCTCCGTAACCATGACCACACGCCGACTGTCGCGATCAACGACATCGTCTTCGCCGCTCATGCGTTCGTAATCTGTACGATCCTGACTAGTCAGTATTTTGCGCCCTCAATATGGGGTTTTGACCATGCCCCCGGAACTAGGCCGTCGCGCCTCGTCCTCGGTATAATGAGCGGGTCCATCGTCGCCGTCGCCATCATCATCTTCATCGTCGCGTCCGTGCCTTCGGACGCAGACCCGAAAACCTCGTGGGCGTGGCTGGACGTCATCTACACGCTCTCGTACGTCAAACTACTGATCACGCTGGTCAAGTACGCCCCGCAGCTGGTGTACAACTTCCGACAGCGCAGCACCAAGGGCTGGAGCATCTGGCAGATTTTACTCGACTTCCTCGGCGGTATCCTGAGCATTGCGCAGATCGTCATCGACTCCTGGCTCCAGGGCGATTGGTCGGGGCTCACGGGCAACCCGGTCAAGTTCGCGCTGGGCAATGTGAGCATGTTGTATGATTTAGTGTTCATGACGCAGCATTATGTGCTTTACCGCGACGACGACGACTCGACTAAGGCTGGTGAGAGAGATTCGCTGCTCGAGCGGGGCGAGGATAGCCGGAGATTAGATTAAGCGTGTGGCGCTTTCCCCCTCCTTTCTCGTTGCAACTAGATTGGAATTTATCTTTGGGGTTATGAGTCTTGTGCGAGTGCGACACGATTGAAACAGAAGACCGGTCACACATGATTCTTGAAGAATCCACGAAGAACTATGGATGACGACTTCCAGAAAATCGGATTCGACAATTGTAGACTGGGATATCCATCGAATTATCTCCATGTAGCTCCGATTGGTGTTTGAAGATTGTTGTGGATTGTTCATGCGATATTGGTGGAGAGGGGTTGAACAGTAATACTGATCAAGGCGTACATATTATCATGTACGTGAAGTTCTCATGGATCAAGTTGGAGTACGAGTGTTTTACCGGTTCAAAGCAGATAGTCCTCAGTACTCATAGACACTGAATTTTCATAACAAAAAATTGAAGTTTCGGCATTTATGCTGACTTAAATTTTGAGAAGACATATTTACATCATATACTCAAACTGAATGTATCAATTAAGACTAAAGCATTCATTCAAACAAGTAATTGAATGAAAGCCCCAAAATTATCAAGCATGAAAAAAGATCCTTCGCTAAACTTTTCATCAACCAATCGGTATTAACACAATGCCTACTATGATCAGCAGAACGTATTGTTCATACATATTGGGGCAATGCTAAGCGAATTGAAAGCAAGTGCATGGTTTGACATGTCCTAGCCATCTTATCTGATGATCAGAATCATCAGATATAGGGCTAGCATTTGACGTGGCATTCGTTTAAAATGCGTTGAATTGGGAGAACTGGTTGGTTGATGTCGATCTAATCGGCTGGAGCAAGCAAACAAACATTACATACCTAGTAATAGCAGATATCACCTATGCATATGGGATTTCCCACATCCCCGGGTCGATTCCCGTTGATACTGTACTGTCAAACAAAGTTGGTGTCACATTAGACACGATTTCGTCTACATTAAGAATCGGAGTGTTAAGACGAGTGAAACAGTTGGCGAATTAATGTTAATAAGGGACACAAAGGGAAATATAATTGGAAGTAAAAATGTTTTGGAGGATAGAAAGACCTGGAAGTGGATATTCCAGCCCCTTTTCAGACATCGCACAGAGTTCAATTGGCTATTCTATAGCTGTGCCCCAGATTTTGACTAAAACAAAGCGTGCAGGGTGTGCTAATTACAGCACGTTTAGGCTTTTAGGTTCCATAACAGGCCCTGGTCCATAGCTGTTCCCACACCCCGGAAAGACGCAGCTGCCAAACTGGTGCCCTACCGTTCAGCTGGTTCCGCCTGCCGCAGCTGCCGTTACCAACTTTTTACCATCCCTTACCGACGTAATAACTGCCAGCCCACCAGGGAAACGCAGGGATTGGGTTTCCCATTCCACGCTAGGCGAGACCAAGAAATTCGAGGCTTCCCAGATTGCCACGGCACGCGGCCAAATCAGCGATCTCGCAATCCTGTAATCTATGCACGCCACGTTCTTTGATGACTGCAACAGAAAAAACCGATAGAAAAAAAAGTAAAAAGGTAGCCACATAACGTGTTCACAACTGACTCAACCCATTGATAAGAAAGAAACTCAATTCCCTTAATTCGTTCAGCCAGTTCATGGCACCCGGTCATCTTCATTTCCAACATCATCATCAATTGCAGCCCAATTGAACCTGCCACATGCGCGTTGAAGATGTGCCGCTTTTTGGTAATTCATCCTCTTGGGCGGTGACAAGCTGTAAGCATTGAACTGACAACCAAATAGGTTTACAGAGGTAGCGACGAGATCCTACTCTCGAAGTTGATTCTCGACCCGACCCATTCGATCCTTAAGCAGTCTTTTGACTCGCGACTCCGACTAGTAAGTTGCACCGTGCCTTATCACCAGTATCACATAGGTACTCTGTAGGTAAACAAAGCACTGAAGAATGAGTATGACTGACTTTTGCCCTCCGTCTTACAGGATACACGACGTGGTCAGAACAACGCGGATGGATTTGGTATCGGATTTTACACCGACCCGAAATTGGGTGCCGCTCCCTGCATATTTACCTCAACCATTCCAGCCTGGAATTGCACCAATCTACACCGCATTGCCTCAAAGACAGCATCCCGACTCGTATTCGCACACGTTCGAGCTACGACTGAAGGTTCCTTGAGCGAGGATAATTGCCATCCATTTTACCATGGAAGTTTGATGTTTATGCACAATGGGGGATTAGGAGGCTGGAAGCATATCAAGAGAAGGTTAGGTGAACGACTCCACGACAAGTGGTACCTCTGCGTACAAGGTGGAACCGATAGCGAGTGGGCATTTGCTCTGTTCTGCGACCGTCTCGAGCGTCTAGGCGTCAACCCCAGCTCTGAACCAAAGAACGGCTTTGGCCCAAGCGTAATGCGCAAGGCCCTCTTACAGACAATCGAGATTATCAACGAGCTTACCATGGCAATCCCTGAGAGCATCATCCAGAGCGAGAATGTGGATACCAGAAGTCTGCTGAACTTCGCCGTCACGGACGGCCACAGTATCATCTGCACGAGATACGTGAGCAGCAAGACCGACCAAGCCGCCAGTCTATATTATTCCTCTGGTACCCAATGGGAGACCAAACCCTCCACGCCCTCCGCGTCCAATGACCACGATTACCAGATGGAGCGACGCGATAAGGGAGCAGACATCGTTCTCGTTGCTAGCGAACCCCTGACTTTTGAACGAGGTATGATCCTATCCATATACACTAACATGTATAAGGCTAATAGAAGTGTAGAAAATTGGGTCAATGTTCCCACTAACTCCATCCTGACCATTCATGGCCAAACAGTTATGGTCAACCCGATCATTGATGCCTTTTCTGATCGTGACCCGTACCACCAGCGCTCTTCAGCATTTGCGCAGACCAAAGGCCTCACTACAAACGAGAAGGCAGCTACGCGTGTTGCTAGCCCTATATCTACCCCAGGTATCGATCTGGAAAGTCAGAGGCGTATTCTCGCTCCATTGATTCCTTCGGGTATCGGACGAAGTCGAACACCGGAAGGACCATCACTGCCGATTCGGCCGAAGACCTCTCTCGCGTACGCAGAGTCAAGCTTAGCCTCGGACATCCGTCTTCCTCCTAGTGACCCCCCTCCCCGCCCAACGGCTCGCCCGGATATCGGCCCCAAGCACCCTTCCCAAGGCAATATTAAGAAGAAACGCCGATCTCTTAACTTCGGAGAACAGCCTCATCCTGCCGATCATCAGGTGGATACGGAGCTACCGATGCCGGACAGCCCTATCCAGAGCACTATGTCGAGAGCTCCCGACTACACTACCTCGGAGAAGGCAGCACGTGTCCTCGGAATGTCCCTATAGTAAGGGAACTTCGTAGCATAGCCTACCTCTCCATCTTTTATGTTCTCATGGCGCTGCGTGGTGGATTAGGATTTCGAGATTCGACGACAGAATGATTTTTTTTTTTCGCAGGGCGGCAATAGCAAGGCGTTTCCGGTCGCTGGACTGTTTGAGGGGAGTAGCTTCACGTCTTCACATGCGTAGCATAGCACTAAAAGTTGATCGCAATCCCATACCCGATATTGAATTGAAGCTAATTTTTTTAAACGATGTTGATGATGAGTGATTTTGGTGCTTGATTAAGTTGATTGTGTTTTTGGGTATGTGTGTATACGTAATCCCATCTATCCCTTCCCACGGCTCGAGAATCTGACATACCGGATTAGGCAGTCAAGAGCGCGAAGGTAACAGCTCTATGCAAGTGTACGACATCTTGCGATATAAGTAAGTAACCTTATGATATGACTCACCCGGGCAGAATGGCGTCAGAAAAAGCATGCGATGTGTTGAACTGTAACGAGAAATATCCCCTGTGTTACACAATCGGCATCGTTAACCTACTATAGCACGTGTAACTTACTCATATTGGCGGACCAGGGGATATTCTGATGCACACATGGGGCGCTTTCTGACGCCATCCTATCGGGTTATAGTTTGCGGGATACGCCGTGGTGCATTTCAATATAGCTTCATTATAGCGATACTCATTTATTAATAACCCCATTAAATATTTGTATACTACTAAGTAGATGATTGCCATAGAGAGGTTTTGCCATTATCCCTTGTTACCAACCCCCATTCTGTATAACATCGACTCCAATACGGACACTTATCAGGGCTATGAAATTAACACGCTATTCATCAAAGAGGCTCAATGGCGTGCGGAGTCCGTTGCAATTCCGATGTTATGCACCCAACTTTATCCCGACTTCATAAGTCTTTATTTCCACTCGCCTTCTTCATCTTTCGGGATAGGCTGTATCACTTATCACTTTCAACACTCGATTGAACAGAATAAGCCCACATAACACATGTGTCACTATTTTTTTTTGGCTGAGTAGAGAGAAGCAGGAAGTTCTCAGTCTGGCTGAACTTTTATTGAATTCCGAAATGATTATTTCCGCGTTCAACGGCGGGCCGTGGAAGTTGTGACAAGCCACATGGCGTCGGCAGCACACCCTCTTAAAGAAAGCGGGTTGATTCTCTTATATTCTATGGTTCGATCAGACCAAGTAATTTTATTTCTGGGAATATCCTAGGTACCCGGGCATTGACCTTATCCCTCACTTAACGGAACTTCTTGAAATTTTAATAGCGTTATAGGACTTTTCTTTTTTTAAAGGGGTCCGTATATCCGTAGAAAAAGGATTCGAAGCGGCCTTGGCAAAACTTAGGACGATTAAACAAAGCTCGCTTCGAAGTTACCTCCTACGTATCTTCAAAAATGGGTTTCCCTATCATTTGAAAGGTTACTAATGTACCAACAAAAACCAGGGTTATATGTACAATTTTCCCATTTCTATATCCAACACCGCTTTTGCTGCAGTCTATAACATACGAACCCTCCTATAAATGTCATACCCAAGACTTGGTGCCCACCTTACTAAGTTATGCTAGGTTTAGCACCGGTAGATCATCACGTAAGCTTATAGTAGTACCCACGATAGCGAGCTTAAGCAGAGGTACCGTTGAATTGTCAATGCCACTCAGAATCGGTTGTCTCACTTTTTGTCCGCATTTCACCGCGCCGTTGGGAACGGGCTAACATTAATCTCAGATCCGTGGTTCGTAGGCCGCGCCTTATCGGGATGACTTGCATAACCCCTCTCGATGGTAGCATACTTGGTCGAAGGAATACCTACATAAGTTGAGACCTGGGAGCTCAGAATGATTCTGGGCAATTCACGAGTGACATTGTAACACATCATTTTCTTCGAATATTCTATATACCCGAGTTCCCCCCTTTTTAAAATCTTTGAAAAATTCCACCTAAATAGGTAAATTTCTGCTCAGACTACAGTAAAATCATGGCGGATACTTATGACTTCGTGATTGTTGGTAGTAAGTCAGAATCCTACTACATGACCCCACACTTCGGAATTAGCTGACGGCATCACATAGGCGGGCCGGCTGGTAGTTCCATCGCTTCCTCCCTCGCCAAGTCCGCGAAGAAGCCGAAGGTTCTTCTCCTCGAAGCCGGGGGCAAGAACGATGACAAGAACCTGCGCGTCGACGGGCAGCGCTGGATGACGTTTCAGAACAAGGAAATGAACTGGGGTTACAAGACCACGCCGCAGGAGCACTGCGCGGGCCGCGAGCTTGACTATTCGCGGGGTCTGGGGCTAGGCGGCTCTAGTGCCGTTAATTTTAGCGTCTTCAATGCGGGCGCCGTTGCCGACTACGAGGAGTGGGCACGGATTATGGACGATGACGCCTTCAATTGGCCGAACATGCAACGCCGGTTTAAGACCCTTGAGTCGTTTGATTTGACGCTGCCGGCGGGTGTCGATAGCAAATATGCCGCGCCGAAAGCCGAAAATCACGGTAGTTCGGGACCGTTGAAGACGAGCTATGTGGCCGAAGTGGAGAAGGATTTGATACCCGCCTTAGACCTCTTTGAGAAGGCCGGGTTTCCCCTGAATCCGGATGTATGTTCTTCACCCTTTTCTAATCAGTCTTAAGACCTAGTATCTCTATCAACTATTACCACCGGGGATCCCAAACAAGAAACCGGGCCCGTGTCCGAAGAAATATCCACTAACCATGTTTATCGTAGCACAATTCCGGTAACCCAATCGGCATGGCCCTAGGGATCAACTCATCCGGAAAAGGAGTTCGATCTACGGCAGCGGACCTTCTCACACCAACGCCGGAAAACCTCACCATTCTCACCCACTCTCCGGTTCAACGGATAATAATCGAGGGTAAAAAAGCCGTCGGCGTAGAATCTAATGGCAAAAAGTGTAAGTTGGACGTTCGTGTCACTCGAAAATTATGATACTAAACCATCGCCTTTAGACCTAGCATCCAAGGAGGTGATCCTCTCAGCAGGCTCCCTCAATGACCCCAAAATCCTAATGCACTCTGGCATCGGTCCCAAAGCGCAACTAGAAAAATTCGGTCTCCCCATCATCCAAGACGTGCCAGCAATCGGTCAAGGGCTACGAGACCACATGTTCGTACCCCTCGCCTACCAGCGAACAGAAGGCGAAACCGAGCGACCCGCTTTCTACGGGGACCACGAAGCAATGTCAACAGCGCTCGAGCAGTGGAAAAAAGACGGCACAGGGCCCTGGGCGAAATTCGGGTGCGAGCTGCTAATCGGGTGGTTCAAGCTCCCACACATCGCCAGCCTGCCCGAATTCCAAGCCCTATCCTCCACCGAGCAGAACTACCAAAACCAGCCCACGGTGCCGCACTACGAGATAATCTCGCACTTCCCACTGCACCACTTCATCCCCTCCTTCCCGGCCACGTCGCTGAACTACTCCTGCCTCATCGTGTTCCTGTACAACGCGCAGAGCCGGGGCGAAGTAACCCTGCAATCGGCGGACCCGGCCGCGGCCCCGCTGATCGACCCGAAATTCCTGTCCACGCCGTACGACCGCCGCGCCGCGGTCGAGATCATGAAGGAGGTGAACCGCTTCCTGAGGTACGAGGGGTACGCCAAAGACACGGTATCGACGATCGCGGGGCCGGCGGGCGATTCCGACGAGGAGTTGCTGGAGTACTGGCGGCAGAATATTAGCTCCAGCTGGCATATGACCGGGACGGCGAAGATGGGACGGCCGGGCGATGCGGACGCGGCTGTTGATAAGGACTTTCGGTTGATGGGTATTGATAACCTCCGTGTGGCCGATATGAGCGTCGTCCCTGTTCTTGCGAGCTGTCATGTTCAGACTGTTGCGTATCTCACCGGCCTGACCTGCGCCGAGAAGCTGATTGCCGAATATGACCTTGCTTGAGTCAGCAAGGGGACTTGAAAGACGTTTATGGCGCTGTAAATCCGTGGTCTATTCCTGTAGCTGATAAGTTAGCCTAGGGGTTAAACGAATTAGAAATGACCTAATGAAGAGACATGGTTCCAGACACTCTCGTCAACTTTTTATACGGTACATGTCTTGCCAAGTATTGCTATTCAAGAAAGGGGGGATCAAATCTATGTGACATCACGAACATGTTGGCAACGTAGCCGACCATCGAGTTGGGACTTGGAAATTTATCTAAGCACGCACAATGACCGCTAAAGCAACCTTTTTAACTCCTCTCCCCGTCATGATAATTCGTTAGAAGTAACCGAGGGATGTTGTATACACTCAAAAGAGCCCCCATCGTCCACGTTCCTTATCCCCTCCCTTCTTTATGCCCCTCGACCTTTCCTTTTCTAAGCCTTCGAGCTGTCTAAGGCTCTCCATCTTCTCGAGCACTAGCTCTAGAAGCTCCTTACGCCTGATGACCTCGAGATGCTTCTTGATCTTGGGGTCCTCCTTGGCGAACTTTTCTACCTGATCATCCGATAGATGGCGTCCAAGTCGCAGGTCCAATTCTCGCGGAAAGTTGTAATAGAACTCCGAAAGTAGCTCTACGTTTAAGAAAAGGACAGCGGTAGACGCAAGTTTCGAAGCGACTGCATCCAAGAAAACCTCTGGGCAGTGATATTTATTCTTGATGTTAGCGCATTGTTTTGACTTGACCGCAAGAATTCGCATCTTGATGATATCTGCACGATCGCGTAGAAAGACGGCTTCTCGTCCTAGAAAAAGGATTAGTGGAGACGTCTAAATTGGGTTAGAATCAAAATATCTTACCTCGAGAAAGCAACTCGGCACTAAAACCTCCCGCGCCACTGCGGTCCTCGCCTTCAACTATTACATCGCCTCTCCTAGCCTTGTCAACGAAGTTAATAACCTCCTTTAGCTTCCTTCGTCCGCCAACTGTTGTCTCGAGCTCTTTCATGGCACCCTCGCAGGCAGACAGCTCCTTTTTCAAGACACCTTGGACATGGTCTCGGCCTGCGGTCCATTCGCGCTCTTCCATGTCAATCTCGAATTTGAAAGGCTTGATGCAATTTTCTACTTGATCGCTAGTGCTGTAGAACCTATCATTCAAGATAGTCGAAGCAGCCTCGGTGATCGCCTGGCGCGCAAATGGGTGATTCACAAAAGTTGATTGGCCGATTAGAGCATCAACCTGAGATTGGATAGAGCCGGCTACCACGTTAGTGGCCAGTCTACCAACACCAAGTTTCGTGAGCGCTGAAGTAGAAGCATCAAGTTGCCTTCGCCAGTAAAGAGAATTCGGATCCGCTTTAGGGAGATCGACGAGACTGTTAGGCTCGGCGATGGGAACGCTCAGATCGTAAATAGGCTTGTTCCAGTATCTAGCTGCTAGTAGGTCAAGCATCCGTTGATCAAGCTCGTTCTTTAAAAGCTCGTGCATTTCAGGCCGGCCAAACTCCTCGGTAAGCCGCTTGAAAGAGTGCTTGAAAGCATCTAAACTCTCAGCTAGGTATGACTCAGCGGATAATGGTCGGTCGTTATATTGCACTTTGAACTCATAAGTGGCCTCTTCAAGTTCTTGCCGTATCGCATCGCTCGTCGACTGTAGACTAGCTGACATAGTCTGTTCTAAAACATGCATGAGCTTCTTGCGTAGTGTTGATGTCCCAACTTGGACATCCGAACTGGGGCCAAATTCTAATGGGTGGCTTGAGAAAAATGAATTTTCGTTGCGAGTAACAGCGGACGTGACGTTAGCGTTACCCTTCTTGAATAAACCAGTCGATACAGGCGCACGAGATATAACGCCAACGTAACCTAACCGAAGAGGATATTGCTTATCGCCTAGGATAGAGGCTCCTCGAGTAGGATCAACTAGGTCCATCTTCGTAACGACACCTATGGTCCGCTCGCCTCTTGGATCAACCCTTCTGCTAGCTCTCAGAGCTGCAGAATTAGCTAGATCGACATCAGCGGCTGAAATGGCTAATATGACATTTGGAGGTTGTATATATCTGTCGCAGAGCTCAGATATTCTCTGTTTGAGCTCTAAAGGCTGGTTTTGACCAACGACTTGAATGTAGCCAGGGAGATCGATCAATGAGAGATCCGGGATGTTCGGCGACGAAATAGACAGTCGGATGGGGTCGTCCGATACGCACTGACTTTCTGGAACAGCCTGGTTCAGTTCTGTCAGAGTTCGCTGGATTGAGGAGAAGTCTGAGATCTTTCCCAACCCCAAATCCGGAAATTCACCAAATTCGGCATCCGAGTCGGGTGTATTGATAAGGGTGAGTTCAATAGGTCTTCGAGTAACCATGTTTGACCCCTTTGGCAAAAACTCGTGTCCTACAATAGCTTCGAGCACAGAACTCTTTCCAGATGACTGCGATCCAATGACGACGATAGAGGGCAAAGTTAGAGTGCTAGACTGTCCAACTCTTGCCAGAATATTGCGAATTTCAATCATCTTTTTAGTCAAGACCATCATCTGGTCGTCCTTAGCCATCTCATCAGCACTTCGCGGATCATCGTCGGAAGACTGATCGTAACCGTAGGCGGCAGCACTGGCGCCGACAGCAGCTGCGGCACCTGCTCTGCTTTGTTTTGGCGGCTCCTCGCCACCAGGTCCATCACCTTGTTTTCCAGTTCCTATCTCTTCTTGAACCGTTAAAAGATTCTGCATCCACTCAGGTAACTCGACTTTCTCTTTCGTGTTTCGCCACCCTTGCATCGTCTGGTCGGCAATACCCTTTGCACCATCGAACAGACCTGTCGCTGTGTTTGTAACGGTATCTTTCGTGTTAATGACTATATCCCAGGCATAATTCCCGGCCTCTAGATTCCGTATTAGTGCCTGCTACTAAACCACACCACAAGGAAATTTCAAGGATTCAACGCACGTGTAGCCTGATACTGTACCCAAGCCAGTCCACCGATCATCACACCACCTGCCATAGCGGGTATCCTTATAAATTTGACGACCAACCTCGGTAGGAAACGAGCGAAGGACGCATTGCGTACGGTAACGGCATTGTGGAATGAGTTCACCGGGAACCACATCCGCCGGCGGGTTGCACGAACAGCGGCATCAGCACGAAGGAGACCGCCAGAGGGCAGCTGATGATATTGTCGTATAACTCGAACCGAGGCCGAACGCATCGCCGGGAGGCGCCCGACCGCTGATATTAACCGTCCGCTCATGCCGGTTGTGAGAGGCGGAGGTGATTTGAAGCCCGATAGTAGAGAACCATAAAGGTCGACGGCTTTCAGTTCTTGATCCGACACGGCAGATACGGCAGAAACGGAGAAATTGGGTTGCTTGTAAATTGGCAGGTTGGTCAAGCGATGGCGGGACAAAAGATAAAGTGGGTTGGTGGCGTGGAGCTTTGAAGTTCCAAGGTTGAGAATATTATGTGGGTATTCTTATCGTGTCCGGACAGGGGGGATTTAGATTAGCAGATTAGGTGATTAGGTGCTGTGGCTAATACATGTGGCTTTGCCAGCTTTTACAAAACCCCTCCCCCTCTTTTGAATTTTGAACTCTGAACTGGAACCAATTAAAAAGCATGGGTTGGATGATTAAATTTCAACAACGTTATGAAAGCATCGTATATTAATCGTGAACTATTTCCCCTGTTCCATATCGGCAACTGTATTTCTTGTTGATAATCGAGTTAGCACTCAATACAAGTTACATCTTACGACTGTTGTCTGTCTTATGAATTTGCTACCAATACTATTAGCCAGTGCTAGTACTTCGACAATGATACGACCAGCCTGTTACATGTGAGAGAATCTTTACAGATCTATCAAGGTGCATATTGGTGTACCTAGGCCTCAGGCAAATGATGAGGCGATTGTTTTTTGACCAAAGCTTAATGCCAACACCCCGAAACTATACGTCCTGATCCGTGGTTATTAGGTAAAGAGATAAACTCGGGGAAACAAAAACGCAGGTGAAATATTTGAGAGAAACTCCTCGAACACGAAGAAGAGAATGGATATAAGGGAACCACCCACGAATACCCGCCCGTCCTATACGAAAGGAACGAATAAAAATTGGAGGATGACTCTAATACTCTAACATATGATATCCCAACAGCTGCCCATACCCATCTCGTCGACTTTCAAAAGAAACCCTATTTTAAGGTGAAACTGGAACCCTGAAAGAGTAGGATGGGTATAATGGAAATGAATACATGAGTTGGGCAATAATCGAATATTGTTAAAATATTGTCGGGAAAAGGACTTCTTATCAAAGGATTCTCAGCAGAGAATGGTCCCAGAGCTGAACACCTCATAGTCTTGAGTACTCCTAAACCTATTAAGTATATAAAAGTTACGGAATAACTTTGTATATAAATTTAGTTAATTCTTTCAGATTAAAAGAATTATTCGGAATTGTTTGCCATTGATTTAATGTGAGATGTGAATGTGGAAGTGTGAGAGTTGCGGAAAATTTAGCCACCATCCGGAAAGCGGTTTATACGGGTACAAACATTTGAACTAATAGGTCCTAAGTATGTGAAGAACAAAGGCAGATTGAAGAAACTGCTACCAATAAAGTTCAAAATAGAATGTAAAGGCGACGCAAAGGGAAATGGTACGAATAAAGTTTATTAAGCTATTCCACTAATTAAATTTTAAATCTGCTCTGGGGAAGAAAAAAAAACATCTTGACTCTTAATCTGATGCAAGTCAATCATATCTCATTCATTACACATCACGCATCACACACCACACAATCACACTGAGGCTGCGGTACCCAACTTACCAACCCCAACTGAGATTTTGAGGCATGGAGTCCCTGAGACACCAGCTTTCCGAAACGCAAGATGCGCTTCACAAGAAAACCAGCCAGTTCAGAGATTTGCGTGCAAAGCACACAGAAGAGCTGAATGAGTGGAAGCAGGAGAAGATTAGTTTCGATGCGACGCTGCGACGGCTCGAAGCCGAAGTTCTACAACTACGCCAAGGAAATGGAGCTACCGGAAGTAGCGCGAAGCTACTACCCACCCCAGCAACGGAAGGAATGAAGAATGTAGGCGGAGGCTTAAATCCGAAACCGACTTTGATTAACGAAGGCATCACCACCAGTGCGAAGGTGGGAGGTGGTGGCGATGATGAGACGGTCGTGATATCCCGTTCACGGATGCGAGAGGCGGAGGAAAAGTTCGAGAAGCTAAAGGAAGAGCTAGCTGAAAAAACCAAGCTTTGCGAATCCATACAGCGACGCTTTCCGCCCCCAAGCTGCAGTGTCCGAGTCCCGGAATTCAGCATCACCGACGACGTGTTAATTGTAAACTGGGAAAAATTACGAAGCATGATCAGAGCCCTCACCTTGGAGAAACTCAACCAACCCATCCAACCGAAGCTAGTGCCGGAAAAAGCACGATCGGAATTCGAGGCGCTGACGAGACATTGGAAGTCGTACGTGGGCAACGAGAAATTGACATGCTATATCTTCCGAGCGCTCATCTGGCGGTACCTGCATACGTGTTTATTGCGAAAGCACTGGCAGGTATGGGGAAAGGAACATGGCGACGCAGGTGTCAACCTGGCAAACCTATTCCTGAATAAGGCGTCCGACGACGAATACCACGCCTGGCGAGTGCACACGCTCCGGCTCATGCACCAAACCTGCAAGCCTGACCCGGGCATCATGAACGACGTGACGAACAAGATAGTGGAAGCTACGAAACTATTCGCGACCGGCGACGACACGGATGACCTGAAGAAGAAGCTATCGGAGATTGTGGCCGCGGCGGCGGAATTCAGCAGTATCTTCGGTCGCTCACACTATCAGACCTTGATGACGGATAAACCCGGCAGCCAGCTCAATTACGGATTCCCGTACAAGCCGGAAACGATGGATGTGAAGGGCAAGTTAGGAACACACACAATTGTGGATCTGATGGTTACGCCATGTCTGCTGAAGAAAGACCCGGATTACGCTGTGCTGGTGAAAGCGGAGGTTATCTGCTGAGGGGAGGGACTGTGAGATTCGTGGAATTAATGAGAACTAGGTTCTTGCCTACCTAGGTGCGATAAAATGCAGAATCGGTGGAGGCGCGAAATGGATTTGCGACGAGGCACGGAAAATCTGAATCATGCGACGATAGCAACGCAACAATTGTTCTTATCCATGGATGAGTATGTGCTTCGTGATATGAAGCATAAGAGGCCATTGTTTGATACCCATCCCTATTACTTAAGTCTTAGGTACCTACCTACAGTTAGATAGGCAGTTAATGAACTCATCAACCCTATCTGAAAATCGATAGTTTTGATACTAAACGTTCTGGTCTTTGCTTACAACTGTAATCTAGCGGAGATAGGTTTAGGAATCGTTAAATAAGACGCTTACCTTCAGTACCTGTACAGAAGGCGCATTCAAAAGATTTTGCCATAGGCGGATCAACACCAGCTGGCGCTGTATCCGCTCACAGCTGTCACCCAGCTGCTGACTGCTGGCTCTAATCCCCTCGACAGCTGCAAACACTCATGCCAACAGTTGGCTTGCAGCTGTGGTCCACCTCAATGCCAGCTGTTGCCGATCTACCTATGGCAAAATGTTTTGAATGCGCCTTCTGTAGGTATTAGATCAATAGCTTTTTAGCGTGCCAGTCTGTCAGCTGTGGCGCTTCTCTCCACTATTAAACATACCGAGCCCCTCCTTCTCCCCCCTAATTGTTCCAATCAACACCGGCCTGAATTTGCTACTAAACCCAGGTCTTTTCATCAGTTACTATTTCATATTGGGTATTCAACTTGGATTATTTCTCTTGGCTATAAATATACCTATCCAAAGGCATTCATATATATGGCTACTACCGCCGCGGAGCTTGTTTTCTCGCCACAAGCAAACCACAATTTCTCACGCATTCTCAACGACCTAAAACGGTCGAACCTCTCCATCACCAATCGCCTGCGCTCCATACGGGAAGATGCAGATTTCGTATCCGAGGTAGCCACTGCATTCTCCCGTCCGCTAATCGCCAATGAGCGATGCGGGAGCTGGTACATCTCCCCTGAGACAAAGGCCGGGTCCGCTTATTTTAAGAGTACGGACGGCCATACCGGACAATGGAGATTCAGCACGCGACGGCTGAACCTCCAACTATTAAGCATAATTGGGAGTAACGATGGCTGCATCATAGTGGATTCGACTAGGAGAGGCAAACGAATGCCCGATGCTCTAAGCAAGACCGTACCGATTTGGTGCTGCGTCCTGAACCGTGTTCTATTCCCCGACACTCCGGCGTTCCACGAGCTTCACACGCCTCCTAATGCTGTCTCGGAGTCTGAACACGCCCAGATCGATTCCAGGATCCCCGAGCATGTGGATTCTCTCAGGGCACTCGACATCAATTTAGATGTCTTACGCCAACAGGTGAAGAAGCCTCTTAGGCCTATATGGGTAACACAAGATTCCCAGCTGGTACCAACAGATGAGATATTTGACGAATTTCACCCTGTAATCTGCTGTACTAGCTCCCGCAGAGTCGCTGGCGGGGAGATGAGCGAGGGCGGGTACATCCAGGGCGCCGGTGACGACACCGAGAACTGGGCGCTGGGCTTGACCCCGCCTGTTTTCTGGCGCCACGCAGATATCCTGCTATCAACTCCGGAACCTGATTTATCTGATTTGGTGCGCTCATTAGTATCCGATGAAACCGTGAATATGAGCACAACAAGTCCCAGAAAAATTGCGCCATGTCTATCCGTCAGCTGCTTGCCGCTTGGCGCATCACCGCCATCGACTTGCGTCGTTGCTATTTATTCCAAGACCACGGATCCAAGTTCATGGGTTAAAAGCCCATTGCTTATGGAAGTTGGCGTGGGTAAACACAAACTTGCCAGTCGCAATCTTCGCATGGCTCTTCCAGCTATTGGCGACTTTGTACGCCAGTTTCTAGAGCGAACATCAGATTTAGATGCTTCGGAAGACTCAGATTCGAGTTCTCCTGAGCCGAGACAAATTTTAATCGCCTGCGAAACTGGTAAAGATATCTCGATCGGGGTGGCTCTTGCGCTCCTTTGCCAACATTTTGACAGTGAAGGTAAAGTTAGACCACAGCCATCCCCATCCGGCCATACGAAGAGTGATATTAGGGTGAAGCTTAGTCGCATCATGACAAACTTTCCCGAGGCGAACCCAAGCAGAACAACTTTGCAAAGTGTTAATAGCTACCTAATGGGCTAGAAGCCCGGGTCGCTATCAACGCATTGTATCGATGTATTTTAGGGTCTTCTGGTCGTTTGGCCCGAATACATTGTTTTATGCAAGTTTGTCAGATGCTTCTCCAGGCAATCCGAATTGTCTCTAATCTCATGTCGATCTTTGTTATCGCTATGGACCTTCGAAATTTACCGAAGCGAGTAATTGGGTCTAATCAGGTAATTTGAAGATCCCCAAAGATCTGACCTTGTGAAAATCTCAACACAAGCTGGCTTTGTCTTGGGGATCAACGGCCACGTGCATTGGCGTACCAATCGAGATCCGATACCATGGCCCGAGCTAGATCTGTACTAGTCCTGTCCTGCTGTGATTCTCAAACCAGCTTATGTGAACGGTGGTTATCGGTTATCTGTTCATGAGCAAAGCATAAAGGTTCTCTTGTTGTTGTTGGGTATCCGAGGGTGGAAATAGGAAACACTCCATCATCTAGCTCGACTTTATCAAGTTTTGCTTACCGTCTGGATTGATGTCGCTCCTGGGGAATTAATAAGTGATTTATCAGAATCAATCAGAACATCAATTTTAACTTTAGGATGCAACCCCGGTGCCGTCATGTTATCTTCCCAACATCTCATTCGGTCGCTCCGGCATTGTGCGACTCGTAGGATCATGCAGGAACATTGGCTGACGGGGCCGGCCCGATACAACCAAACGGCTGTATTGCCTACCTTAATTCTTCCAAATTTGGTCGTCTCTGGGGTTAAGCTTCGGAGCTGTGGGGCTCGAGATCTTCGATTTAGGAATGAGATGATTCCTATCAGACCCTTAATGCTACTATAAGGATATAGGCCCCTCCTCCTTCGCCGCTAAAGAAGGAGACTGCGAGTGCTCTCGGGCCCGAACCGTAGCTCTGTCTCGACGTCACAGTAAGCCCTAAGCGGCGCGCCGTCCAACCCTCGAAAATGTACAAGAGCCTCGAGCTTTCTGCGTTCGCATTCTTCTATAACATGATACCTACTTAATTTCTCCTCTTGTCTCATCTCGTGTCTCGTTCTCTTCCTTTAAGCAAGCCACTATGTCGGCTAGAGCCAGCACTTCTTCATCATCTGTCATGAAGTTCGGGCTGCAACGTCCCGTATGAGTCTACAGGAACCGATGTGCATGGGATACCCGTAGCTCGAGCACCGCGATATAATTAGCATCGGGATTAAGTGGTTGGTCCTGGAAATCTGCGACCATCCAGGCCTCGCCCTGGAGTTTATTTTATCCTCCCGGGCTGCTGTGGAACGGGTCACAAACTTTGACGTTCCAGCTCGACAGTTTCGAACTTAGTGTTCTTCATCGATGACTTCGAAAAATGCCAGTCTCAGATAATGCTGTCCTATTTTCCTGTATCGTCACGCTTATCTTGGCTATTGCCATCCTAGCCGTCGGGTTACGGCTTCATGTTCGTGTGTCGCTACTCAAGAATCCGGGAAAGGATGATTGGCTATGTCTCGCAGCACTAGTAGGTGTTTTCCGAAGAAGTGCTTCCTTTTGAGAGTAGCTAACAATTTTGTGCAGTGTTGTGGTCTGGGAACCTATCTAGCGAATATGGCTGGTTGGTGAATTCGATGGCGAATATCTTTACAATACTGATCAAATTGCATCACTAGGCGTAGCAGTAGGTTTCGGTGATTCACTGTTAGACATGACCCCTGAAAATCGAACAACCACGCTCAAGGCAAGCCTCCCACCAAAACCACCACCTACCACCCCTCACTAACACCCACCCAGACAATATGGATCTCCCCTCCCCTCTGGGGCCTCTCCTCCTCACTCATAAAAATGTCCATAATAACATCCTACCTCCGAATCTGGTCCGACCGACCCTTCAAACTCCTCTGCCACATCCTCCTCGCCATCCTCACACTCTTCGGTCTCTCCCTCTTCTTCGGCGGCGTATTCGCCTGCGTCCCAATCTCTCTCTCCTGGACGCCTCCATCACCCACCTCGCGCTCCGCATCTCAATGCATCAACCTGCCTCTCTTCATGTTCATAACCTCAACCGTAAACACCGCCCTCGACCTCGTCATCTTCGCCATCCCAGTCCCCCTAGTCCACCGCCTGCAGATCGCCGCGCGCCAGAAAGTCGCGCTAACCGGCGTTTTTACCATCGGCGCCGTCGTCTGTGTCGCTTCCGTCATGCGGCTGGTGTCCATCTACGAGCTGGACACCACCACTGACCCGAGCGAAGGCGGCATTCGTCTAGGCCTATGGTCCGGCATCGAGAGTAACCTCGCTATAACCTGCGCCTGCCTGCCTACCTTGCGACCCGTGATAGCACGTGTGTTCCCGCGGCTATTACTAAGCGCCACATCGCACAGCGCGCCGAGCTGGGGGCGGAGGAGCGCGGGCGTGAGTGCAGGGGGCTCGCGGCGGTGGACGCGGCGCGAGACGGGCACGTACCGGGTGCCCGAGCTGCAGACTGATGAGTTTAGCCGGTACGATGACCGCAAGCTAGGACATGAAGATATAGAGATGGGCGCGATCCGGGTGAACTCGAGCTTCCGAGTCGACGTCGAGAGCGTCGGGGCGCCGACTCCGGCGCACGTAGATAGGCATGACCACACGTCGTATATGGATTTAAGCTAATGAATGAATACTAAAATTTGATTCTACCGCCTGACCACATGATAATAATTAATGCTTGGCCCAATACTAGCTGTCTATAGGTATATTGTCTCATCACAAGACTAGTTGCGCTTCGAGAGAGAGGGTATCGATCTCACATCTTTCAGCCCATTTCCAAAACAGCCTTTTTAGTCATGTCATCCTGAACCCAGCTGACGATAGTTTGACCGACATCACCGACGAGTCTTTCGTAGTGTTCGCCTCTGAAGAATAGACCTGTATGCGCGCCGACTTGATCTGTGTCTTTCATGAAGATCTTGACCCATTTCGGATCCATTTGGCCATTTACCATTGGTGGTGTGTTGCAGAACTTTCGTTCCTTTGGTTGCTTGACAGGTTTGGTCTTGTTTTGCGATTTCCCCGACGGACTCGGTAGAGGCGATGCAATGTCATGATCTGAACTTCTCGATTCCTGTAAAGTTAGGGGATGAGGTGCATGTTTCGACGTAGCCTCTTCTAAAGTTGGGGGTTTTGATGCGGCAGCCATGGCCTCTTCTTTCTTGCGCCGTTTCTGTTCTTCCTTCTCTCGCTTCTCTGTCTCTTGTGCCAGTTTCTTTTTTCTCTTATCGAAAATCTTCTGTCTCTCTTTGATTGTCCTCTCTCGCTCCTTTACGAGCTTAGCGTAATCTTTCTGTGCACGCTTCGCCTCTCTTTCGGCCTGTTTCCGGGTATCTTTATCCGTATACTGTTCTAAATTTGGGGGTTCAGGTTCTTGAGGAAGTTCTGGGATCGCTGGGAGATCAAGACCTAAAGCTGCTATGGAGTCGCTGAGATTGGTGGTCCCAACCGTGTCATGAGTCTCCGAGAATTCTTTAGAAAGGTGATGGTCCTGGCTTTGTTGGGGATTCGTGTCTGTGTTATCTCCACTACCAGAAGGCTCAACGTCAACTAGGCAAGGTTCTAAAGATTTGCTCTTAGAGTCCTCTAGCGACTGTTGAGATAAACTGGATTCAGGCATTGGTTCGGGATCTTCAGAGATTGGTTCTGGGTCAAGTAGCTGCAAACCTGGACCCTCGCCGTCCGCATCACAATATTCCTCTTCAGAAGCGGCGTTTGTCAGGATGTGTTTACTTGAAGGGCTGTTATGATTCTGAATTGAAACCTGTGGTGTTGAGGGCGCCGAATGTATACTGTTTGGTACCTCAGGGGTTTCTGGTCTGTTTTCTGGTCTGTTATCAGAATTCTGGGCTTTGGGCTTCTTAGGATACCCGTGGCACACGGTGTAGTATTGAGTAAATCGAATTTGGGGAGGTACGTGAGGGAAGCCGTGGTGCTTTATGTCGTCAACATCTTCTAGCTTACGAATATTTTCGTAGCGCGTCTTTAGACCATTGATATCTATAAGGCAGCCTCCAAATTCCATATGCGACATGATGTGGTTAGTGGCAGCATCTACAAGACCCTCTGAATTATGCTTCTCAACAAAGTGTACAATGTTCCTCCACCAACCCCTGTCTTGTAAACGGACGTCGTTGGTGAACGATGGGTTGAAATTTGGATCGAACGTTATACCATGCCGTCCACGAATCCCTGGTGAACTCGAAGAGTGCGACGAAACCAGAGAGGCGCCCGACGGATCAGAGTATATTGAAGTACTTGCTGAAGTGATGTTAGATATGGGCACAGCTGATTCATCCTCTGGTATCAGATCTTCTGGTACGTTGGCTGGGTCTGGTCTGTCTGGCTTCTCTGGTTTTGGCCGAAACAAGCTGGCAATGCCGGCTGTGATAATACCAGGATGAAGCCCAAGGAGGGGCACATCTAAATGCACTGTCCCTAGGATACGATGGAGGAAGTATCCAATACGATATTGATCCCTCGACGGCTAATTAACTGTTAGCCACCTAGGTAATGGGACAGTGGATGCAGAGCGGGTTCTTACCATCAAGGCAATATCAGCAGCTAACATTCCTCCCATGGAGTGACCGAGAAGCACCACGTCAGTAGTAGGCGATTCATGAGGGGCCAGCCATTGGCTAAAGTTATCACGAGCTACATCGATGGTTTTATAGGTCTTGTATCTTGGGTAAATCTTGGTATGAATAACATGAGTCTCAACAAGTGCTAGCTTGAGGTAGCGATGTACATGGGCTGGAAATGATTGAAAGGAAGAGTCGTTACCCATGAAACCATGGATATATATGACCAGAAGTTTCCGGCGCCCGGAGTCATTCTGCTCTGATGGTGATGGGAGTAAAGATTGGGAAGAGGACGAACGCGGATCGTCTGAAGCAGTATTATATGGCGCAGGCGACGAGCTCTGCCATTGAAGATCCATCTTGGGCTCGGTGACGTCTAGAGGTGAATGGTATGAAGACTTTTGACTCATGATGGTAGTGATGTGAATTAGTCTTATTAAGAATGAATATCAGGTAGATGAGTGGATGTTCTTCTATTTGAACCTAAGCCGAGGCCAAGGGAGGCTCAGCAATAAAGTAGTTCGGTAGTTCAGTGACGTAAGTTATGGTTGACCAAAGCCTATCTGTTTTCGATTGAGCGATCCTGTTGATTTCATAGCTGAGTGATAAGTAGAAAATGATGACAAATGGCCGGAAGAATGAATGTTCTCGTTAAATATCCAGTCACAAAATCACCACGCATATAAGGTTCAAAAGCGGAGTGGGAGAATAGAAGTTGAAGTCGTAGTTGGGAAGTTACGAGCTGAGTGCGACAAACAAGTACGATAAACGAGACATCTCCCCTGCCACTAGGAAGTGTGGGGCCTCCTAGACATGTACCTGCGCATGCCTCAGCCCCGATGTGTAGGTAGTACCTAAAGTCACCTAAAATCACTTAGTGATTGTCACCATCATAATCTGGGCCATTTCTCCTATAAAACGATGGACGATACTTAGGTTATTCTTTAAGTCACTTATTTTAATTACACAATGACGTAAGTCATAGTATACTAAGTGCTAGTTCTTGAGTAAGAATTGCCATAAGCGCACTGACGAATGAGTTGTGAAGATTTTCATATGCCTACCTAGCCAGCAAGCGTAACCCAGTGGTTAGCATACCGTCCCTTAATTGAGAGAGGTATAGAACTCTCATGTATGAATCAGACACAAGTTGCATTTTGAAAACCCGAGTTTCAAATTAATCATTTATTCAATTATCGTCGTCGACGCTATTGGAATACCAAGGTTCAAAACCCAGGAAGTAACACCAACAGTGAGAACCTTCATGGACTAATAGGCCAAAAATATAGTGTAGGATAATCCGGTACTCTTCTTCAAGACGGACCTACTACCACAGAGTCTTCGACTACACTGAGCGAGATATTTTTCAATATCAGGCTCTACCCTTTTCACGAGAATATATCTAGTGAGTACTTACGCTGGATGATGCCTCTCAGAATCAACCGCGAAGATAGTTGAAGGGTATTGCAGAACCGAGTTAAAGCCCAATCCGAATTGCATTAGAGAACTAGGCATCTGGAGCTGTCTAGAAAACTACACAGAATTGCTCATGTCCCACTGGCAACGTTCGTCATTGCCATGATGCAAATAGCCCCCTGTGCCCTCATTCAACCGATTTTTATTGTTCCCCTCAAATCAATATGTACGACAAGCTAGGCTTGGTCGTGCTTGTCATCCGAACCCACGAAAAAGTAGGTATGTATTCAGACGCCCGAGCCTATACATCTTGCCACTCGAACTCCTTACGCCATGCTGAAATCATGAGAAATACAAATGACTGGAGCGTGCTGCCTCGGAATGCCACCTTCAACAAGGTGTTTCAAGAATCTGTCCGTTGTGGCCACTACACGAACCGTCATGTCTCGTCCTTGACTGGGTATCTTTGGATTATGTTCCTATCCTGCTGCCGTAGTGTTGACCGCCAGCGCCGCTGAAAGATGTTTTCCCAGTAGGGTTCTGTCATCGGTTAGTGAAGAGGCTTGCAGAAGACGGACGGTCTGTTTGCACCTGTTTTCTCCTCTTCAGCTTCGATCGGTCATCTCCGTCACCCGTCGAATATCCACCCGCGTCGTCATCTCCATAGCCTTCGCCGTATCCCTCAAAGCTGCTATCCTGGTAACTTCGCTTCTTTCCGAGTCGACGGGCACGATCTATCTGGGGCGTCAAAGGCTTGCTCGGTTTCGGAGTGATTCCAAGGGCTGAGGCCGCTGGAGTGCTAGGCGCCGTTGGCCGCGTAGACTGGTCGTTGCTGGCCTTTTTCGGCAAGGTGCTAGGCGCCAAGTCACCAAGGACGGAGCTGTCCCAAGACGTCTTCGGTATTAAGCCTCGGGCCATCGTAGTCGCTCGGGTTAACTGTGCTTGGTTCATCTGCATTAAGCCTTTCTCAATCTCCCTCCCTTGTACCTCCATAGCAAACCACGTATCCTCGGGAACAACGGATAATGCTAGCAGACCATCTAGCGTCTCTGGTTCTTTTTTGACAGCGTCAAAGTGGCCGCTTAGTCCCAAAGTTCGAATATGTCCTTTATACGTCTTACGTAGCGCATTTTTCTCTCCATTGGGCTTTGTGCGGGCGACTTCGGCAGCAACTCCGGTTAAATCGAACATCTTGAAAAAGTCGTCGGATAGAGACGGATAAGAGGTGGGATAGGCTAGAAAAGAACAGTGTCAACCAAAAAGTACGAATCCTATTCAAGCATCATCTTCAGGAATCACCGCCGATCTGGGGAAGAGAGGGATGATTGGAAGTGTGGCTTGTGTGAGACTAAAAGGGAGCCTTACGAGTACTGCGAAGAAGGTATTTTTCGCCAACATCTAGGTGTAGGTTCTCAATACCAACTCGGCGATTCTCGAGGTAGACCTTCTTTTGCTCATGATCTCCAGCGTCGTCGAAAGGATATTTTCGCTTCGTCGAGTAAATATCCGCCATCGCGGCATCGTGAGACATATCGGTCGCTTGGGCTGATCCATTAACGCTATGTGCCGGCTGCGATAGGTTGCAAAATTAGCAACTAAATTCTTATAGAAAATGAAAATAGTATGACGGTTTGATATAGACAAAAATATGACACGCCACAATATTTTAAATTCTTTGACTTACGGTTGGCAAAGCAGTAGTGATTGAGGTCATGGAACTGTTCATGCTCGATACCTGATCACCTGTGCTCGGAGATAATTGAGAAGGGCTTTGGGGTGTTTGGGGGTTGAATGACATGGTCGCCATCGAGAAAAGATGGTGAACAGGTTATGAGTATCGTAACTTCAAAGCGCGGAGTGATTCTGAGGCAGAGCAGTCGGCAGAGAATCGTAGCGAGTGCGAGCAAAAATTGACGTCGGAGCGCTGACTAGAAACGGGGGGAATGAGACGGAAGATAGCGACGGGAAGGCGAAAGAAGTGTCCCGGAGGATAACTCGATTGATTAATGACGATGCGCTCGATGGGCGATTGTCGGTAAAATGGAGTTGGGTAGATAGGGTGATGAAGATTATCGATCTCACTGTGGCGAGTCGCGCCAAACCGCCGACCGGCTGTTGTGGTCGAATAATCCCGAGTCCACGATCATTCACCGACTTAAATCCTCCGCAAATTCGTATGAATAGATAAAAAACAGTTGATATCGGATATATGAGCGACGTAATCGTTTGAGGGGTGTTTCGCGATGCGTCGTCGTTGTCGCTGTCGATTGTGAGGGGAAACGTGGTCGACAGGTTCGTTGTTGTTAAATGAAAGAAATGCAAGGTGAAGTTGTAGGTGACGGACAGAATGGGCGGACGGGGGGAGGAACATTCAAGTGTGCAGGTGGTGCTTGCCTTGCGACTGGGCAACTCGCCTGGTTCCGCAAGGCTCCGCTTTTTATACAACCACGCCATAGCGCTGAACTTTTTAAACACCCCATAAATACTGACTGTACTTAATAGTAGTGGACCATGTCCCGACTGATGGCATCGGGTTCTGTACTACACACCACTAAAGCTTTGAATCTATCCATTCATCAACAGGACGTTACACGATGAAATCGTTAGAACTACCTTATAGCCTACCTAGTACTGTAGGTAGGTAATTACCTAAGTGATAGATATAAGTGCATTCACATATAGGTACTGTTCAACATATCTTCCAACTCATCTAATATTAATACAACATTTAATATGACTAGGTACAAATCATGACTATTAGCTCTCTCTAGCTTGATAGATTATGATCTATGATTGTAAATTATAACGAGGTTGTCCTATTTACTACCTATTGAATGTCTCACGATCTAATACCTAAAATCGTAGTTCTCCCTGGCGGCCTCACGCTCGGCCTTTAAGCCAATTGATGTCGTGTGCACTCCTATTCCATGGATCTTTACAAGCAGTCCACGCCAATTGCCCAAACTACTAGGTACTGAACTATATGTGTTGGGTGACAGCAAGCAATGTTCTTAGCCTCTTCGTTAGAGTATAAATTCTATGGACCGTTTGATATCGCAACGAATTGTAATAGGATTCATCAAACCCGAGAAACCCCAAAGTTATCCACAATTTGAGATTTCATAGGCTTGAAATAGGTGCCACGGTTCCTGGATGCAGCCTCACGGCGAGGTTCATATATGTACGTGGAAGTATACATATTAGGCACATTAATGAATGAAGGTCTAAATTAACAACAGTATCAATACCCTAATGCCTTCACACATGTATGTGCATGACAAGTTGGCTGAAGAGTAGGTATGTTTGTAGGTATGAATATATTTCGACCTGAACTAGAGCTATCATATGTACCAGGTTTGTCGTGGATATGCTACCTATGTAAGTACCTTGTAGGTACCTGGGAGTTGATTTTTTTTTTTTCGACCACACTCGCCTCCCTAATACAACAACACCATCTATAGGATCCACGGAAGTATGCTAAACATCAAGTGGTCCCGCATTATTGGTCACGGGACAAAGGTCCCGAGGGATGCTTAGTACAAGGCAAAGGAAATTGCTAACAAAGCAACAACAATCGAAAATAATGATATCGACATACTTAGTAATATTTAACACTATGCCTTAAATCTTTGTATTGAACGTTTCTCCTAATTCCTGAATAATTCCCAAGGGTAAATACCGAAAATCGAGAGCCACCGTAGGAATAAGTACTTGGTAGGTACCTATCGAAGTAAGACGGGATTTGGATTACGGCTATCGGATTTTTCGTAACCTTGGAAAATTTTAAAGTCATTGTATTATCTATTTAAAGTCGCCTAGCAACATGCATACATGAAGACTTAGGTACCTAAGGTATGAAGAATATATTATGAAGTAGATATGCCTTTTACCCTTGCCGAGGTATGTACGTGTTAATAACCTTGGAAGACAACCTTGAAGTAATACTCTGCCTGTCCAGTGCCAGGTGTGACTGAGGAGACTAAGCTCGGAAAAAAATTCAATGGCACCTGCAAAAGGCCGTCTTTAAAGTACCGAGCACGGAGTAGTATGTAGTTCCTGCCCTTTTCTCCCCCACCCCCATTAAGTTCGACTTCGAGTCCAAGGAGTCAGGACCACCTGCCAGGGCCACCAGGATCACCAGGCATGGATATATCCCCAATGTTTTATTACCTCATCCGGTGTGGATCCATTTAAGGGACGAGTCAGGCGCCAAGAAATCAAGAAATCGCAGTTACGATGCAATACCTATTACCTTTGACACCAATCCATCTCACCCAGAAACCCCGTTTACCTACATACTTGATTTTATCTCCCATTTCTACATAACACTTCCTTCAAGCTCTACCTAACCATATCGGGCTGCACGGTTAACCCTTCACTCTTCGCTTTCAAGAGAACATCACGACCTTCTTTCTTCACTGGTAGGAAACATTTAAACGGAACAGCGGTGTGTTTCGTGTTTCTAGGGCTTTCCTTACTTTCATTTCTTCTGGTCTGGAGTCATTAGGAGTCATTGGCCCGGTGGCATTTTAATTCCCAACTCCTAACACTTCGACTTCGACTTCGAGTCCGACTTCAATTTCGATTCCGAGGACACGCGAGTCGCACATCTCCGTCGCACCACGTACTCGACACCTTTCCATACAATAACACAGACAATAATTCATAACCCCATTCTTCGCGATGTCAGCATCAAGATTTGGCGGTGGTGGCGCTAAGCATCGGCTGATGTCGGAGATACAAGAACTCTCCAAAGAGAAATGGGTCAACATCGATGTAAGTAAACCCGAATTTGGCCTCATCGTCGTCGGATCATAAATGTGCTAACAATCCACTTAGCTGGTACACGATAATATCCTTCGCTGGCGTCTAGGTCTTATTGTCGTCAATCCCGACAGCGCATTCAATGGAGGTTACTTTAGAGTAAGTGAAGACTGAAACACCAACCCTGGATCGAGATCGGCGCTTACGAAATCGTGGATAATAGGCTGAGATGACATTCACCGACGAATATCCCTACCAACCACCGTCGTTCAGATTTCTTGTTCCTATCTACCATCCCAACGTTTATCCGGACGGTAAACTATGCATCTCCATTCTGCATACGCCGGGTGAGGACCTCACTTCGGGAGAGCAGGCTAGCGAGCGTTGGTCTCCGTTGCAGGGTGTCGAGTCAGTCCTGCGGTCCGTACTTCTACTACTGGACGATCCGGAGATCAATTCCCCGGCGAACGTAGATGCTGGCGTTATGTATCGAGATGACCGCGCCATGTATAACAAGAAAGCACAAGATATCGTCGAGAGGTCCAAGAACGACATTCCCGATGGCTTCGTCATGCCAACCACGCTTGACCCTCCGCCGCCGCCGAAGTCAGCAGATGACGACCCTGCATTTTGGGCCGAGAGTGACGATGAGGAGTTCGATTTCGGAGGTAGCGATACGGGCGAGGATGCAGATTTAGCAGAATTCGATGAGGATGGAGAAGAGGAAGGCATCAGCGACGACGACGACAATTAATGATACCTTGCTTCACGTATATTTTTGAGCCTCGCTACTCGACTGAAGAAGCTCACCGGCAAACCATTTTCTAACTCCGTATACATCTGCATTAGCCGGGGTATGGCGTTTCATGGATCTTGTCTACTATTGGCCCGTTTTCGTTTTTCTCGGACCGTCTTTTCGTCGCATTGGATCGCGTTTGGCCAGCTTTCGCATCTGCTTGAGATAGAGGTTCTTCCAAGGGAACATAGCCGCTAGAGGCATTCTATTGCTATTGAGTTATGGCAGAATGAGGGACTTGCGACATATTCGTAGACGAAATAGGGAACATCATTCGAGTATGGGCCCAAACATTGCGCTATATTGCCCTTTTATCAGTCTGAAGAATTACGCAACAATGTGTACATACGAAATTTGCTATTACAAGATTGACTTTGGCGTCACTGGATATTGGTCTCTGAAATAAACCTTAACTTGGACAATAGTGTATAATATTGAGTGCTTGCGATGCCATGTTGTATGGGAAGAGCAAACTGTATGTGGTATGCGAACTGAAGTCCAGCCGTTGAGATGGGTTTATTACATGGGTACTAGGTACCTAGTAGGTTAGAAATTGAGGATACTGGGTATCTACATTCTTCGTGATTGCTTATTATCATGCTGGTATCTCTAAATCTTGAGAGGATGAATCTTCCCTCTCTACATATACGTCGGTGTTGTAGTACGTACGAAAGGAAGTATGCAGCTAGGTAGAATAATTACCTAATTAATTCCCGTCTTGAGTCTTGCCTATAGGAGATCCCGTGAATATCCCCCACCTTGTACCCAACTTGTTAGTGGGGTTATAAACGCCGACCTAATGTACCTAATGTACCTCCGCAAATCATGGACATTAACCCCTGTTAAAATATGGGTGTTAAGATTCACAGGTACATACATGTGCTAGTATCGTTAGCCCGCCTAAGTACACGCCACAGGTGCACCTGGCAACATCCATTGAACTTCATAGGTAAAATCGTCAGCTTAAGCTAAGCCCGTCTGTCATGTACCCCCCGCCTCAAAAGCTCCTTCTCCCTACCTACACATACAAATCGCAAATCACAAATCACAAGCAAGAATAATGACTTCCAACATCTGAAGATAGCTGTCGCGCTTCAAGATAATATTACTACCTAGGTAATATTTTACACATACCTAGGTAGGAATATCACCTACATTTCTAGCAGCAAGCTTAATAAGGTCCCGATACTTCTTTACCCCATCTCTGCAACCCCTGTATCCTTGTCTGTATTCCTTGTCGTTGCCCGTCCCTCATCATCACTACTCTACTAGCATCTAAACATTATTGACGCTATTAACCCTTCCAACTTTCACGACCTATCTTCCATGACTTAATTTATATTACCTAGTAGTATATCGTTACAACCACGAGATTCTGGGGATCTTTCAGCATGGCGACGACAAGTGAACCGCCAGAGGAGTCAATCATTCTTTTTTGCGACGTCACTGGTCTTACTCGAGGAGAAGTTATCACTCGTTTAAAGGTATGTAATGACGACTTCACATGCTCACTCAATTGTGCGTCTCTACATTTTACGCAACATAATGCTAATGGATTCATCTTATATTTCTCTAGGCAAATAATAACGATCTTCCACGAGCAACAGAGGAGTATTTTGAAAATCCCAGCAGCCAAAAGGTATTTATTCAGGTCTATGAACATATGCGATTTGCAATCGCTTACGCTTAAACAATTCTAGTACAGATGGGATGAATCTCAGTTCGGCATGGATCGCCAAGGCGAGGCCAACGATACAGGTATCTGTATGACACATTCTCGTCTCTTATTAATTCAGCTCCTCGTTTACTAACTTTGGGTGCGCAGCTTTCAATATCCAAGGCCCAGACGAACTTGCGCCTACTAGCTACCAAAACACCGCTGCTCCGACCAGACCACCTTCGAGAGCGAACAATACCTCACCCTTCGGTAAGACGATAGACTAGACTACGAACCAGGCCGCAGGTATTACTCCTGTGTCTACCTCGTATCGAAGCTGACAAATGTTCCTTAGGTGCTCCAACCAACGCTGCCGAAGAAGATGCGAATTTAGAGCGCGCCCTAGCCGAGTCGGCTGCCGAATCAGGAATACCACGCCAAGAAGCTGGCATTGTCGATAGCGAGACGAATTATAAGTATTTTGGTCCCGCGAACCGACCTCAATATGACACCGAGCAGTGGGCCATGGTGCCTACAAAAGCTGCTACGGATACCGAAAAGGCTGATCCTACACCGTCTCAGAGAAAACGGGGATCCGATGCTCCTGCGTTTCTTCGACAGACGAAAGATCATAAACTTGGTTTTCTATTGTCAATTTTCCACCAAGTCCCTCTCGTCAGAAATATCCTCCTTCAATATGGTACACCGGCTAGAAATTATGGTCACAACTCGGAATGGTGGCGAGGTCAACCAATCCTTAAGCATGAGCACCTTGCAGCAATGGCGAGAGGAGAATCAGATTGGGACAGCGAAGCACGTCCAGAGTTTGCTGAAGAACTCCATCGTCTAATGGCGTTCCTTGATAAGACAGAACGTGGATATGGATCTGTCGACTCTCTTGTAGATACCAAGGAAATCGAACCGAATCCGGGAGCATGGGGGGGTTCCGACGCTGAGGATAAGCTATTCGACATCCTAAAACAGGAGGCTAAATCTAATCCCTCGTTCGACATGGATGGTATGATAACAGTAGGCGCAATATTGCCCTGTTCCTCACAAACAGGCGACGGGTCTCAATCAGAAGGTGACGGTGACAGTTCGAGTGACGAGGGTCAAGAGTTCGCGTTTCTCGATACACAGCTAGACCTTGAGCAATATTCATGGGTGAACACATTCTACGACGCCTTAGATCACATTCTGTGGTTGCAGGCATTAAACATCGATCACCCTTTTCCGGAAGGAGCTTGCTATGCTGTCTTATCAAAGGCTGCCGATGTGATAACAGCCCGGTTCAATGGCTCGGGACTATCTAAGCCTTGTGAGATTCCCGCTGTGTTCTACGCCGATCGGTACCTGAAAGATCGAAAGGACCTCGCTCTCAAGTTTCAGACTCAGATGCGATACATTAAGAATAAGCTACGTATGTATGATTTGTTGGAGGCGAATCTACTAAGATGCCATGGACAACGGTGCCACCGGGTGAACGGTCTTGAAGATGGACCACATGACCTCTTCGCTTGTTTGGACGGAATTATCAAGTTCACCGAGAGATTGATGCAGCGCCAGACCAGAAGTGCCCAGTGGCGTTATCATCACGACCGCATAGGAAAGAATATCGAACTCAGCCTAGACGATATTTTCGATATCTACACGTGGAGTGGATCTTACGTCTTCTTACCGGATGAGGAAGAGAGAATGAAGAATTGGAAAGACGTCATAGACGAGGCAAACAAGAAGATCCAGGGGCTAAAGGAGGACTTGGCCAGTAAGTTGATTCCGAGTATTCTAGGGCTAGAAATCAACCTTCTAACCCGGCTATAGAAATCGCGAAGGCAAAGAAGTTTTATTCCGATTCCTTGGAGGTAATCTCGAAACGTCTAACATGCCAGGAAGATGAGGTCGATGATTCGAAGTTCGTCTTTCGGTCGACTTCCGCTTATAATCCGGACTATTGGAATCCTACTCATAAATATTCCCTACGCGGTGTTGCGCTTACGTCTGAGCTGGCATACGTTTGTGTAAGGCAAGGTGTTGAGTCAGTTGATGTTGACAAGGAGTCTAAGCCCAAAGACCAATGGTGGAAGATTGGATACTCTCCAGCCGATGGAACTCCTATCAAGACCGAGGTAGGTTGAGACTCAGCTACTTTCCCTTGGGTTATACTAAATCATATATCACAGAAAGCAACACAGGAAGATGTCCTCCATGCGGCAGGAACAGAGTCTAAATACCCTATTCTTGTCTATGCTACAGAAGCTGCTATGACGGCGACGCCTACTCCGTTGCCGGACGCTCTACGGGTATGTTGCACACTCATTCTATAAATGGAAGCCGGGATATTAATCTCTATGTAGATGTTCATACGCGCGGACAACCGCTCATTTCAGCAGGAACTCGTTCATGAACAAGATCAGGTACAGCCTGCAGATAACCACCCTTCTTCAGGAGTCAGAGCCGAAGATCTTTCGCAGGTCGCTGTCGCACCATCAGGCAAACGGAAATACAGCGTTGGTTCATCGGTAGCCACGCAAGGCAGTTCTCGGGCTGATCTCGCTGAGGTGGACCCTTTCCAGTGGGAAATGCAATCAGAGGTTGACTACGCCAATGCAGAGGAGATGCAAAAATTGCCGGGCAGCACGGTACCACCTAAGTCTCCCGAGATGCAAGAACGTGTTGGGGGACCAGCACCCTTCCTAACTCGGCAAACTTATACGACACTGAGTGACTCTGTCGAGATGATGGACATCGATACGGATGTGGAACATCACGAAGGATGATCGAGTCACGTATGGATTATGGCTTTGACATCTTTCCCGCCGGATTTGCGGGAAGTGAAATTGATGTCTGAATGAGTATTTCGTGAAGACATCAAACGTGTTTAGATTATCGAGATGTTTCGATAAAAAAAAAGGGCGTGTGATGGGTTTGATTCGGTTATATGCATGGAAGGAAATGAAATAATTGAGCAACTGATTTCCTAGTTGTGATGTTTACCCCGGGGTATACCTCCCGGGGGGCCGTGTATACTAAGTACTGTACCATGATGACTTCCACGATACCCAAAGATGGTTAATGAATGAGCATGAGGCATGGATTTACCATTACCGGACCAATAGTGACCTGTAAATTAGGAGTGGTCCTTTTTAAGCTCAAGGGGTCAGCGACTCCGGTATGCTGGATCTGCATATTGATGCAAGATAGCATTCAGCTACGACGTCTCGGCAGTAAAAGCTGTCTACTTGTCATGGCATGAAGCTAAAGCTTCTTCCAAGCGATGTTACTTTGCTTGGTAGACTAAGAAATGCCCAAGCCTATCTACTTGACTTTGCATATATTTTTCATTTAGCCATATATAGGTAGGTACTAGGTAGGTATGTAGATGATTCAAAGTTTGTACTGGTCTGACACAAACATTAAATAGCTATATCCATGTATTGAAGTACTATAATTTCTAGAACCTTCTCACGGTATTGACTGTGATACCAATCATATTAAGACGTATCTGGACAATCATTTGCGCAGCTGTCAACGCTGATCTAAGACAACTGTGCATGTGACTTTTTATTCCAAGTTTCCACCTTGACAGCCTGACTATGTGATCATTCGCCGTCATGGATTCATCACTGTTTTCCATGTCCCAATCCTTGATGTTCGTTAAATAAGTGCGGCTCGTGCGGGAACCCTACAGGACTAACTGCTTTCTTTGTTCTGACTTGCATCGTGGACCTGCTGTACATTCATCCATGGATACCTCCCTGCCTCCTAGTTAGGGAAGTACCTGTGTACTGGTTAACCAAAAAGTTCCCATCTAAAACGTCCACCAGCCCCGCGCAGTCCGCGTTACGTCCAGGCCTTTTAAACATCCATTTCCGTATCACCCACCCCTTCACCAACATTTGTACATTCATCAGTTACCGTAGTATTTACATACATACCGGCCTGGTATGTAGGTAGCCACTCAGAAACGTGCATACTAAGCCGTCACCAACCAACCTTTTATCGACCAATTCCACGCAGTCTTGAATAAGCAAAGGTCATTGAGTTCGGATTCAATAATTAGATTGTTCTCATTGGTTCTAGGTTTATCGAACTACCTAGGTGCATAAGGGACACAGCTGCGTGGGGATGAGAATGATTCGATAGCTCATGGTCACCTGATCGTCTTCAATTGGAGATCTAGCTTTGCAAGTACTCAATACCTCGTCATACGCCTATTGATTGATGTATTTGGGGGTATCTCAATACACATAACATCTTATCGTCCCCACTTGTCAATAGCCAAAAACGTCACTCTCCACCACCACCTTGACCACCTTGACCACTTTGGCCCTCTTCGTCGCCAATTCCCGAATCTTCTACCAACCCGCCCACCACAAAGAAAAGCGGCGGTGCAGTACATGAAGCTTAACGCATTGCGTTTCACCCAATTCTCAATCCCCAATTCCTGCAGTTTTATTGAGGCCGACATTTCGAACACTCTTTGTGTTTTCTTTCCTTCTTTTTTTATTTCGTCAAATACCAGTCGCTTCATTCGATACAACGACGAAATCCGAAATCCTACTTACACCTCATACATACGCTACTCGATCACACGATCCCATTGGATCATAAAGCACCTTTGCTCCTTTCCGACAACACACATATACTAGGTGCTTCCTAATCATCAGGCAAGATGGTAAAGGAAACAAAGCTATACGACCAGCTCAATGTCAAGCCGGATGCCAGCCAAGATGAGATCAAGAAAGCATACCGGTAAGTCTCAAACTCTACCCCACTCGGTTTCATTTTTTGTCTACTGTCTTTTACCTCTCCTTCTAGTCTCACGATGTATGCAATACTAATAATGATACAGAAAAGCAGCATTGAAGTGGCATCCTGACAAGAATAAAGACAATCCTGCCGCCTCCGAGAAATTCAAGGAGTGCTCACAAGCCTATGAGATACTTTCCGACCCCGAAAAGCGTAAAACCTATGATCAGTTCGGCCTTGAATTCCTACTTCGCGGCGGTGCCGCACCTCCTCCCGGGGATAATCCATTCGCGGGAGCTCAAGGTGGAATGCCCGGCGGTTTCCAAGGCTTCGACTTCGGTGGCGGTGTGCCAGGAGGTGCTCAGACATTCCATTTCTCTACTCGCGGCGGCGGGCCAAATCCTACTTTTAGCTTTAGCAACCCTGAGAGTATATTTGCCGAGTTTATGCGCGGTACTGGAGGTCTAGGAGTCGACGATGACGAAGGCAACCCGTATTTTACTAGAGGTGGCGGCATACCTCGAGCCTCGGGTGGAAGGACCCGTATGCGTAGCAATTTCCCTAGTGGAGGAGACCCTTTTGCAAGCAGCGGAGCAAGAGAACCCACGCCTGATGTTACTACCGTCGAGCGTGCTCTACCTCTTTCCTTGGAAGAACTGTACTCCGGCGTCACGAAGAAGATGAAGATCAAGCGGAAGACCTTCGACGATACGGGCAAGCGGACTACTACAGACCAAGTCCTAGAAGTCCCCATCAAGCCTGGCCTGAAGAAAGGTAGCAAGATCAAGTTCAAGGGTGTTGGCGACCAAGAAGAAGGCGGCAAGCAAGATTTGCACTTCATCGTCGAGGAGGTAAGATTATAAACCATCCCGTCTATGATATTTTGCGAAATTACGGCTAACATGAGTTATAGAAACCGCATCCCCTCTTTACTCGTGAAGGAGATGATCTAACTCACACGATAGATCTGGACCTAAAGGAGGCCCTAACTGGCTGGAGACGAACCGTGACGACAATAGACGGCAAGCAACTGAACGTTGAAAAGAGCGGTCCGACAGGTCCAGGCAGCTTCGACTCGTATCCTAGCCTCGGAATGCCGATCTCGAAGAAACCAGGCGAGCGGGGGAACTTTATCATCAAATACAACGTCAAGTTCCCGACAAGCTTAACGGCAAAGCAGAAACAGCAACTGAAGGAAATCCTATAGACGCCGGGCAGGCGTCGCAGAGATTGATATTCAACGAGGCGGGGCACGGTGCATTTTGGCGTTAAAGGGTATGGCAAACGAGGAAAACATTGACGAACTTCACGACCACGAGATACGAGTTGTTTTGCGCAGCCGAGAAGCATTCAGTTCAGCAGAATGGTCCCCCATCTTTGGGAGGGGCGGGCGCAAGCCGAGTCCTCGATTTTGCAATGCTTGGGCGCTGGTAGATTATAAGTACATACATAATTCTGTCCTCCGTATTATTTCTTAGCTGCTGGGAAGGGCACTGTTGGGGTATATGGGAATCATTGCCTATTGGTGGATATGGGTCGGTAGATACTTAATCGACGGCATTCTACATATACTGCTTTTCTTGACGATTGGTGCATCGCCGATGTGATTTTTTGGTGTTTGATTGAGTTTGATGGGTTTGAATCGTCGGGTTCAATATTGTTAACCTACCTTTTTATACCTTTTTGAAACTCATAAGTCTTCTTGATAGTGATAACTACTCTTAACATACTATAGTTTTGTGAAGTCTATGCATGAACCAATTTTAAAACTTTATGATCAGTAAGGCTTTGTCGGGCTTCTGGATAGTTAAGAAAAGTCCGGACCAAGCTGAGGCGCAAAGATGGTTGATGTGATAGATCATTCCCGCAGTCTATTTATGTAGGTTTTAGCCAGGGATCCCTGGTGTTCTGATCTTCTTTGCCAGATGGAGTTCAGTTGTAGCTTCGGTAATGCTATTAGGTAGGTACCTAGTTAATATGTTTGAAAGATTTAGATATCGATATTAACGGCACTACAAAAAAGAAGTCGTTTTTATATCTGCTAAAGGAAATTGGTATTGGTTTCATTATGTATTTCTGAGATTTTGGTCAACTTGAAGGTTGAAGAAGCGGATATACATAAGATACGGATCCATGATAAACCTCCGGTCCGGCCTTTAAGATGTGGGAAAACTCCGGAGAGGCTAGTACTAATTCGGTATAGGAGGCCTGGTTAACGAATACGCTGTACATCCATGCCTCTATGCTTTGTGACGAATTTCAAGTTGTGATCAACAGAGACTTATGTAATTCTAGATGCATTTGTAGTTACTTCAGAGACGACGTCAGCAACTTTTGTGTTGTTCTTCGGGGCTGTGCATCTGCACTTGTCGTATAATTTCGTATTACCCTAACCGGCGGAAATAAGTTGCTATTAGTAAACGGCCTTAACGATCATTGTTCAACTCTTGATATACGATGGATTGCGAGAAGTCTCGGAGAATTCGTCAACAGGTGGCTTGATTTTCCCTAATTTCCACCTCTAGCATTTCCTGGTAGCGAATGTATATGTTTGAGAAGATATAGTTGGGGTGAATTTAATACGAATTCAGCTGCCTGTCAATCACTGCTCGATGGCCTCGACTATTAAATCAAACCACCATCCGCCACCACATGGCCATGGAGAAATAAATCCATATCAACTAACAGCCCTGTCAAGATGGATTTGATACCGCCTCTAGTAACGGACTTCCAGTGGTTTGCGCCTATCCTCCTCGAGAGCGGCGCGATTCGAGCTCTGCCAGACTGTACAGTCCCGCCTTTGAGTCTTAATGGAATATGTGATGCCAGCAAATGTATGTAGGAAAGAGGTATATATGTTTGAGAAGTTAAGACACTAAAAATGATTCCGTAGCACCTTACGAACGTGCAGCTGCACTCGTTAGTGAAATGACGATAGAACAAAAATACAACAATACTATGTTCTACCTGTCATCTGAAGATAATCTCGGTCTTCCCCAATTCACTGTAAGCGTCGGGCTAGCTTTCTTTAGGGAGTTGCTCCCATAATAGTATCCTGTAACTAATATATGAATTACTAGCTTTGGAATGAAGGTCTACATGGTGTGGCTACGAGTCTCGGCGTCAACTATTCCCAACAAGGAGACTACAGCTACGCCACCTCGTTCCCCATGCCCATCTTAACGTCTGCAGCATTTGATGATGATCTCGTTCATTCTGTAGCAGAAGTCATTAGCACTGAACTTCGTGCATTTAGCAATGCCGGTCATGCTGGGTTTGACATCTGGGCTCCTAATGTCAACCCTTTTCGGGACCCACGATGGGGGAGAGGCCCTGGTGAGATAGAAGAAAATCGAATAAATAACTATCAATAAGCTGACTTTTATAGAAACTCCTGGAGAAGATGTCTTCCGAATCTCACAGTATGCGACGGCGTATATTTCAGGGATCCAAGGACCCGCAGACTCACCCTTCAAGAAGGCCGTCGCCACCTGCAAGCACGTAGCAGGATATGACGTCGAGGATACGCCGAATAACATCACGCGCTACAGTTTCGATGCGAAGATCTCTATTCAGGATTTAGCCGACTATTACCTAAGGCCATTCGAGACATGTACCCGTGACGCAGGCGTAGGCTCGCTGATGTGTTCCTACAATTCCGTGAACGGCATACCTCAATGTGCGGATGGATGGGTCCAGCAAGACCTAATCCGCGACCATTGGAAGTGGAATAAAACGACCGAATACATCACTTCTGATTGTTTCGCCATCGACGTCATCCAGGCCGCCGCCGGCCACCACTGGACTAAGACAGGGGAGGAGACGCTAAGCAAGGCCCTGAAAGCTGGAACGGACTCAGAGTGCGGGTTTGTGTACCGTACATTCTGGCCAACTGCCATGGAACAGGATCCAGGCCTTGAGAGCTATATGGATTTGTCACTTAAAAGGGTATACGCGTCGTTTGTCGGATTAGGTCTCTTCGATGCCCCTGAAAGTCAGCCCTACCGTCAAATTACGTTCGACGCGGTCAACACCCCGGAAACCCAAAAGCTTGCTCGCAAGGCCGCCACATCTGGTATAACGTTATTGAAGAATTTGAAGGAGACCTTGCCGTTTCAGGTCCAGAGTGGGAAAGAGTTGTCTGTAGCGCTAGTGGGAGATTGGGCCAATGCAACCGTTCAATTGACAGGTGGCTATGCCGGTCCGGCACCGTACTATATCAGCCCCTTAGACGCCCTTTCCAACGAAACCGGTGTTAAAGTGAGCCCGGTTCTGACTCTAGATCACCAGGATGTTCTGGATGCAGCAAAGGCGAACGACGTGGTTATCTACATCGGAGGCATCGATCAAAGTATCGAGGCCGAACAGATGGACCGCCGGACAATCGCATGGAACGAAACGCAGGTGGATTTGATCGGGTCTATTGCTCAATTAAACAAGACTTTCATTCTTGTTCAGACTGGTGGCGGGCAACTCGACGATTCGGCCTGGCTTAACAGCAATGGCGTATCTGCTATTGTTTGGGCCGGATATCCAGGCCAGGAAGGCGGAGCTGCTATCGCGGACGTGCTGTTTGGACGGGTTGCTCCGGCTGGTCGCCTTCCGGTGACTCAATATCCTGCTTCGTATACTGCGTTTCCGCAGACTGTTATGGGGTTGCGTCCAGATCCGGCAACGGGTAACCTCGGACAGACGTATAAGTGGTATACCGGCAAGCCGGTTCTTCCATTTGGTCATGGGTTGCATTATACCAGCTTCGGCGTATCCGTTCAGTCGTTTGGAACATTTGATATCCCTAGCGTCGTGAAGGAATGTGGTGACCTAGGGTATGGTTATCTTGACCAATGCCCCTTAGGCTCGCTCAATGTTAAAGTTACGAATACTGGGAAGGTCAAGTCCGATTATGTTGCTCTTGCGTTTGCTAGTGGGAGCTATGGGCCAGCACCACATCCTAACAAATCCCTGATCGGGTATCAAAGACTATTTGATATCGAGCCAGGTCAAGACAAGACAGCACAAGTCCAGGTGAAACTCGCCCAGCTGGCAAGATTCGATAACGATGGAAACCGTATTCTCTACCCTGGTACCTACAGAGTTGCTATCGACACCGACCCGGAAAAGGCTTCGTTCGAATTCACACTGACTGGCGAGCAGGCGATTTTGGAAAGTTGGCCAAAGTATGATCGCTTGGCGCCGCAGTAGATAGTACGAGAGCTTGTTAATTTATATTGTATAACTACCAAACCACCGATGTTGAAATAGATGCAGGTTATGAGTATCATATTGTATGATTAGTTGATTAAGTTGCTAGTTCTAGGTAGTGGTTCGTAGATAGTACATATATACCCCTTGAGTGCAGGGCGTAGACTTCCAGCCACCTAATATTCCAGCAACCGAATCATATCAAGGAGAAGAAGATACAAATGTGATGAACAGGTAATTTAAGCAATTATCTACCCTAGCACTGGGAATGACTTTCAAAACTTCGTTTAATATGAATTTTGCATTGTAAAAATATAGGAAAATCACGCAACTTGGATAGTTATACAATCTTATACACTCTCCTCTACACCGGTCCAGCCCGAAATTTCGAATTTCTTCATTTCATTCCCCTTTCTTCCAAACCCGCTAGAATAGAGGTAGAAATCCATTACATAGGTATATCCATGAACACGTCGTTTCTCATTCAAAGTGCTTTCGATTCGGTCCTTGTTCTACAAAGATATTTCTAGATGAACATGATGAAGCATAGGTAACATTGATCCCATCGTGATTGATCGCCTGATCTATATCTGTGACTAGATCTCAATCGTTTAGGCCGGCGCTGAGATCCATGTTGATGTGGTTTCCTATCATTTGTTCTAGACTATCGGGTTCAAGCATCATTTGGTGCTCTAATAAATTGTCTTGTAATTCAGGGGCTAGGCCCCACGAGTCGTGAGTGAAAACATTTTCGGGTATTGATAGCTCCTCATGCTTAATCTCTGAAGGTACATCTTCAAGTGATATTTCGGGGTTGGTTCCCCAGTACGATGATTCTGCCTCGAATAGATCAAAGATCTTGTCCATGACACACTGGATGTTTTGGGGGTTGGATACAGGTACCGAGGCTTGAAGGGCTTTCGAAAGGATTTTCGGTTGGTTCTTATTCCAGAAATTTCGAAGTAGAGGTAGTAGCTTCTCCCAACCTTTACCAAGGTATGGAGATTGTGGACGACACGTCCCGGGGAATATAGTATCCCACATGTAGTACCATTGATCCACCTCGTTTTTTCCGCGGTTTGCATTTTGATTCAGCTCTTTTCTTTGCTCTTCGGAGATGCCGTCAAAATCTGGCCTTGCCCGTGAGTCACAGCTTTTTTGTTGTACGTGTTCATCTCTCTCGTTCGCATTTGCAAACAGCTCGAAGCATACGGGGCAGTAGATATCAGGCTTCATGTGCTTCCTCCAGGTATGCTGTTTAACGTCCTTTATGCGTTGCAACTTGTACTTTGAGCATTCCTGATATTTCAGTGAGTCTTTTTTATACCATGGACAAGCCCACGACTTTTTGTTTGCAGTGGACTGGTCGCTATTTGGTTGGATGCTCGTTGCTGACTGTCGATTTTCATTTTCCAAAATTTTCTCAGGTTGACACTCTTCCGAGAGCTGTACGGGTGCCTGGGTTTCCATCCCAGTAGTAGCCGAGGTAATCGTTCCAGCTAGACTATTGTCACAAAGACTTTCGCTTGTGATCCAGTGATTTAACTTGGATTGATCATCAGGAGTACCTGCTTGACATTCATTCACGAATTCTTGATCGTGCTGTTTTAGCCAATCCTGAGATTGGACTGCGAGAGGGAAAATCGGTATTCCGTTCCCATCCGCAAGCGACTCGTCTGTATCCGTAACCGTTTTTGTCGTATAATGGTCATGTAAAAAGGAGCTGTCCGACCCGGGACTGGAAATAGGGGTGAAATATGGTGAATGGCCCATGGTCCCTAAATTACCATAAAGGAGAGAGTATTCGCACCAACAGCAAATTACGCTTAGATCGTAGTCGAAAATTGTTTCCGGGCTGGAGACTTCAGAGGCTGACCCAAATGTAGATTCACGGGCGTGCCGATAGTCTAAATCCCCGAAGCCACCGATTATTGCAGACCGAGTAAGGGTAGAATATAGGTCATAAATTGACTGAGTTCCGTAACAAACTCGCCCATATAACTCAAGTAGATGGTCCTTGCTAATCACATCGGATATCTCCTTTCCACATTGCACGCATCGACTGACTGAATTAAGTGATTAGTACACGACCAAAGTAAGGGTGAATGTATTCGTGCCATACGCTGAACGGGAGGCAGCTCCAGTTTGCTGAGCTCATTGATGTTGGTATCATTGTAATCCATAAACGAGATATCTTGAACAGCATCGGCCTCGGATCCACAATATCCTCCATTACCGCTTTCGAATATCTCCTTTGGGATGTCACTAACCGAACCTACACCTTCAAGGTGAATATGATCTGGTACGGATCTAGGGCATTCTTTGATAGGTGTATCTGATGGAACTGTCTTAAAATCATCGTCTGGTACTCTCCCATCACATCTCGATAGGTAGCGCTTCTGCATCTTACTTCTCTTCTTCTGCAAACCATGCAATGATTGCTTGTGCCTAGCCATGATTCTGTGGACGTCCTAATGCTGAAATGAAAGTTATCTTCAACCAAGACCTCGAATGACGTCAAAATAGGAATGACTGATAGACACCGTAGACTTGATAACATCTGATTTCGGTCAGAGACCGGGTCATAAGTTGATCAGAAGCTTTTGGGTAGAGTTTACTCTAAGGGGACTATGGCGGAATGATTCTTGCGAGCCCTACACAAATGTGTAGGCAGACGATGAGAGCCTGCTCTAGACCTACCAATTACGCACCCCGAAATACAACAGTAGGTAATACTGCAGCACCCCAATAAAGCGCCACGTCATTTGCCCGTCAGGGGCGCAGGACAACTTTCTAAAGTCCGGTTTAAGAATCGTTACTTAGCTACCTAGTACTTATGTAAGTACATACCCAGGTACCTAGGTGTGTATAAACATATATCTAAATGAGGAAGAGGAAAGTCTTCATATAATGAAGAGCCGAGTCTACCTAGGTACTTAATTTAACATGTTATTAACTCACATCATACGTAGAGACACTTTAGTGTTTGACCTAGCATCTATTTCTGTTCGTACCTAGATATGAAGTAGGCAAGGCCCCTATTTCAGAGCACGGAAAATGTAAGTAGTTGTACTTATAAGTAGTAGGTTATATGTTGAGGTGCCGAAGCCAAGAACTAGATACCGATATCCTGCATAAACTTATGTCGCCTTACGCTACCCTGCCGCAGCTAGCCCACAGCCTACCTGAGGTACCTAGGCAGATTTAGATCTCGTGGCTGCGTGATAAGCCGCCCGTACACAAATGTGTAGGTGGCAATGGATGAGGACTGCAGGCGGGTGATATTGCTTTCCCTATTCATATAGTTTTAATTAAACTCGTGAAACCTACGGCTTTTATCAAGTGCTAATTCTACAGCTGAGTTAGGTCGATCAGCGATCGTTTTCAAAAGGTGATCTCACGACTACCGCGCTGCAGTTCTTCTTTTGCAGTCAATCTCTTTTTAGGTCTCAGGAAACGCTGGAGGCTATGCCTTTTTCGTTCCCGTTCGACTTTATCATCATATTGTATAGCTTGATGTTTGAGTACTTTTACCATGGAAGAGCGCTTGTCTGGAAGACTAGGAAACTCTTTCAGAGCATTCTCAATATATGCAAAGTCAATAAGTGGGCACTGATTTCGTTTCCTAAATAGCTTCTCCGGTTGCCGCTGTAATATCCCCTGTACGTACAGCTGCAAGCCACATGCAACCGCAGCAGTAAGGAAATCGTCTACTTTTGGTTTCGTATTGTACCAGACATCTTTCATCCACGACGAGGAACGCAGTAGGCTACCAAGCCGATTGAGTTCGTCAAGCTCGCTCGCTGGGCTGCTCTCGTCGTGTCGCTCGCACTCCACCGCGTAGTACATCGTATGTAGTACAAGTTTATCGAAATTGTAGCTAGATGATAGCGTAGTGTTTCTGTCCAAGGTGACATGGACGTGGTAAGTCATTTGTGCAAGAGATGCACGACACAGCACTAAGAGTGGGTTGAAATCAACCCCTGCCCTCTTCTCTAGTGATCGCCAAATATCCTCCGTGCATAGGAAGTCCCTCACGGTGCGGTGGAGAAATTCTACGCGGTCGTAGTCGGATCCTCTAGAGATTCCTAGTAGGTCGCGACACCAACTATTCAGATGGAATTGTGCTGTCCTGCGAAGATTCTCGCGTTGTGGATTATCTATTGCCTGCACCTCTGCCATGCGACAAAATTCACTCCGAGAAATGCCGTATTGTATACCGTAGAGAACATCGATGGGCGGCGAACTCCAAGCAGCAGCCGAGACCAGTAATGCTCTAGCGGACTTCTCCTGATATGTTCTATCCAATTGATTGAGCATGTGCTGGAAGTACTTCTCTAGGTCATCTGGGAGACGCCTCAATCGTCTTTGTAGCGTCGAAAAGTCGTCTTCTTCATTTAGACCTCGTAGCAATTCACGAACAACCAAGAAGACCCACAGAAAAACGCCGTTGGCTTTCTCGCTAATTTCGGTAGCCAATTCGTCTGCGCGGTCTTCCCGTGCCTTGAGTCGTAGGAACCGGCGATCCTCTTCTAGCGTCCCGTGAATATATTTCGCCATATCACCCCTTGTCTTCTCCTCTAATACCAGTGTCGGGACATTCATGAGAACGAAGTTTCTAACAAACACATTCCACGGTCGGCTTGAGACACAGAATTTTGCTGATGCTGACCCCTGAAGTCGCTCTATTAGGTTGATTAGTTCGAAGTGGTCATCTCCCTCGTATTCATCAAGGCCATCGATGAAGAAGCAAAAGCGATACGAGTCGGCGATCTCGGAGAAAGCGAGCCCTATGGTGTCGACAAGCTCATCAGACCTCCATGATGGAGGTGGGAGTTTTGGATCGTGAGCTTCGTTCCATCTTCTCGAACAGATTTTCTCGGCAATGTCGGGGCAGGTGCTTAGAATCTGAAACAATAAGCTTTGGAGAAGACCCTTCCACGATTTCTGCATCCGATTTCCATGGTTCCAGAAGAAGAAACTGGCTGTTGACAACTGCTTCCCATCTGCCCACTGGTTGAGCATCTGTTTACTCTCAGGGGTATGGACAAGATACTTGAATAGAGTTGATTTTCCCGAGCCAGCCTTTCCATTTACCCAGAAAAGACCATCTTGGCTAGTAAGCCAGTTCGCTAATGACGATTCATTCTCATCAAATATCCAGGAGTATGTATCACGGTGTGTTTCGCGGATATTATCATGTCGATAGGGCATTTCCGTAAATCTTAGACTCTCAAGGATTCTCATTAGTTTCGGAGAGAACTTTGAGGCTTCCACTATAAGCGAGGACAAATCTCGCACAGTTACGGAATACTCGACAATCTGCTCCTTCGTAATTGAAAAGATCGGTTGGGACGTGGGTTGTTCTATGGCCTTTAGGAGACTCTTAAGCATGAGGCCTTGCGTTTTAATTTGACTCGAAAGATCCTTGTGGAGGCTTAAAAATTGATCAATATAGTCAACCCGCATAGCTTGACATGTTTCCTTCACGCTTCGAATGGACTTTAAAAGCTCTGACTGATCATCACTGTAAGGTTGTTAGCAGCTGTATGAAAAACGAGTCGCACACATGGTGGCTACTCAATGAACTTACCTAATCATGACAATCAGATGAAGCATCAATTCGCTTCTTAGCCCATCCAAGCGTACCTGCAATGTCTTGATGCGATCCTCCTGCAAATACCCACGCAATGCCCCTCGAAATGCCTGCCAGGATTTGAACCGAGCAGACGGGTCAATGGTTAGAGAGGCGATAGAATGTAAAAGCTCATCCGCCAGGCTCTGGGACTTTTGTGTGAGCTCGATGATAACATTGTATTTCTGTGAAGAATTTCTTCCAGTATGCCGCGCTGCACTGTCCTCGAGGTGCTGGCCTAATTGCTTCACCCTCTTAGCCACATCTTCGACGCGAATGTTCTCTTGTGAGGCGCCGGTATGTGAGGTGTAAATCTCGTGAGCAGACCCTAGTATCTTGGCCGTTAATTCCACGAACTGAAGAATCGCAGCCGCAGCGCCTAAGATACTAAAAGGGTCCATCTCGGCTGAGTTACGTACTGGGTAGGCGAAGATTCTCGATTCTATGTAGTATAATTTCGACTAAAACTACTAGGTAGGTACCTAGGTAAGCATGATGTCCTGAACTTGGAGGTGTCCTAAAGCGGGGCGGTGTCAGCTGAAGACCGCATACTTGGGCAGCCCTGCAGAATGCATAGTACTTTCATATCTAACAGCTGACAACACCCGTCCACCTATTTTGTTAATAGCCCTGGAGTAGTACATCTTCTCATGAGGTACCTAGGAAGAAGCCTGAGAAGAAGCCTTGGCTACGTGGGCGAGTGGACCTTCCCTCTTGTAGGCTCACCGAAACGTCGCCTACACACAATAGTGTGGTTCGTCCGCGGACAGTCAGTACCTACAAATAATATTAAGAAGGTATGAGAGAAGGGAACTAAAAGGCAATTATCCAAGAGACAGGCAGTGTACACAAGTGTGTCCCTGCGATGTATATAGAAAACCAGACGCGGCGAATTGGTCCTCCTGAATATTTTGACGCCGGAATTGAAAATTGGAATTTGTATATTGTCAGCGGTAAGGCCATACCTAGCTGTTGAAACATGCAAACTTTCGGATCACAAATACAGAACAACATGGATCCGAGAAACGATCGATATGCGGATGAATGTGATAGATCCATGGATGTCGATAAGTTTTCATCGGGTGTTTGCCTAACATTGATGTCGAAAATGGAAAAGGAATTAAGAGGAGCCTCTCAATCTACAGGAAACCCCAGGAAGCCCGACCGATTTGGTATTAGTCAGCACCCTTCGAGAGTGGGGAAGGAAAACCCCTCCACTGTTACCAAGTCCCTGGAAACGCTCCAACTATCAATTAAAAACGACACTAGGGACGGGCCGAGAGAGCTGAAAACTCAAACTGGGAACCAGCTTAAATGCCAACCTTCTCAAGTTGAAAGGGCTCTTATCGCTTTTTTTCTTGGATACCTACAATACTACCAAAAATCTGGGCATCTTTCAGTATGCCAAATCATCATCTCAACCACCCAAACCACGCCGAAAAATGATCACCCGGTAGACGAAGCCGAAGTTGATGGGGTTGGAGGTAGCAGCACTAGCCCTTCATACAACCACAACTCCCAAAATCTTGCATTTCCATCTTCCGCCTCCAAGAAATATGGAAATTCCAAACGACAGCGCGGTAAAAGGAGCCGTGGAGATCCTCCGGACCGGCGAGGTGGGAAACGCTCGCCCTCTTCAAAGCGTGGAGATGAGTCTCAGTTGACTTTCGCATGCCCATACTACTATGCCGACAAGGAAAGGCATTGGTACTGCCACCGTTTCGCCTTCTGGCGCATCGGCGATGTTCGGCAACATATCAAGAGGAAGCATATTTCGCCTATTTATTGCCCTGTATGCGGAGATGAGTTCCGCAGTGACGCTCTAAGGGATGAACACATCAATGCTCAGACTTGCCAACACCATGATTTCCCCCATTCATGGGCCACAGCTGAACAGATAAGCAGTATGGATATGGCAGCCAATGAATTGAACTCTTCTAGCGACGAGGAGCGTTGGTTCACCATTTGGGATATCATGTTTCCGGACAGACAACAGCCTCCATCCCCATATATTTCCGATACTTACTGGGGACTTCAGGCCTCAGTAACTCGTGATGTCGTCAATGAGTATCGCACTCAACCGAGATACCAGCAAGTCGCAGGACAGCAAACTTACTTGGTAGATAGCGTCCTTGACGACTTTATCTCCTTCCTTCACGAGAATTCTCATTCATCAACGCCAGATACATTCCAGCCCCCCATTCCCCCCATTCCCTCGACCCCAATTACTTCGGACCCATTAGAATTTTTACCTCAATCAACCATGCCCTCAATTATGTCGCCAAGTTTTCAATCAAACGTACCCACCTTCACCCCAAGTCAAGCACAAGATCTCGCACCATCTTATCTATTAAATCCAGATCAAACATCATTCTTTTATTTTGATCACAATTTTGAAGAAATTCCTGACGATGAATTCGAAAACATCAACTTTACGTGGCAACCGGGTGGAAATGATAATTCGACATCGTGATTACATGTTTGTGGGACTGGAATAAGTATCGTGTCGCCTGCGAGAGGCGTGAATATCACGGTAGTGCCGTGCTTACGGGGTAATTTCTAGGTCCTTTGCGCTACGGTTAGCGGTAGCTTTCAACCATTCATTCTTTTCGATTAAAACAGTCCCCACTAAACTTCCATGGAGTTCAGCGTTCTAAACAGAAACACATTCGTGTTATGGTACAATGGTGAATGTGATAGTTGATCACAAGTTCGTGACGGGTGATTTCATCTCACGTAAAAATACATAGTTATACCTATATACAATTTCATATCAATTAAACATTGGGCAATTTCGATGTCGTAAAGTTTTGTTGGATTGAACCATTTAATTATTGATGAAAGATGTATCTTGTTCTACCTAGTAATTCTATTATTACAAATAGAAACTCTTAGGAAAAGTTCTTCTTGTCTTAGAGAGGTCACGTAAGTAACCAGATTTTGACAATATCTCCAAAGCACAGACAGGATAGCTATTCAGCACAGACCACCTGAAATACACCTAATTCCACGTGACAGATACAAGGAGAGAAAAAGTCAAAGAGGGGGGTATTCGTATGGGGGGGGTATTCGGCAGCCCCACCTTTATGGTGAGACCCTTGATCATATATGGTATAGCGCGGTACATTGGGAGCTGAAAGATAAATTCTCAGCTTTTCATTGGTTCATAAAACTTTCATTACTATTCTAGGTATAACTTCTCGACAATGACCAATTAAGTTCTATCACTAGGTCCAGCTGGACTTAGTGCTATTTCCCTTTCTTGTTTAGCGCGCATGATATCCTCGATTTGAATTAAATACTTATTTCGGTAACCGCTTGCCTTTTTGAGTTTAGTGTATTTTGTCTCGGACCAATTAACTTGCGAGTACGTCAACCCGGACAAAGGTTTTTTTACAGTCCCGACAATGTCACGTGATATTTTGAGAGTGGCGAACCAATTAACGAGCTCGATTGAGTGGAGACTAGTGTGCGTTTTTAGGGCATAATTCCATGGCGATATATTGGCTAAACGCCTACGCCAAGCCAAAATGGTTAGGGGTCAGGGCCAATTGTGATAAAGGTCTAAAAATCCAGATTTCCCGATTGATATAGCGTAATAAAAGCTAATTGGCTGTTACCTTTTTTAAGCTTTATAAGGCATAGCGTATGAAATTGAGGCTTTTGATTGGTTAAAGGTTTTTAAAAGAAAAAAAGAAAAAGGGACATCGAATAAAGTGGCCCGTTTGGCTGCATCCACTTCTCATTGGTTGAGGTCTCACCACAAAAGTGGGACTGCCGAATACCCCCCCCATACGAATAGGTACCCCTAAGTTGATGTGCTGGAGTCCCAGTGATGGTAACGTGACATGCGTACTAAAACTCCTGCGGTCGCTTGTCCGAGTTTTGATTGGCTATTATTAAGTGGTTTTTGGCGAATTTTAGTGGATACCTGGTTAGTTAGCTGTTAGGTATTTGTTAGCGAGTAATCAGTTAAAACCTACCTACCTTAAGCAATTTCCAAGGCTTTAGATCTACGGTCAATGTCTCTCTTTCAGTTCTACTGGCTCGAAAGAAATGTATTTATAAAAGCACAAAATATGATCTGACACACTCAAGAAGAGCTATGGGCAGAAAGCAACGTAGTTGGGCTTAAAATAAATTCGGCCGCCAATGCTGACGTTCCATTTTTCGGTATGGATTATAGTAGTTGTACTAATTACAGACGAGGGGTAAGTCTGTGTCTGTCCTGGCGCTCAAAACTGATAAGCACCAAAAGGCACGGCACAGCTGTGCGCATTGGGGGCTGGGCAAGCTCGAGCACTAGGCTTTTCAGTATACCGGTAGGTAAACCCTTCAGGCCAAGAACACTTATTATATATCCAGCGGGTATTCCCCGAACAGAAATAAGGACACATCATCTAAAACAGATGTCTTCGGCAAACAGCAGATATCCCTCGAGATGACCGATGGGGGTAATTGGCGCAGCAATCAGAAAGACGCGGCGCCTCAGAAGGCGATACGCTGTCACCATCACAATGAGGACGTTTCTGGAAAATCGACAGTTTGACACTACTTCGAATTCTTCAAAGAGTCTACCACACCATCCCATGAGAGGTATCACGCCAGATTTAGGCGACGAAACTAGGGAAGACGATATGTACCTTTTTGATACTCCTCCTCAACAACCTCCGACCTTGGACCCCGACCACGAATTTATGAAGATTAAAGATCCTATCACGACATTTGTTCTGAAGCAATTCCTAGAGTTCCGAATAGCCAGCGATTCTAAAAAGGGGGGTAGAAGCTGGTCTAAGATGCGAAGGTGGTCCGATGACAAGGTCGAAGATGAAGAAATGGTAGTGAATGCCGAAACCCCTATCCCCATCCAACGCCATTATGCATGCCCCTTCTATATATATAACCCGGAGAAACATCTTACTTGCCTTACGAGAGTCAATCTCGTAGAGATAAAAGACATCAAGCAGCATCTCTGGAATGCTCACCGGTTACTGCCATATTGTCCAACTTGTGGTGAAACCTTTACCACAACGGGAAATTCCGATATACATATTCGACGCCGATCCTGCAGCCCTCGGGGAATCCCGCGACCCGAAGGCATCAGCCTACAGCAGATGCAGCAACTGGCACGACGTGCGGAAGCCTGGATGTCCGAAGACTTACAATGGCTGTCCATCTGGGAAATCGTTTTCCCCGGTGCAGAATTACCAGACTTTACCCACCCTTCACGCACTGTAGAATCCATCGTCTGCCAATTTCAAGATTACTGGTCAAGCCACGGAGAAAAGGTCATATCTGATTTTCTCGAAGAGAAGGGCTTCGCCGCTTATAAGCTGCCAGACGAAGAACAGAATTTGGTGGCTTTGCGTAGTATCATTCTCGATCAAGTTATTGATCGGCTAGTGGAAAGTTTCGAACACGACAACGATAGCACTATCTCTACAAAGACCGAGAAAGTCTTAGCTTCGCTATAACAGTAATAACGAGGCAGAATGAGGAGACGATATAATGATTTATGGCTGAGAATGGATACCTGGCCGGCTGGAGCAAGGCGTTATAGACTGAGAGTGTGTTTTTTATAGACTTGACGGACATTTCATGTACGGTTTTAGACCACATACCTATACAATTATTTTCAAGAACTGATGAAATCATGGGTATTCTAAGGAGGCCACCTAGAAACAAGTGTAATTTAAGATTTTGAGTTAATTCTTTCCGCAAAACAATCACTTTGATTTTACCCCTGAAAATTTAATTCATAGGTACCTACCTAGGTAGGTATTCGCTATAATCTCAGTATCCTAGAAATATGATGACCACTAGGGTGCATGGGAGGATTGTATCATAATACCCCTAACTGAGATATAGGAGTATACCTCATCAACGGGATACCTACCTATCCTACTAACATTCATCGCTTAGGCCTTCTAGAACTCTGCCTACTAGGTAAGTGTGATCTTGAGTGGGTAGCAATTAACCCAAGGTCTTACATATGCTTTGTGTAGATAAAGGCATTATGAGCACAATAACAAATCGTTTGTCTGGAAATTATCTGTCTTTATAAACTCTGTTATTAACAAAGACATATAACGTAATGAAATCAATCAACGGGCATGTTAGCTAAGTATCTAGAGATACGTCGTGCCCATAAAGTCAACCTCAGTCCGCGAGCGGGTGAATTGTTTATTTACTCAATCTCACGATCCAGCTGGTGGATTTCAGGTTGACTCGCGGGTTGTCAGCTTAGGTAGGTAATTATTTAGTTATTCGGGTAATTAATACTGATTCGTCCATGAATTAAAATATCGAATTCATAAGATTACCTACTAGTAGAATAACTTTTATAATAATACCTACCTACTAGGTACCTACCTTCTACTTTGGTACCTAGGTTGGATGTATTACACGATAGCTGTCCCGACTACATCGATAGTTATATATAATTCAACTTCTAGCTAGGGTGATAGTAAGATATGTAACACACAATTTACCATAAGAAACTTAGAATATAGGGTGAAATTGCCATGAGATTGAAATGGTTTAAAAGTGGAGGAACACTATGGATGTGTGATGATCCGGCTCTCATAGACAGCGAAATGAAGTATTGTTCATAAGGATGGAAACAAAGAAGACAGAGATGACAGATCCTTATTGTATTTAAACAGATATACAATAGACATAGATTTCCAGAACAAAAGTAAAGATGCTATATCTATATAAGAGTCTTGTCATCAAATGGACTCGTGAGAAGAAAATGAGATTAGATGAGCATCTCTAGCGCCATCTACATCTCTTCAACTTAATTTCAATCGACTCAAGAGAGTTCATATTATCTTGAATTTCTTTATAAAGAAAAGCCTAGATTTCTCAAGATGAGAAGGGGACGGAGAAACGGAAGAGGGAAGGGCAAGGCCGTAGCCTCATCTAGCAGCCATTATAACGACCACAACATGCGAAATCCCACATCTCAACACCATGGTGACCAAGATAGCTCTGATGATTCAGATGAAATGCAAGATCAATTCAATAACCAATTCACCAACTCCAATTATATTCAACCCAATTACAATCCGAGATATAAAGGTAAACCTCAGAACTATGACCCAAATTACAACCGAGGGACTCGAAGCGGGCGACATCATCCCCCGAATCCATTCCAACAACCACCCAACAACCCGTTCCAGCAGCAACCCCCTCAAGGCCCATTCCAACCACAACCACAGCCGGTTGCCTTCCAACAGTACCCTCAGCCAAATACGTTCCAACCCCAACCTCAGCACGCTGGATACCCTCAGCCTCCTCTCAACAAGCCACAGTATTTTGAAGAGCAGTGGGAGCAACAGTCCAATCAACATTCGAACGTTCACGAGTACCACCACCATCATCATCATCATAACCATTATCATCACTTCTCCGACGGCATCAACCCCCTACCCACATCAACCGCAGCCGTTCCTTACACTGACGCCAGGATGGTCGACATCGACGACGTTCACTCCCTACGGATCTACATCGCCAATCTAGAATCACAGATCAGGGAGGTGCTGCAATCGATGGCGGATAGCAACACAGATTCCAAAGAACTAGTCTGTCATTATATCGAGTCTGTACGCCGTTCATATCCCAGATCCGAGCTTGCTCGGGCCTTTGCTGTGAACAATGGTGGTCAGAATGGTTGTCAGAACGGTGGCCAGAATAGTGGTCAAAAGAGTTGTCAGAATAGGGGTCAGAATAATGGTCAGAGTAATGGTCAGAGTAGTGGTCAGAGCAGTGGTCAGAACGTAGGTCAGAACATATATCAGAATGTGGATCGGAATTTCAATCAGCAGCATAACGCGCAGTCACCGGATCCTCGGGCCTCATCCCAACGTAATCGGGGGCCTAGTCCTGAGTCTGGGCCTCCTCCCGCCGGGGGGCAAATGAGAGGTGCCATAGCTCGATTGATGGAACTCTCAACCCAACAGGCGGCCATGGGCGAGGCAATGATGAGTGGGGCGAACGGCCCCCCTACGGGGAAGTCGGGACAACGTCATGTTCGTTTTCAAGATTATAGGGAGCCGACGGTTGAAGAAGTTGTTGATTGATCCTTTTGACCGCCACACATAGGTCAGTTTCTACCCCTATTTCTTTTGCTATGGAATTGACTTGGTTTCCTGAACATAAAGCTAGGTAGGTATACCAAGGAGGAGGAAAGGCGTTACGTCTTGGGATGTAAGTTGTTTTGAGCCTTGTTTATAAGACTTATGATTTATGTTTACGATACATGAGGTTTATGTTACCGGCTGCTAAGAGTGAATGTTCTTAGGTGTTATACCTAGGTACAGTACATGAGAGGCCGTGTTACGCCTCCTTGACTACCAAGCACAAGCTCATGGGTTCTCCAAGGTAGTTGCTAACGATAATTTCTTAATGTTTTATGTGAAATAGTTAAGATTAAGAAAGCTCTATCGATGATCTTCAAAAGCGTCGCGGTGTTTACCTACCTGTTGTTGTTCAAGTGGGATTGTATCATGGTTTTCAGTATCTGTAGGACGTCGGCTGAAGGTTCCTTGTAGATAACGAATGAAAGGCCTAATGGATAGCACGCAGCAGCTAATAACGCCAAGGAGCGCGCCTAATGTAGACAGCAGCCCCAAGTAACCTTGGTCGTAGCTGAAATCAGAGCTGTTAACCCTATGTAAAGCCGCGATGCGAAATCCCGTAATGACCATTACGCTATGACCCGTGTCAATGATGGACATCTTATCATAACAAATTTCAATGATAATATAAGAAGCTAGGTAGGTAGGTACGTACTTACACTGCGCCTGCTGACAACACAAAAAGTATAATAAATTTTCGCTTTATGCGCATATCTAGCCTAACCACGTAACGAGCAGGTAAAGCTAGAATATACGTGTCGAGGAGGAGGCCGCCGACTTCTAGGCCAACATAAGCAGCAGTCTGATCGCCACAGCTGCCTTGAACTTGCGGATCCCACGATGCTTGAATGGGATGACAGATGGAGACGGCAACAATTAGAGCAGCAACTCCGTGTATCGCTGTAAACAACATAAAAGTGTTTGCCTGGTATCTAAATGCATGGACACAGCCAAAAATCCGAAGGAGTGAGAGGGAGGCGGAAAGACGAATGCAAGCGTTAACTAATGCCCATAAAGCCTCATTAGCTAGTAGAGACTGAGCCAGTCGTGTTACATGGTTAGTAAAGGCTCGTCAAACTTAATATACTCTATCGTCATGTAGCATACCTTTGCTGTTAATTCGAACTGGCTTCGCGTTACATCAGCCATATGCTCCCCTTGACCTTCGTCGACAACCGCCCAAGTAATCTGACCGATTAGGCCCATGGTTACAATGAGCGCGAAGCACGTTGAGATGTCCTCTATCGAAAATTTCCCGAATAAATGTAAACGAACGAATAGATGAATAGCCACGAAAATAATAGCGAAAAAGCCAAATACATATGTGCACACGATGGTGGCCAGAGCCACGTTAGATGCGAATAACGGCATAGGTGTAGAATCTGGTAAACCTTAGCTAGAACGTTTGAATATATGGGGAATATTCGGTTTGGATGCTAAAGGACTCCATTATAATGAGAATCCGAACGATCTCAACCTTCAGCTAAGCCCTTAACACAGCCTCCTGACACTATTCGCATACCTAGCAAGGCATAGAAACTTAGGACCAAATGCATATCTGATTTGTTTATGGTGTTCTGAATATGCAGGCTGCGGTGGCCACGTAAATCTAAAGCCAATAAAATGCGACCTTCTATCCAAGCAGGATCTAATAGGTTACATCGAGGGCAGACAGTGTACAGGTCTTATATTGCACCAGAAAACCTAGGCTGAATAATGATATAAATTATGAAATACGAGTACACCCTACTGATAGCAGATAATGGCTAAGATAGTAGAGATGGGTATCATCCACGCGCGCTGACGTAAAAATACCAGACAACATACCTATTTAACTCAAGCACCAGTCTCCCCCGACCAGCAAACCCTCACAAATCAGTTCACTTCGTCTTCCGACCCTCCACAGCGTTCGCCCTAACGACAAAAGCATCATTGATATCCTTCACAGCGACCCAAACGGCGTAAAGCGGGATAAACACCCACAGCATGTTGAAGAAGACGAGGTACACCCACTTGTACATGAAATTGCTCGTGTCGAGGTTATGGTTCGCGGTCAGCCACTCGGGGCAGAAGGTGATGAAGCCGCCGTAGAGCTCCATGGTCGCGATTACGATCATCCAGATGTTGGTGCGCGGGTCCTTCTTCGCGATGCCGTAGCAGATGTAGCAGGCCAGCGGGCCGGCCACGAACACGGTTAGCAGCTCGAGGCTGATGACGGACTGAGATTGTTATATTAGCAATCTGAGGCAGTAGAAGATGATTGTGACTATATCAGACTTACCAGATCAGCGCCAGCCCATCGTCGGTCCGCTTTCGCGTATACCATCCACAGCTGGGCGAACGGGTTGTCGCCGCCGGCTTGCGGGCCGTAGGCGCGGCTGGTGAACCCGAGGAAGTTGTGCGCGGTTGGTGCTAGCGCGTGTGGGTTCGAGACGCTGGAGAGCGGGATCCAGGAGAAGAAGCAGTGGTAGAGGAAGCTCCCCTCGAGGGTGAAGTGGATCAGGGCGTCGAACGCGTGCCATATGAAGAGGAAGCGATGGCTTCCCGGCGTTGCTCGGTCGAGGGCTGAGAGGGACAGCAGGTAGGCGGTTGCTAGAATCGCGAGGGTCGAGGCTAGTGAGACCAGCGTGGTCTGGTCGAATAGATCTGGGGGTAGGGTGTCTTTGAAGGAAGCCATCGTGAACTAAAGATAATCTCAATTGATAGTGAACGAGTTTGAAAGAAAACAAGATCTTTTGCGGGATGCGACAATATCGAAGTTGGGATTGGGAGAGAGCTGAGATGAGACACTCTGGAACAATTTCGAGTGGGGAAGCTCGAAAACCTTCGAGGACCGTGCGCACTTGTGGGACCAACAGAGTTGCCTAATCGGGAAATAATGATACCGTATGAATTTACGCAGTGTTTACATCTCCGACTGTGTAGACGATAGTTGCATAGTAACAGCGTAATTCCCATCAGCAAGAATTATTGCACTGATTGACTAGAGTTGAATAATTGAGTCCATGATGAAACTGACTTAACAACCGCGACTCTATCGAATGCCTAGTTAGTATGGTACGAATCAAGACGACATGGAGCACGAGGTAAGATGTATGGTTGATGTTTGGCTAATACAAGTTGTAATAAGCTATCTTAGGGGTATTGTAGAGCCTGACCAAGAATATTGAATCTCTAGGGAATCGAAACCATTGTCCCATGCCATCTCGACAAAAGAAAGTTCCCGTCTGTCCCGAGACGCCCAAGTAAACATGTCCCCCCGATCATCTCAATCGTACAATCGTTTGGTTGGAGTTGGAAACATTGACGAGTTTAGTGCTTAGCGGCCTCCTTGTTGACATCGGCTGATGTGTTGTACTTCTTCTCATCGACCTTGTCGCCGACGGCATCCTTGGCAGCGGATGCACTAAGAGATGTATTAGCATTGTAAAAAGAGAGCGGGCATGGAGTGGTTTTCTCACCGAGTGCTGAGGTTGGCGTTGCTGTCCTTGGCAACCTCCTTGTTGGCCTCCTTGGAAGCGGTGTTGGCAGCACCCTTGACAGTGTCAGTGACGTAGTTAGCGGCGTTCTGAATCTTGTCCATGGTGATAATTTGGTTGAGTTTGGTTGTTGATTGATGAATGTGATTGAATGATTTTGGTAGTTGAAATGTAAGTTGCTGGTGTTGATGATGATGGAAAAGAGATGAGAATTGAAGAAGATGGAGAGGTTCTTATAAGGAGAGTCTGAGAAAGTTGTTTGTCATCATTCGGCACTTGATTAATATGGATTCGTCCAACCCTCTCTCCTAGGCACCTACTTCGGTAGCACGTAAGGACAGCACTAGGAACGTCTTGTGAGCAAGTACAGTACGTCATCATCTATTCAACCTTTGTCGGGTTCCTACTCGCATGTCAAACATGGCCCCCAACATCCAATTCCCCATACCACCGGATGAGAAACTACGAACAGCTATTAGACTAAGTGCTTGCCCTGGATTGCTCTGACGTCACCACTTAGGAACAACTCCTAACAAACACCAACACCGAGGTATATCGAACATGTGAATTGCCATCCATAATCGCGATAATTCTTGCATGATAATTTCAATGTGGACATTTCATCATGATCAACTTCGGGAATACCCAGGTAGGTAATGTTTTCGATTTGATATCGAAACGTACCACAGATTACATCGTTAGAGAAGAGATGATATTCGGATATGCTTGCTTAGAACCTTGAAGCGGACAATTGACATACATGATGTATGAATTCCCTTTTCGGGAACACTTGACCAATCAAATCCCATCAGACAAGGAGCTTCTTCTCCAGAAAAACTTAGATCGCTGCAGGGGAAATGTCGAAAGAGAAGATTCAATTGGAGGATCGATTAGATCGGTATCCACAATGACACCATGACTTTTTGAGCGTTTATTTTGTGGAGAGGTTCAGGACCCGGTCTAGACCGGTATCAATGATTTCATCATTATGATCTCGATTAAACTCTCCTACCGGGTACTCCACCAATCTTGCTTCATATTTGGGTCAGAAGGTCGTGTGCAAGCCTCAAATGCATCTGTCCATGTACGCATAAGCCACAAGTTAGCCCCTATCTCCTAATTCGTTCCCACCTTCAAAGAGCGGAGGGAATGGTCCGCTAAACTGAGGACTTTTCTCATTTCCGATCATAGTTTGCTTCCATCTCGATGCTCCGAAAAGTCTTCGGCTGCAGGTGATATTGCATTTCTGCTTTAGATCAATTCCTGACTCTATCGTCATGCACCCTTGTTAAGAACTACTACTTTGATAGCGGAGTTCACATTGGAGGTGACGTCAAACCGTGGCCTCAACATTGATCAAGCTCCTTTGGTAAAGTGTTGGGATGGAAATCTTCGTTTAGGTTCTCGTAAACTTACCAGAAGTTTATCCTCTAATTTGAAAGGCATTTGCCGGCCACGCTGCCACGGTATAGACCTCTTAGGATTCAACTGAGGATCGACACGGGATTCCGTGAAGCGGGAGTGCCCGCGCACGTTGAGCTGGGCTATGCTGGCTAACCCTGTTCGGACTTCGGGCGCTCTAATTATACCATAATACGCCGAATCGCGGTATTAACACAGTGTCTGATATTACGAGCACTATCCGGGCTGCTTCCGGGCTGCCTAGGTTCACGAAAGATCGTGTACCTTGATGACGTTGACATTGTTCGGTGATAGGTTGCAAGAATTCGTATCCCACGATGAATCCTGACTTTTTGCCCAGTACTACAACTTTCCCTTGATGGTTCGCTCCTTGTCAATTTTAGTTGTGCTCCTGAAATCTCTTCACGGTAGAAGAGGTAAAATAAATCAACCACCCGATGTGACAGGCGTTGTCTTGCATGTACCTATGTCTTGCGCGTCTCTTATGTACCTTTCATATCACATAATATCCCTAGGAGGTACAGATACTAGGTACTGACGAGTCAGAGTACATTCATTCATTCATTCATTCATTCATTCGTTATCTTAAGGATCGTAGGAAGCTATCTAAAGCCAATAATAGCGCCGTGCAACACCATACTCTATCAGAGCACCGAAACCCGACGCCACCAAAAAGGAAATGGGCATGCCACCCAATACGCCACAAAGTACGACGCATTCACCGCCGTGCTTTGGTCACCCACTCCTTGCGCAATTTGGGGACCAGAGGCTCGTCGTCGGAATCAGCCGTCTCTGTGTCGGTGATATGGACAGGAAGTTTCTGGCCGCGAATCTTGAGAGACGAAGAAGGCGCCTCTACTTCTGAGTCGGACGACAGGGTGATGACAGTTGACTGAAGGTTCTTTGATCCTCGACTCGGACTATCTTCTTGATTTGTTCGTCTGCTGGTAACGCGACGACTCGAGTTGGCCTTGGGTGTTATTTCCGGGTCGGCTGTGAAGTCAAATGTCTTTCGAATCTTTCCCGTGCTTTGAGAGGGCGTGGTAATAGGCATATCGTCGTCGTCTTCATCATCGTCTGAGTCGGTGACAATGTACTTATGGCGGGTGGACCTCGGTCTGATCGGGGTCGAGTTGGCATAGGGATGATGGCGGTTATTCAACGGCGGGCTGGATTTGGTCGGCGTCTTCTTGGCTGCTGATCGCCGTGCGATCTCGGCCACGGATGGCAGCGAGATCGATGAATCCGAATCAAAGTCACGGTCAGATGGAGCTTCAGCCATCTCTTCATCTTGGAGAGTGGCTGTTTCATCGTTCGACACTTCCCCATCCGTAAAGTATTCCACATCCTCACTGTCCTCGTCATCCTTCCATTCATCTTCATCCCAATCGCTGTCGTCCATTTCATTATCACTGACGACGAACCCATCGTCGCTATCATAAGACTCATCATTGTCCGATGCTACCCTATCATCGGCAGGTCCAAGCCTCCTTCCAACCGGGTTCAAGATGACAGGTCGTGCCCTAGAAGCAGGTTGTTTCTTTGGGTGTCTTGCCCTCCAAGCGATGAACCTCTTCTCGATGCCGACGAGTTCGGGCCCCCACACGGTATTCTTGACTAGCCAGTTCCATTTCCTCGGCGCGGCGTACAGGACCCGCAATTCGTGGCCTCGGTGCTGCCCGAACCAGACCTCAGTTGATAGCGGGCTCCGCGTTTCGTCTAGCCAAGCCGTGTATCGATCGTGTACGTCTCTGAACTCTCTCAACTATGCGATAGATTCCGTTAGTTCATACCTACGTATAAGTATCTTGCTTCGTGAACATGAGCGTGTACATACCATGTTGGATGGTATTTCTCGACCCATACGGTAGATTTTCCATCGGTAGTTGTCATCGAGCTTCTCCAACTGCGTGCCTTTGAATTTCCCAAACCACATCACCACTTCGCCGGGCGTTTTCGGTTCCCTCGAAAATCCATCATCTTCGTAATTAGGCTCGTATCTGCCAAAGGCCGCCATGGCTTCTCGAGGCTCTACTTCCACGCGTTGAAATCTCACTGAAGGGTCCTTGGGAATTGATTGTGGTAGGAATGAAAATTTTTTCTTTTTATATTTGAGCAGCTTAGTCTAAGTTACAAACCGAATTGCCAGCCTTGTCGCTGTAAGACGTACGATTTCCTGCACGCAGCCTACCTAGGCTATGGTGGCGCCAAAAATTAAGAACCTTGCTGCCTATGCCAACGGTACAGGCTTCTCGCCCAGTAACTTGCCCCTTGTGATCGTTATAATTGTTTCACTGTTCTCAATATACATACCTAGCTTTTAAAAATAATTTCAATAGTGATAATTGAGGAAACGAAATTAGGAAACTTGGAAAACTTTGCTTTGGTTCTTGGTGGCATGTGACTCATAACTGGCCATCGGTTAAGCACCTCTCTGCACAATCCCGTGCAGTTGGTTGTAAGCCCCGGCATCGATCGTCACAACTTGCCGGAAAACGAAACGTAATTGGCTGGAACGCATATGTACTCCAAGGAACAAGCAAGAAGTTCATAGAATGTTAACGATTATCACGCGTTCGCGGGTTGGTGTTAACAGCAAAGAACTATGCACATGCTATCCTCAGACGAAGTCCAGTGGTGCACGGTTTGTGAGAATTGATCTCAGCTATCAGCTATCAGAAAATACCAAATCACTGTCAAGAAACTAGATAGCATCCATGTCTAAGAGCTTAATTCGAAACTCACAAATCATCCATTATGTCGGCGAATATCTACAGAATGTCAAATATACTGACATTAAAAAAGCCATATCATTAAAACCAACGCCTCAGCATGCTAGCTCTAATACCCCATAGCACCGGACTAAACCCATCGCCACTTTTTTTCCCTTCCTAAACCTGCTACACCTGTGAATCTAGCTCAAGCTATTAAATGCACATACATAGAACTGAATAATGGGTAACTCTAGCAAAATGATTAAGACATTAGTCCACGATGGAGACATCAGTGGGCTTCGTCCTTATTTAGATCTGCCCGCATCAATTATCTTCTTGTTGGCCCTTTCCAACTTTTCTCTCGCTTTGTCGTCGAGTAGGTTGAACCAAGCTCGCAAATGCGCCACATAGGCCATCTCCCTTCCATTGTATTCGACCGGAGGGCCCTTGATTTGGGGTGGTTCGCCTTCCTGGTCGAAAACAGCCCAGCTGGACTCATCGTTTGTGCGTAGACCGAATCCCTTGTTATGGATTGAGATGGCCGTAAAGTTTCGGAGGAGCACAACGTCGCCGGCTTTGATAATAGGTAATGTCTCCTTATGTGGTCGATAGAGCTGCACGTCCACGACCGAATAAGGTCCGATTGAATAGTCCGTAATAGTAAACGACATCATGAATTCACGCGGACCGCCCTTAGCTCTCTGTGGATCCGGCGGTTGCATCATGGCGATGGCTATCACGCTTAGCTTCTTTTGAAGATGTTGTCGTATGACCTTTAGAGATGTACAGTCCGGCAATTCATCCCGGAGATGGCGGACTAACTTCAGTTTGGCTGCTGTCATCGAATTGCTCTCTTCTTCCATGTTAAAAGAAGCCCTAGCTAGTTGCACACTCGGATCCTCCGCGGCAACTCTAGAGTTTTCGGTAGGCGGCCTTTTCCCATTTGCATAAGTAGTCTTGGTTATATCATGTTGCCTTGGCTGTCGCTTAGAGGTGTTTGCAGCTCGCGCAAGCTGCACACTCGGGTCTACTTGTGATACTTCTTCAGGAGTATCAACTTCCTCCATTGAAATAGTTTGCCGAGTTCCCTGTCGCTCTTCGATCTGGTTCCCAAGCTCTGGTGATGGACCTCTTGAGACCAGATCCCGCAACTCAGAGTCCAAGTGAGTCTCGTCTTCATTATCAGTGATGTTATCTTCGTCGTCGTAACTATCGGATTCATTGCCAATCTCATGTTCATTCGGCGTCTCGATATGTGCAACTTCCTCAAACTCTTGAGAATATTCCAAGATACTAGCTTGCAATTCCTCGTCCATCTGCGTTGCAAACGACACGTCAGCACCATGTGCATCGACTTCGAGTTCTGAGTGTGCATCGGTTCTTGCCTCGAGCTCACTCGTAATCTGAGAAGTAGACTCAATGAAGCTCCCTTGTGCCATTTCATCGGCGCTGACCTGAGTCTGGAAACTTAACGAGGCATGTGAGTTATTAAGAGGCGTGCTATTTCCTTCAGCGTCCTCGAGGGGGGTCTGCTGTCGTGAAGCTGAGGTGGAGTCCGCGTGTGATTTTTCAACATGGATTGAAACATCCTCCACAACTGCCAAAGGTTCTTCCACGTCGAATGATTGCTGAGTTGAAGATGGAATATTATGAATAGTATCCTTCACGAGCTCGGCTGCGTTATTGACCTCACTAATTGTGTCGACCTCCATTAAATCACCAACTGGGGGTTCGAGAATTGTGACATCCCCCATTGCTTGGGTGTCTTGGGGTGTTGGAAACTGATTAGGTGGTATTTGGGACTCTGTACTTGTGGTAGTCTCCTGTATCGCGGCGACCGACATTTTCTCATCGGTAAGTTGATGCGCGAGTGGATGTGTCAAGGAAGGAGACAATGGCGCAGCAAATTCAGCTTGCCTATTTTCATCTAATTCCACAGGTTGCGAATCCGAGATACCATTCGGCAATAGCTCGACTGGCTCCTCGTCTTGCTGGGTGTCTCGAGTCTCATATTCACCCTGCTCCACTGCGCCTTGCGCTAGATCCGTTGTATATTCATAAGCTTGTGACGTCGTGGAAGTAATAACGATATCGTCGCGCATGGTTTCGAGTCCTGCTAACTCACTGTTGGCCTTCGATTCACTTTCTACTACTCGGCTTAAAATATCGAGTCCCTCAGCCGCAGTTTGTGGAGCCATAACTTCATCCTTTTCAGCCTTAGCGTCCTTTATACTGTCATCGCCATCATCCTCTCCAGCCAAGATAGAATCTGCCCTACTAAGCTGGGGTGGTCCTCTTTGGTCCGCAGAAAAATCGTTCATAGGCGGATTTTCGGCTACAGTGGAGTTCGGTTGAGGATCCGCATTAGAAGACATTTCGATATCTTCGTCTTCAGAACTTTCTACCGCAACAGCACGCTCTTCTAAGAACTCCGTCATACCATCTTCTTCGCTGAATGGTTGTTCGGGTTCTAGCTCGTCAGATGAATGAGCCGAGATGTCATCTTGCATTTCATCATCCATATCTTCCTCCTCATCATCACTCTCATCTTCAATATTAGCTTCAATATCAGCTTCATCACCCTCGTCTTCTTCACTTTCACTTTGCCCGCCCTGTGCAATTGATTCGGCTGATATGTTACTCGGTATAAATTCCGGTTGAATTCGTAGTCCAGTATTATTAGTTAGGTTAGATAGTGGCTGCGGCTGGTTAACTGCGTCATCTTCGCTTTCGTCCTCCGATGATGAAATGAGGTCAATAACCTGAGGTGTCGATTGTGACATAGGTAGAGGCGATGGTTGAAGTTCCGCATCATCCTCATCCATATCATATTCACTATCGTAATCGTGACGATCTGCGTCCTCGTCTTCGATTTCCTCTTCGATTTCGTCCTCATCTTCTTCTCCTTCCCCTTCCCAACTTCGACCATCGTCAAACTCGGGTTCCAGACGATGCGGTCGCAAATCTTCGTCGTGGCTATCATCCTCGTCGTCATCCGGGGCTGTATAATTTCTTGTATCATAATCACCGCCAATTTCGTCCGCCTCATATTCCGGTTCCTCGTCTTCCGAATAGTCGGCGTCGACTCGATCTTCAGCGTCTGCCTCCTCATACATGTTCAAATCGTCAGCATGACCCTTGATACCTATGTCTTCTGCAACTACTGGAGGCGGTGGGTCATCATCCGAATCACTCTCGTCTATGACAACTGCGTTATCTATTGACTCGCCCTCGGTACTACCAAGTCGATCAGTCGATGACATCGCAGTGACTTGAGGTGGGTCATTGATCGTAGTCCATAAAGATGATCCTGCGTCCACCGCTGCTGGAACGCCGGGGCCGAATGGGGTTGTCCCGACAGTGATAGGTTCTTGGGAGAAAGACCGACTCTCATCTAGATATGATGTAGGATAGTCAAGATGTGCCCCTTCTATCGAGTTAGTTTGCTCCTCATTCTCAAGGTCTAAAGGTGGATAAGCGGTGGTTTGCGGGAGACCTTGAAGTGGATAATTCTGCTCATCACTCGGAAGACCGCCGAGAGTTTGTTCAGTAGGGTCAATGGCGAGATTGCTGGGTTCACTTGGCGAGCGCGTACGGCTCTCAGGTCTCATAACACTAAGCCTATCAGGTCTGTGACTATCATATCCATCCACAAAATCACTAGGTAGTGGTTGCTCGGCAGCATGCAGATAGGTTGTAGGAGGAAGTTCCACAGATCTAGGGTCCCAGCCTTGGTGGAAATCATTGCTGCCAGTATGAAATTGATCGGTATGGTGAAATACAGGCAACTCGGAGCCATCATCAGGAAGCCCTTCGCTAGGGACAAAAGGTGGGAGCTGCGCAGGTGCCGTAGTCGACCACTCAGTGTGGAAGGCCCCTTGGACGCCGTGATCCACCATACCTTGTCGGGGCTGAGCAACTTGTTCTTCTCTCGGCGTTAGATTCGGGTTCAGTTGCGCTTCCTCAGCATTTGTACCCAGATGAGAATTTATGTGAATAGGAATAGGTGAGGGCATAGGGAAGTCAATCTCCATAGTTTGGCATCCTTCGTCGGTCATACTTGGTCTTGGTGGCGAACTATCATAGTTCTCAGGTAAGGCTGGCTCAGGGCTAGGAGATTGGCTGGCATATTTCCATGCACCACTTTCACGGCCAAACCTCGATCTCTTTCTTCCTCTTCCTCTCACCCCGCCATCCTCTTCAAATATATCATATCCATCTTCGAATAGGGACCCATACGACATTCGTGCTCTCTTAATGAAAGCTGGCGACTCGAATTCGCCATTTTTCATTCTTGCAATATGTGTCTTGCTAGGTGGTGTGAGCGTTTCAAGATTCTCAGTCGGAAAATCGTCCACATGGCTCGTCTCGACCGGCGGCGTTTCAGCTCGGGGTTCGGGTTCTGCTGGCGGTGAGTGATGCTCGACAGTGATAAATTTGGTTTCCCCAGTTTCGACCAAGGTGACCTGAGAGTAGTTAAGTTAGTAATTATCCTAATGCCTACATAGAGACGTCATTCATTACCTGAAGCAGAAGCTTCTCAGAGAACTTCAACTGCCAATCAACCCCAGCGCCTGGCAGACTCTGGCGCTTCTTAACTTGTTCCGGCTCCCATTCGGCACCATCCAAGCTTACGATGACCTCATCACTACTACTCAATCCACTCTCACTGGCAGCCTTAGCAGATGCGCCCGTCAAATTGACGCGAACTTGTCCTTTATTTCGACGAAGACGAAAATCAGGCTCGGCGAGAACGAATGAAAAGGTGCCTTTCACGAAGCTGTAGGGCCAAGTGATAGTGACAACACCACGGACAGCACGAGACGCTGGGTTCGAAAGTTCTGGATTTAAGTCGGCGATAGGAGTGTTATTTGCTGCGCCAAGCTTCTGGGAAGGATCTGACGCGTTGGCGATGTCCATGATGCCGGCATAATTCAGTCGCAGCGCGATCGCGTTCGATGGTTGTTCGATCACGTAGGTGGGTGAGGAATCAGAAGGCGGCGCATTTGACCAGATATTTTGGTAATGAGATAATGAGATAATTAGTGTCGCCGGATTTCATACAAGAATAGTACTTGATAGGGTGATGTCGAGGTTTCGCGAAGTAGATAATTATGTGTCAAAAGTTAAGTGTCGAATCTATGTTGGAATTGATCTTAAACAGCTGAAAACGTGAAGCTACAACCAGTTGGAGCTTTACATTCACAGGGTTGTAGCTGCCAAATTTAGTGGAGTGCACGCTATGCGCCTCATTTCATTAGCCACATCTTTCCCCAATGCGGATTATTATTGTGGGGTCTAAATTTCCACCTGGTGCTTTCTCTATCTTATCAAACCTTATCTTATCAGCTTCATTAACGAAACTCAAAAACATTAGGAGGTATTGACCTTGAAATTTATCAAACAGTCAAACTACATACAATAAACAATTACATACAACATGCTCTCCAAGTAGGCAAAGCCTGAGGATGGTTATTAATCACATTGTTGCACATCTTACTCGGTAGACTGGGTCGCATCTCAGTGACCACTAGTATGGAACATTCCATCGGTCTATGGAACGATATCGCCGAAAACAGAGTACCGAATTGATGAAATCGCCATTACTTAACTCACTACCTCTAATAAGAGATGATGAAGACAGCGAAATATCAATTCCGCGACGTATTCGAAGGACATGAAAAGCAGAGCATTCATTCAACTGAAATTGATACAAATCAGTATCCTTAATATCCGTATCCAATCCGTTTCCACTTCCAATTCAATTATAAGTGATGGTCCAGTTTCCAGGAAGTTGAGACAACCCTAGCTAGATGTCAGCGTTCTAGGTACGAAAGCCGGGGACCGGATGAAGCCTTCGCTTAGACGGAAAGCCACTTACATCCATCATATTCCTCGGGGACGGTTTGATTGAGCGTGCACCGCATCGCTTCTTCCGCAGTCTGCGACTTAAGCTCTGAGCACCGGTCATTACTGCATCTCGCATCTAAAGCTCGTTGCAGTGCGTCACCCTTCCAACCGAAGACGTAGTCGCCGTGCTGGCCATAACCCGTACTAGATGTTTATTATTATTAGCTACCCTCTCTACACATAGTCGGGAAGGATAGGAACCTACCCGTCTCCCATGCTATACACAAAAGGCTGGGACCCATCTTCGGGCCAGAGATCAGGATCGTTGAATTGCCGGGTGTCCCAAATAATTTCGTACATAAGCTGAGATTATTGACTTAGCTCATTAACGCCCAACGATAAATAAATAAATTTCAACGGATCGAGAGATGAAATTGAACTTCACCAACCTGTGGTAGTTTGACGGGATGACTGGCTGGGCAAGGGCCACTACTCTCAAATGTTCCTGTTTCGGGGTATGCGACGTGGCTCTTGTGGTCGGGCGAGTCAACGTTCACGCCATCCCAGCAGGTTGGAAACGTAATCGTCGTGCGAATACCACCACTACACATCTTAGGCGGAAGGGAAGCCGTATCGTCACCCGTACAGGGCGCACCTCCGAAAGGCACTTGGTTGACCGTAGCAAAGCATCGGTGGCAAAGTTGGCGCTGCTGGCCCTCGGCTTGCCGTAGCGTCGCGTCCCCAACTAGCATGCGGAACCCCTATTTCAACATACGTTATCAGAGTGCTATTTCCCAGATGGCGATGGAATACGCTCAAGGCTTCAAGGGTCAGCAGTATCTGAGCTTACCGGCTTAAATGCCGTGACATTGCTCTTCCCATCATACGGCGGGATATAATACACGGTCAACCCGCCGTCGGCCTTGAGACCCATATTCACCAGCTGCGGTACACGTTTCAAAGTCCCATTGCGGTTCTTGAAGAATAAGTTTGCGGTCCAATAGTTCGAAAAGTCTTCCGAAAAGCTACACGAAGTACAAGTCGATTTCTCAACTGGGTCATATTCAACAGGCGCCATAGTTGCTGTGAATGAGTTACCACCACCGACCTGGTGCATGTGTGGAGACTGAATCATTCCAGGGGAAACCAGCGGGTCCAGACGCTCGATCGTGAGTTTCGAGCATGAGAATCGCATCATCTGCTGCGCGTAGGCGACATCGCGCGCCGACAAGAGCGTTGCCAGAGCTGCAAGAGAGCGCCACTGCATCTTGTCCGTTCTCTCGAGGTAGGATTCTAGGTGGAGAGGACAAGCGGGAAATTGAGGATTTTGGGAGAAAAAAACTAATATTCATCAGGCAAGGATGAAATAACCTGCAGATCACACAACGATATGTCTTTATACATCTCGAACACTCCGGTGAAGAAACATAGACCACGCTCTTCTACCCATGTTCGACTTGGGAAAATCGGTGAAATAACGTGGGAATCCATGCGCAAAGATGCAAGCGGTTCGCAAAGGAAACTGCCGTAGATTGGGAGTAACCGGGTAATTCGCTTGAAGAGCTAGGCGGAGGGATATATTCCTAAAACGATTTCATACAATATTCTGATTGGTCAAGAAGAAGCTTCTTCACCCAAGACCTAACATATATTCACACTCGGCAAACCCACATCTTACGAAAGTAGGTACTAGGTATCTAAGGTAAGGAAACTGTTATACTACCAGACCTACGGTTGGTTGTGGACCTTTCACCTGGCTCTATCAATGTTACATGCTTAGGTGAACTTGATATATGAGATATCTTGTAGATTCATAAGTTTGGTCATCTTACTATTCATATTAGAATTTGAAATTTGATGTCTACTCAAGGCTATCAAAGCTTTCTTGTCTTGATATGGCACTCTAAGTCGAATATCAAATATCGCTACTTATTCCATACAGCCCCTATTACCTACTTGCGACAAATTGGCCGTCTATATAGATACACTTAGACAAAAAAGACAACCCGCCCGTGTAATATCCAACCCAACGAGAAGTCTATAGGCTTATCTGAAATGGTCGAGCCGCTTTGAGACAGTGATCCAGCACTGTAAATCATGTGGCGCGGCCTACGGACGAGTATTTGGGGGCATCCGGGGTCATATCAAGCACTGTCGGCTTTTCGCTGATTATCACAATAGGTTTACTCCAATATATGGGACTTCGCTCATAGAGAGAAGGGGAATACGGGCAGACGACTACTTTCATATATCGTATGCGACGGCTCTCCGCATTGTGAAGTGCCTGGAGATAAAGAGCGATTGCATATGCAAGAGCAGTGTTAGGTATTTCGTCTAAATTTCTGTGAGTGTTTACCACGGAGATAAGGTCTTTGTAGATCTTGAATGGGTCGAACGGGCATATTGGGTTGATCGCAGTGGCGGTCGGTGATGATGGTTAACGCCGATGGCTGCTTAGCACCGACTCCCACCAAAATTTCAGCTCTGAATTTAGTTGACATTCGGTGATTAACATCAGCTATTCTATCTCCAACTTCGTCTATTTTTAATTCTACCGCATCTACACATATCATTGTCATCATTGCTGCTGCTACCCTGACACATCTCCATCTCCGAAAAATGGATTATGTGATCGAGCACTCTACACCTAGCACCTGTATCCAAACGAAATCGACTTTTCCTTAAGCTGGAAATTCGGCTTTAGGATGAACCTCATCGTAGCATCGCGGCGACGGCCGTTAAATATAGCTAAAGTCCACACTGAAGAAAGTATAAAGGGACAATCAAACCGACCATGGCATCAACTTCTTGTTTCTTCAGATTAATCAACACCCAACGCATATTCAGACCGCATTTCAACCCTCAACTACAGCAATTCTCATATATTCCTAAATCACCTCATTCAAGGTTCTACTCTCAAAAACTAAGACCCAGTACCACCAAAAACAACATGACTGGCAACGTGTGGTTCATTGCCGGAGCGAGCAACGGCTTTGGCCGCGCCATCGGCTTCGAGGCTTTGAAACGAGGAGACAAAGTAGTCGCTACATCGCGCAACCCTGCCAAGATGGCCGATCTCAAAGAAGCCGGCGCTTTGGTATATGCTCTCGATGTAACCGCCGATGATGCGACCATACAGGCTGCGTTCCAAAAGGCGATCGACGCCTATGGGAAGATCACTCACTGCATCAATGCTGCGGGGTACATATTAGAAGCTGGAATTGAGGAAGCCTCGTAAGTCTTTGCCAATGAGGACTCAGTCGAGTTAAACATGTATTGACATATCAAAATAGGCCTAAAGAGATTTTTGATTTATTCAACACCAATGTCCTAGGGGTCATAAACATGACGCGCAACATCCTACATCACATGCGCCCCAGACGGGAGGGCGTGATTGCCAACTTTGGCAGTCTAGGTAGCTGGCGGGGCGGTCCGGGTGCCGGATATTATGCATCGACAAAGTTCGCGATGACCGGGTTCACGGAGTCATTGTATGAGGAGGGGAAGGAACTGGGGATCTCTGGCGTCATCATCGAGCCGGGATACTTCCGAACGGGATTCCTTAACACAGGCGGTGGTAACCGTCTGGTGGCTGCGAACCCGCTGACCAAGGAGTACGAAGGCACTGTCGTAGCGGCGACTAAAGCCCGACTTAACAGCGTTGATAATAATCAGCCGGGAGATGTTGTCAAGGGTGCCAAGGTTATTGTCGATGTGTTGACGAGGACCGGTGCTGCTGAGGGCAAGGAGATCCCTATGAGGCTCGTGCTTGGTGCCGATGCAGTAGCGGTTATCAAGGACAAGATCGCAAGGACTGAGGCTAATATGAAGGAATGGGAAGACGTCATCCTCAGTACTGATCACGACGATGTCAAGAAATAAGAAATTCTCCGCATTATAGGTACCTACCTATCTACTCAGGTATATTCAACACTTTAGATTGTCAGGATAGCTTTTCAAAGCAAATGGGCGTTATCTTTGGTAGAAATTAATATAATGAGACTTCATAAAAAATCCCATCGGAAATTGCAAGATAATAGCAAATAATCAGTTATATGGAAGGATCCCAAAATAGATAGGCCCGGTCCGCGCTGGATTATACAACACGGAGCCAACAATACCCCGATTCAAACGTTAGGCCGCAGACGGTCCCTGTCCGAAAATAAAAAGTCGCCGAGAGCCGAGCTAAAGAACATCCAGGCCAACTTCCGCTCCGACAAAATTTGTAACTGAAAGACTCCAAGTTACAAATGATTCGTAATTCGATTTGTCTAGCCATCTCATGTTTCAATCTGATCTAAAATAGTGTAACGCTTACTTCCGCGACTATGCATAATAGTGAAGGTAGACTATGTCGGTGTCTTCGTCCATCCCGATGGGCTTCGAGCTAGGTGAGGATATAAGGGGGCCATCCCCAAAGTGTTAATGAAAAGAAGAAGTTGAACACAAGCCTACCTTGGTCGCACACATTGTCAAGTAGTAGGAGACTAAGAGAAAAATCGGATATCCACCAATTGCCCTAAAATTTATAGCACCATGACCAAAACCATAGTGATCCTAGGCGCCGGCCTCGCCGGGCTCCCCCTAGCGCACCACCTGGTCTCACGAACCGCACCAAATCACCCGGACCTACGCATCGTGCTCGTGTCCCCACACACGCACTTCTACTGGGGTCTAGCCTCCGTGCGCTTCGTGCTTCCCACCTCCGAGCACTCGATCCCGGAAGACCGGTACCTCTTCCCAATCGAGTCGCAATTCGCCGGGTACCCGCACAGCGCATCGCAATTCGAGTTTGTAGCCGGCGCCGCGAAGCAACTGCATCCGGACCAGAACACCGTCACCGTGGCGCTGAACGACGGGACAGAGAGGCAGGTGGTGTACCACACTCTAGTCGTAGCGACGGGGACCAGCTACGTCGACGGCGCGCCGTGGAAGGCGCTAGGCTCAGCAGAAGAAACCCGCGCCGCAATCGCCGACCTGCGAACGAAAATCGCCAGCGCCTCCTCGATCGTCGTAGCCGGCGCCGGCGCAACGGGCGTCGAATTCGCAGGGGAGCTAGGCGCCGCGTACAGCAAGAGCGGGAAGAAGAAGATCACGCTTCTATCAACCGACGTCCTCCCCCTCGAGCCACGACTAAAAGAAAGCGTGCGTCAAACAGCGAAAAAGGAGCTCGAGAAGCTCGGGGTGGAGTACATCGGCAACGCGCGCGTGGTGTCCAGTTCCACACCTCCCAGCACCTCCAGTGGCAAGAAGGAGATAACGATCACCGTAACCAGCGGGGGCAAAGAAACAAGCAAAACCCTAACCGCCGACCTGCTAATCCCCACCTACGGCGCAAAACCCAACACCTCCTTCGCGCCCTCCTCCCTGCTCTCCCCCTCCTCCCCAGGTCGTCTGCTCCAAGACACCACCCTCCGCATGCCCTCGCACCGCAACATCTTCGTCCTCGGCGACGCCGGCGCCCTCGAGCCGCCTCAAGCGGTCTACGCCGACCGACAAGTGCGGCACCTAATGACGCACTTCAGTTCATACCTCCTCTCCGGCACAGTCGCGCCATACATCGTCGACCCGAAGGTAATGTACGGCGTGACCTTTGGACCGAGCCGGGGCGTGGGACAGATGGGGGGGTTCCAGATCCCCAGTTTACTGATCTGGTGGATCAAGGGGCGTTACCTAGGCACGGACCGTGCGGGCAACTGGCCTGCTGTCGGGAGCACGAATGGGGCTTGGCCGAAGTGAGGTCGGGGACGGGTATGAGAAATATTTCATTCAGGAAAGAAGGAAATAAGGAAACAAGGGAGGGAAGGGAAGGAAAGAGGGGTTATGAAGGCAAGCGGATTGCGTTAACATGTTTTACAGCCTGATATATCTACCATATCTTTTATCACGACTTCACTAATTACTAGTAAAGCCATTTATGTTTAATACTCCATTTCACTATCAAAGCCGCCGAATTACGTAAGCGTACATATTGATGTGAATTATCCCCTCTCGCCAGCTCTTGGTGTCCATGCGCAATGCGTTGTAATTCCTCCTACCGTAAAATGGCCATAGATCCGCCAAGCGCCGACAGCGCCTGTCCAGGGGACCAGTCTTTGTACAAATGGCCTTTTACTACCTCTTAGTTGGGAATATGAACCGCCACTCTTCTCTGCCATTATCTAGGAAAAGCATGTAAATCGTCTTAGAGAATCCGAATATTAGACTCCGGATGAACAGAGGCTAAGAATCCCGTAAGGTTTCTGTGAGGTTGCCGACACGTCCTACTCTGTCACAGCCTCACTCACTACAGGCTCGCCGGACTGTATAGCGGTGGAACTAGAAGCCCGATCTAGCTGAGGTGGTTTTCCGTCAACATGAGGACGTTTGCTTTCTCGTTGGGAATCGTGTGTAGACGATGGCCTTTTCCTATCCTTATCACGGCTGCCACCTTCCTTGGAGGCAGCAGCAGCACGCCGTGCATCTCGATCCTGCTTCTCCTTTTCTCGGCGTAGCGCCTTTGACTCAAATTCATGCCATTCACCTTCAAGTTCTTGGAGTCTGATGAAAAATTAGCATATCTACAAAGACAGGGTGATATATGACATGTACTTACTCAACTGCTTGCCTAGGCGGCGGCTGCTCCGTCGTGAAATAAGGATGCTCCAGGACCTCGGCTGCAGATGGACGCTTCACCGGATCGTACTGGAACATGGCAGCAAGCAAGTCAAAGGCAGCTGCCGGGACTCGTTCTTTGTACTTCTCCGCGAAGACATTAGGTCGCCGATAGCTAGGTCTCAGTAATTCAAACCAAGGCATGTCGACAAGACCAGGCCAATCAACCTTATTCGGCGTACCAAGTATGGCATATATCTTTTCTAACTGATTGATCTCTCCGCCGTCACCTGGATAAATTGCATGGCGTGTGAATATCTCTACCATGACACAAGCTGCGCTCCAGATGTCCACGGCGGCACCATATTGTGTCTCACCCAGTAATAGCTCGGGAGATCTATACCAGATGGTGATGACCCGATTTGTGTAATCGAGTTGGTGATGTTTGGCGTAGAAGCGAGCCAGGCCGAAATCTGCCAGTTTCAAAACTCCATCGCTGCTAACCAAGATGTTTGCCGCCTTAATATCGCGGTGTAGCACGCCTCGTTTGTGTAGATAATCTAGACCCTCAAATAGCTGTAGTGCGAGGTGTTTTTTCTGCGCAGCATCAAGTTTGTACGATGGATGGTTTAATAGGCCGGTCAGATCATGAGACAGATATTCGAAAACCATGAAGCAGTCATTCTTCTCAACCATCACTTCTTGTAGGTTGACGACGTTCGGATGCTTCAAGGACTGTAGCAACTTGATTTCTCGAACTGCGGTAACGGGGAAGCCATCTCGTTCACCTTCCATGCGTATCTTTTTCAAAGCAACGAGCTTGTTGGTGTACACGTGAAGCCCCTTGAAGACTTTACCATACGTGCCAGATCCCACGACCGACTCGTTGCCAGGCTTTCTGAAAAATACTGAATCGGATGCTGCAAGATGAGGTGGTAATTCGGGTCTGGGTTTCAGCCTACGCTGTATTCTCTTCACCTTCCTCGTCTTCGGAGGCTCGGGCGGACCTCTGTTGGCATGGTAATCTGATCTTGCTCTCGCAGAAGCAGGCTCTCTAGGTGTGTCTCTCGGCAAGTCTCGATCTCGATCTCTATCCCGATGCCGGTCCCGCTCTCGGTTCCTGTCACGATCGCGATCACGATGATCTCGGTCTCGGTCGCGGTCTCGCTCTCTGTCTCGCTCATCGGAAAGTACGAGTGGTTCCTTTTTAGGAGCCGTGTTGAATTTCTGCGAAATTTCAGGCTTGGGGGTCGCAACCGGAGCCTTATTCGCGGCTTTGAAAGCGAAGCTGAACTTCGAACTTGCGGGGCCTGTGGGGGCGGTGGGCGGAGGTCGAGGTGGTGGCATCTGTTCGTTAGCATTCTTTTCCGTCAAGTCTTCGTTATGGAGAGTCCTAGACGTCCGAGTTGTGTTATCATCGTCATCCTCTTCCTCTTTTGGCCCGGAAAATTCGGACTGATTCGACGTAGCATGGTGTGGGCTATGATGCCGAGGAGTGTTATCCCCAGATTGGCCGGAGACTCCCCTACCAGTACCTGATGATCGTGGGGTGACTTCGGGGCCTACCACGTTTCGGTAGCCACCTCGAGCAGGATGTGAGCTACCTCGAAAACTTCCCCTAGAAAAATTACGGCCGCGAGAGTAAGATTGCGAAGGCCCGGTGGGTGGGTGCGGTGGTGATTGGCTTGAGACATGATGACCCGAGGGGCCAGTAGGCGGACCATGGCTACTTTGAGGACGTTGCGTAGGGTGCTGGCTAAATTTGTTATGAGAATGTGACTTTCGTCTGGAACGCTTTGGTTGACTGTACCTATGAGGCGAGTTTTGACGTTGGTTACCCCATCTACCATTACCATAAGGCGATTGCGACATCGGTGATTCATGAAAAGAGGAGCCCGAATTAGGCCGTGTAGGTGAGTGGGCGGATCGACGGTCATTATGCTGAGAGTTTCCGGGGCGAGTCGGAGGTATTTGGGCACTAGTACTAGAGCCGCTTCTGTTCTCTAGTCGTCTAGACATGTTGACTTCGATACTGTTTGCACCAGATGCCAAGTGACCCCCTGGGGGGAATCTTACGTCTTCCCGATATTTGCCCTTTTTACGAGACCGACGAGAGCCACGCTCTCTGGGTGATCGAGGCGGAAAATCGGGCCTGGGATGCTCCAAGGAAGATCGACGAGAACGTGACCCAGCTTCTGATGAACCGGGATGCGGTCCGTCAAGTGGCCGAGTAGGTGAATGGGCGTGCGAAAAAGACGATCGTCGTGAGCTAGATAGCGGCGAGTGACTCCGATCTCGAGTTTGAGAGTCCCCACGTGGGTTAGGTAAGGGGAGAAGGGGAGTATCACGTTCGGGGTTTCCTTCATCAGGCGGCGAACGGCTACGCTGGCGATGTCGATGCGGCTCGGAAGGATCGCTTCGGTCGGCGTGTTTAGGTCGTGGGTCGTCGTATTGAGGCGAGGGGGACCGCCTTCGAGGGGGTGGCGGGATTGAATTTTTCAGCTGATCCCTCTCCGCCCTCTCCGCCTTCTCTGCCCGCTCTGTTCGACGTCGACGGTCCCGCTCACGCTCTCGCCTAGATTTTTTCGGGCGCGTGGGTGGGAAAGGTAAAGGACTTCGACTCCTACGACGTTTCCTTGATGCTGGCGAAAAAGATCGGCCTCTTGGACCGCGGCTCGCGTAATCGTTGCGTCTAGGACCGTGTCGAGGAGATGTGGGTATGTTGTGATGCTTATCCTGTTCAAATTTCTCACCGCGACCTTCCCACTGGTGGCGATCTTTGGCCTCGCGCGAGCCGTCGCCCTCCAAGTTTTTACCACGATCTTGCGATCGTCCACGTTGACTTACATCTGGCTTGCGGGGCCTGTCATTCTGCTGAGAAGGTGCTTCGTCGCGACTGTCTCTACCCCTGCTACCGTGGGCTCCTGGACGTCGAGAATTGGGTGAGGGAGACCGAAATGCAAATGGTCTAGAATGCGAATTACTAGCTGAGACTCGGCGATCTAAATCAGACCTATCACGATCCCTACGATCGCGGACGCGGTCGCGGTCGTCGTTATCGTAGCCTTTACTTCTTTGATCGTGTTTCATTGCAGCATCTCGTGAACGATCCCGGGATCCAAATTTGTTGTTGTTTGGAGTTGGGGCTGAAGTTGGTGATGGAGGACCAGGCTTGCTGGGATACCGACTCATTACTGGATCCATGTCGGCATCGCTCATTTTGGTATTGTACCTAGTAGTGACAGAGTAGGTACACTGAGTACACTGAATAGGTACACTGATTAGGTAGTGCCAATACCACTGTCAGTGGCTGGAGAACCGCTAAACGAGTGCTAGCCAGCCCGTCAGAGAAAACGGTAAAATTATGTCTCCGAGAAGGACATGGGTCAGGCCACCTCAGCAGCCTCGTTGATCGATGGTCGAGAGTTGATTGATAAAAGTACAGACAGCTAGAATCGTTAAATGTGATGTGCGAGCACTTCTATTGCCCTGTCTGCACATGTGCCCCGCAAAAGCTGGTATTGGTTGGTGTGCGAGGATTTGATGAAAAATAATTCGAGGTTAAGACGACGCGACGAAAGGCCGACAAAAAGTGTACAGGCGGTTTAGGCGGCTTTGTCCTCTGTCTTTTTGCTCCAGGGCTCAAGGGCTGTGTGTGGTTGGAAAGGTAGGTGTAAAAAAGTAATAAAGTTACCGGGGGTAGTAGCTTTGTTGCTCTTCCCGGCCCCAGAATTTTTCTGGGTCAGGTCGCGAAACTTTGGCGTGTGCCGCCCCGAGCCTTGCGGTGCAATTACCACCACAGCACCAACCCAAAATTACCTACCAGCGCCTTCCTCCCATACACTGTTGATGCACCCCTTTATCAGCAAAATTACCATCACCACCTCATACCCTAAGGTTTGAGGAGGAGAAAATAAAAATATAAAAATGGCAAATGGTAGCCATTATGACCACCATCCGATTTTTGCACCCATTCCTGTTTGAAGACTGCCGCCCAAAATAAGAGGCAGAGAAGAAGAGGAAGATGGTCGCAAGCGTAGCATACTCGAGTAAATCGAGTAATCCAGCCCCTCGAGTATTCCCGGTCGAGACCGAGAGTAAACGATTGGAAGTGTCTCAACACTTCCAAACTTATGTGCCGACTATCCTAGCATAAGTAGGAAGCTAGGCGAGTCAAGCAGCAGAACAATCCAGGCAATCTATCTACGATGAATGTATGCAATCTAAACATTCCCGCCGCCCATCATCTAGAATCCTCCTCTCCTGTTGCTATTCCGAACATCGACAAGTACTAACAACCATATCCCCAAGAATTCGGTTTCCCATTCATACTGCCTAGTAAACGGTTAGGCCGCATATAATCCTGAGCAGTATTTCTTGAATTTCCGTGACATGGTGACTGTCATGATTCCGATATTTAAAATTAGTAAAGGATTTCCTATCCGTGTCCTGGCCAATGGCAAACAAATTTGGTTGTAAATCTGCTTATTTGCCCACTGTTATTAGACAATCGATCTGGGGGCCGATCTCCCTTTAGTCAAGATGCAAATGGAAATATATTGCAAGACAAAGCCTGCTGCAGGACGGCGCTATCCTCGGCCTCTAGTCACCTAGGCTGAGGATGCCAATGCCATACAGTAGGCGATGATCAGTAGAAGCTTTAACTCACTTCGCTCCCCAGCCCAGCATGCAATTCCAATGACAGCCGAGTTTCTTACAACCTCGACGAAGGAATCCGTATACGAGGAAATATGGAACTATCTGATACTTTTGGAGATGAAGTATTCAAACCAAACTAGATCATAGGAAAAAGGTATTCTTGGTCTTGATCTAGATGAAGCCTGGTGGGGCTATAGTATCGGGGTAGAACAGCCACGAAAGGGAGTTAGGAAGCCTGGCTACCGCCGAATGTGCATAACATCATCATGCAGGTAGGTAATTTTACTACAGCTGATTAAATCTGACGAAGGGCCTGTAGTTTTGTGAGCGCTGGTGCAGTCGTTGCGAAGCGGGCTGCTGGATATCATTCTGCCAAATGATGTATGAAAGGTCAAAGCCGAGATAATATGTATTGCATCGAATCTGGTATTGGTCGATTATGTCTAACGCAAGGCGAATAATTTCCCTTGGCCATGATGAAGGTCGCTTCGATGTCAAAAAATCGTATGTTGTCGCACATTATTCGTGATGAATTTGTGAATTGAGCTCGGCTACACATTTGGCGACAGCTGACCGAAGGGCGACAAGAAATCAAGCGGGAGCTTGACATTTTCGCTAGACAGAAATCTCGCTGCAATAAATTCGGTTTACTTATCGCTTCCTCAGTAATTGAAGGCACGTCGCGAGCGAGAGGAAATTGATGGAGTAGGCGACGATAACCCCGATGGGTTCAAACGCAAATGTAAATGCAAATGCAACATCAAGGGCGGCAGGTTAGCGGTGTCGGTCGCATGCTCATACACAGATGCTCGTGCCGGTAGAGCCTCCACCGCGCAAGAAAAAAATCCATGACATTATTAATTGAGGACGGTCGCCAAAAGACGCTGCGATACAGAAGTTCATGGGAAATATCTATAGAGGCGGTGGTGATTGATTGATACGAACGGGAGGATGTTGTCTTGAGCAAGATGTGCTGGCTCTTTGTCAAAGTTGGAGAAGCAATCCGGTACAAAGTACTGAACCTTTACCTAAGCCCCACCAGGCCGTGTATATATTTTCAAATAACTGGGTTTTATACACTGTATTACATAATGCGTTCACCTTAAGGTTAAACTTTTGAATCTTGAAGAAATTGACTCTTGTTATCTCATCAATGCCCGCGTACTTTCGATTTACTACCTACCTACCTACCTACATTCAACTTCCAAGCCCTTAAAGGAATCATTCGGATATCGTTAAAATCCATGGTACCAAATTTCCATACTAATCGAATTCGATATGGAATGATTACATACTCTCAGGTAACTCTTCAGCTCCCTACCTACCTAGTCAGCATTCACTCCTAGTCAACAGCTAATATATTAAGGATGATAGGAGAGCCGGATTTCCAGAATGCTACCTACCTAGTAGGTATAGTGAGGAACCAAGCTCCCATCCTACACAGATACTCCTATTTTCTATCTCCATCTACATAACTGCCTACCTACAATTACATATCAGACTCATTCTGAAGTTCCGGTAACTAAATTTGAGGGGCTTCATAGATAAGGTCTAGATCGCTAGACCATTAACTCAACAATGCACCGTCGAGCAACCCGCGTAGGAATATACGGCCTAGCTGAAATGAAGGTAGCGATAATGTCTTTAACAGCTAAAGCCTTGTGATTCATTTTCGGTACTGATCCTCATCATTTCGGATCGACATAGTTCCTCTTTGATGCACCAACCAAATGTGATCCGAGGCACACCAAAAGTCGATAGGCTGCTTACACAGACCTGCCAAGCGCCACTCACCTCAACATCGGATAGAGGATCGGATGCCATCTCATCTCCCCGCAACCTACCAGAGTACTTACCTAAGACAAGCATCATCGTTGAAGTCAAGTTATATGGCGTAATGCTTTATCTTGATAATACGCATGCCGTAAGCCAATGTTTAGAATATCGTGCTTGTTTAGCCTACTCAACCTATATACATACGGTGTTAATAGTTTCAGTGAAACTAAACGAGGACAAATTCGTTTCACTCCCAGTGACAGAGCTGATAAAATACTGGATTTCGTTGTGCATATGTGGACCAGGCCCGATTACTCTATCTTGGGACACAGGCGAGACGCCGACTAATCAGCATCGTAAGCTTATATCAAGTTTACGCCTCCTAGTCTACTAGCTCGATAAGTAAGAAGTCTAGAAATTCCATCGTCGAATTTTCAACTCATGTTCCTTCGTCTGAAAAAATCATGGGCGGAACCCCCGCGTCAGCAGATGGTTGTATCACACACCCGCGGCGATTAGCACAAGGGGTTCCCATCACCTCTCCGTAGTCCAAGCTCGTCCATCTCTTACGAACCTCGCTTCAGAGTTTAGCCAAGCTCCGGGGAACATAAGGTATGAGCACGGATTTTATGTATGTACGTATGTATTTTAAGCTGGATCTTGATGTTACCGTTATGATCTACCGCTAAGCTTAAACATGACCATACTATCTCGAATCTGCATTCATCAAGTCTTAGATAGGCTAAGACATGCCGTCCAGTGACCACAAATAACGAACGTGCTTTCTATTTACGACATAATGAAGCGAGCCAAGAAGATACTATGTTAGTTTGGAGATAAGTCACCATCTTTCTCTCACGCGGTTCACAGGTCCGGAAATCTCGAATATCAATTAACCTCGACATGCCTACCTGTTAGTACGTACCTAAACGGTAGTAGGTAACAATGGATGCATGAAATCTACAACGCCGCATTTCCGAACCAATTCCCGTCTACTGATGGAAAACATCTAAGTAACAGGTATATACCTACCTATGTAATTATTCACCAACATAGATTTCCGTGCCGAAAAGATAGAGAAACATCGAGCCGCGCGTTGTTACAACAGTCGCCTTGAACATGTGAGAAACTAAAATAATAATAGATGATGTGCAGAGATCAGAACTGAATAGTTCTGCAAGTATGTATTATTGCGTAGTAGTGTATCGTATCGAATCCTTCCATCGATAGACTACTGATAAGTTGAGAAGAAGTTGAAGAAAAAAAGAATAGCAGGGGTTTGTCTCCGGGAAGTTTGATCCCTGGGCGCGGCAACTCCATACTAATCTAAATCGGGTTTAATGCCATCCCAAATGAGGTTTAGATCGATTGAGCCCCAACCTTATTACGATAACTTAGGGGACTTTACAAGGGACTGCGAAACCACTACACGTTCCATCTTTGCCTCATCTATCTCGACTATTCAATGCCCTCAGACGGCATCGTCGTTCTCTCGACACCAACCTCGAGCTAAGAGATTTGGCGATAACGGACGATCCTAGCTCGAATTGGTCTTGCCCGTGTACTCGGACCCCTATCGACTCATAGAATCTCGTCCAAAATGTACTTAGTGTGTTCTAGCGTCAATTAACATGGTTGATAGAAGCTTCACCAGTGTGGATTGTCCACCCACATCGAAGAGATCCAGCCAATCCCGACCCATTCTGCTTCCCAGCTTGGTTTGTGCAAGCACCAAGTAACAAGATGATGGGACCCTTGAACGTGCAGAAGAATCCGTAGGCTCGAACCCGGAGCTGTCTAGCCCGCCCAGGACGCCACAGAATGCTACCCTCTGTCTAGTCCTTCGAGGAGCTCATGTCTTATTGTCGACTTCTTTTATGCATTCTTCTAACTCTGCCATCTCCTCTGGAGGAGACTTACGGCCTGGCGCACGTTCTTCGATTCATCGGCCTACGCTGCCCGTGGCCTCTACTATCCCTTCACTTCCATTCATCTGCTGGTTCAGGAATTTGCTTTTCCTAATTTGTGAGCTGGCTCTTGTATATGGCGCGCGTCTATGTTTTCCTTTCTATCTCGTCGTCTCTTCCTCTCACACGCAAACGAACGTCACTTAATTGTTGAGCGTAACTTCATCAAGTCTCTTAGTTAGATGACTTGACCACGACGGCAGGCGACTCTTTGGCCCGAAGCCCTCGCCTGAAGCTAATCGATTACGGGTCTCACGATGTTAAACAATATGGATCACTTCCATGGCTTGAATAACTTGAACAATAGCTGGGAGACAAATTCAAGCTCGTTTGGTTATTCGAATGGGATCTATCAAGCTGCTTCTAGCGGCAACTCGACGTTTGGTGTAATCAACGAGTTTAAGTTCCTTGCCGCAAAATCAATACGAACTTCAACAATCATCCTCGCCGTTTTCAACACAATATCAGCTTTTGCAACAGCAGCCGGTATCTACTACGACTGCTATGTATCAGCAAAACGGTCAAATTCAGAAGGCAGGGGAAGGTGAGTTGCGAGGCATCTATAGGTAATCTATGATAATGATACTAACGTCTGTCCCAAGCGTCAGTGTTTTTCGATGCGTTCGAGGACCGGAAACATACCCGTTTATTTTGTCCTTGGGAATCACAATTCAGGGTATTATCTTCGCTGTTTGTCAATCATATGGCTTAAAGGGTCTCTTCATACCCGGTTGCTCCCTAATATCACAATTCATGTGGCCTGGTATGTAACATCTCATATGACAATGCGTCGATAAGCAGTATACTGATATATATCAGCGATTTTCATTGTTCCTTACATACAGCTGGTCTTCGGACTTGAAGTAACCCTCCGAGCATTCAGAAAGACACCGTTCCAACCGAGAAACAAGTGGACTGTCCTCATATGTCTCGTACTAGTCAAATGCCTTCTGTTGTGTACCGGCTTAGTCGGCTTTTTCGTTCGACCTCCAAGTTTCTGCTTTGCTTCGCTTTTCTGGTTCGTGGCAAAATGGGCAGAAGGCGGCTTCGTACTCTTACTCCTGATTTCTGTCGTTTTGGCGATTTGCAGTGTCGTCATATTCCTGAAATTAACTCGACACGCAATGATCGAGGATTCCGAACGAGTCAGTGCCTCTAGGATGGTTTACTACCTTGCACTAGCTGTTGTTACCAATGTAAGCATTCCATGTCACGTTCTCTAGACACACTCTCACTAACATCCATTAGGCATTGATTGTACCCTTCTTCATATACTTATCCTTCAAGCACCCCTTAAATGATACTGCTGGGCTGACATTGTCTATGATCTCGACCGTCGTAGCTAATGTGACTGGGCTTACGACTGGAGGCCTTCACCTATTTCTCCGATCTAGAACTATCTCTACAATCGGGCCAACGGACAAGTTGGCTGAGTACGAGCGCCAAAAGATGAAACAGCAGATTCGGATGGGGGGAACGAGCAATGCTATGGACTTCAACGGTCACATCCTTCAGCCCGTATCGGGACCCAAGTTCTCGAAAACAGAAAGTCAAGAAGATCTTGTGGGCGAAAAAGGTGGTGATGCGGAACGCGGAGAAATCATATATCCCGGGGGTCCCCAGACTTTCGGCACGAGCGTTCTAAATCCTTTACGATCCAATGCGGTGTTTAATGCGACAAATTTCTCGCCAATCCCCGAGCCTATCCCAATCCCCCCTACCCCTACGGCTAACGTACACAGCCGGAAACCATCAGCTTCCTATACCCTCTTCCCTAGCAAAAATCAAGGCAATACGGCTTCAGTTGCACTGTTGCCATCCACCGCCTACAATCCTAACCCTCAGTCAACCTTAGCTCCAAATAACTTTCCGTTCGACGATATGAATGAAGCACTCAAACCGCCCCCGTCCGTCCGAACTTGGGGCCGTCATAGACGAGATTCGTCAATGGCATCGTCTGCAACAGTCCAGATCGGTCTGCGTATCTCGAATGTTGCGGACATAGGACCATTGCCCAAATCTTCGACGGAAATCGAGCGAGAATATCCTCAATATTATCCCCAGAACGAGCTACCAGCTACTACTTACCGGCCAAGCCCTCTCGCAACTTCCAATGCGCCGAGCTCACCAGTACTACAGAGTTCTATCAAACCAAAAGATACGAGTACGAAAAACACACCACCTGTATCCGTCAATTCCGATGGAGAGGAGAGCACCCGCACTCTCAGTCCGACAGTCTATAATCCGAACAGCCCTACGAAGGCAAAGACCCCGAGTCCAAAGGGAGTCGGATTCAACGTTCCCCGAAGAGCAAATACCACGCCAATACAAGGTACTTCGACACCGCCACCAACTCGAAGCCGTGGAAACTCGAGTGGGGTTGCAGATAGCAGGTCTGATTGGATTTAACGCCCATTAGACTTGTGAGGTTCACATTATCTGCTTTTGAGGTTATAGACAAAAGATGCATCAATATGTACCACTAGAACCGTCTCTCCGCCAAGAGACTGAATCCCTTCATTAGCTTTCCTTCGACTGTTGTCATTTTTGCTTTACAAAAGCGCGGTGAACTTCGTCGTTCTCTTGTAAATTTTCTTCTTCTCTTTTTCGATTCTTACACAAGCGGCGTTCGTGTGGTTGATACGATACCAAGACAGACGCTGGACTAAGACATTTTTTTGGTTCTATTTCTATACATCTCGGGGAGGCTGGGAGGGATACAGTATCATGCATATACAGGCGTCAATCAGAAAGACGGGAGTCGCCTCCCATCTTTTTTCCATTTCCGGGTGGTTTCACAATGGGAGGGCCATTGGCTAGTATAGCCACCATCCTGTGTGAACTCGCTGGGATGCTGTACGTTGGGGGAGGCATGTTGGATTTCTCAATGACTGGATGACAAGACAAGGCTACGGGCGAAGGTGTACTTGCGAAGGAGGAGCGGACGTGGGAGACCCTAGTGGTACGGACGGTAATAGTTGCCGGAGACGATCTAGCTAGGAAATCATGATTACCCACCATAAAATCTCTAAAGCGTTTATGATGTGATTTGATGCCGTGAGTTTTGTGAATCGGCCTTATGACGTTTTCTGATCATCGACTCGTGCCGATCGAGAAACGGGGCCGAAACGGAGGGATCGACTCTCAAACCGAAATGCAAAAACCCACCATACGCCCGGTTTGGTTTGTGAAACAGCATCCGGTGGCAGCCGATACACCCTACGAGTAGGTCATGAATATCGATAACAAAATAGGATCAAATTCAATTCCGACGAGCGACAATTATAAAACCAGTCATTTCTGCATCATGCTCATGAAGCGCAAAGAGTTGTACCATACGACCCCTCCTTCTATAAAAATAGGAAACTCATAGTAAGTATTATACAGGCCAACAAGTATGAGTTCGGAGGCTTTGAAGTGCTCAAGGAAATGAATGATACATAGAAAAATTTCATAAAATCATATCGTCATGATCATTGAAGATCTGGTTACACCGTGGCTGGCGGAGGACTAACAATAGCCACAATGTGGCTTAAGCTTAGAAACCAGGTACTGAGGTACTTTCATTTTTTCGGAGCTTAGAGCTTCAATAGACCCCTTCAAAAATTGTGACGGACATATCAACCTTAAAACCCCAACTTTAGTTAAAATTCCTGGGGTGGTAATTTAAATGACGGGGCTTTAATGAGGGCATGAGGTAGATATATGCCTAATCCGCACAATCGCCGTCCCTATGAGGTTCGCGGATATCCTCATCGACTTGGCCGCTGTCGTTAAAGCATCCCGGTCCGTCGCATCGAGGCATATAGAGCTTCGAGCTCGACAGATCGACCGCTATAGCCGGACATCAAGTATTGTGCGGTCATTGAGGGAAAATCAACAAAATGATTACCCGAAGCGTCCGGAAGCAACTCATGCTACCAATTCATCAACTGATGGCGAAGAGAAATTGCATGAGAATACTTCTCACGCTGACGTGGTGACGCCGGTATCCGAGAGCATAAAATCCGATGCGAACAACTCCCCTACAAAAAATCTGCAAAATGGTGCTGCAAAGTCACCTGTAGACCAGCCAGATGTCTACCGGAACCTCTTCCAACGCACTTCTCCGAGGGAAACAGAAACTTCACAGAGCCCCTCTATGCCACATGTGCAATCGAATCAGAACGCTATTCTGGCGCAACTGAGAAAAAACGCCAATGACGCTAAAGTGCGCCACAATACCGAATCAGCTGCGTTTTCCGAAATTGATTTGTCAAAATCGAGTGCATCCCCAAGTGCTACTATTCAAGCAGACACTCCTCCAGATGTGAATGTCAACGTATTTCATACCAGTCGGGGCTCGCAGATACTAGAAGGACAAAAAGATACCATACGGGCGAATCGACCTAAGGTTCCGGCTCCATCTCCTGGATGGTTCAAAGATTTCGGCCATGGAAGTGCAAACCCCCACCTTGACGAAACCAAGGCGCCGCCTCCTATTGCTGAGAGCGCGGCGACGCAGGGAGCTCCAACCGCGAATGAAAACGTGACACATGCTGCCATAGATAAGGACGAGTCACATACTAAAGGAGAGCCTCTCAGCCAGAAAGCTGACCAAGAAATACACGCACAGACAGTCGATGAAATTTCATCCAAAGTAGAAGCAGAGACAACTATAGCACCAAGCTTAGCTACTAAAACAGAAGAGATGTTTAGCAGCGAAACATCTAAATCAACTTACGCCTTAAAGGAGTCCAGGGTCCCGTCCACTCGTCTGGGCCGGCTATGGAACTACGGGGGACTGGCTGCCGGAATGCTCGGCGGAGCTATCAGTGAAGGGTTCAGCAGAGGGTTAGGGGGTGGTAGTGAAGGCTCGGTATTGTTCAGCCCTGGAAATATGGAACGATTAGTCGCTAAGCTCTCGCGAATGAGAGGCGCGGCCCTTAAGATAGGTCAGGTGATGAGTTTTCAGGACTCTAAGATGCTCCCTGCACCGATCCGGGAGGTTCTCCAGCGAGTACAGGATCGCGCAGACTACATGCCTGCATGGCAGCGCGACAATATGCTCTCAACGAGTCTTGGACCCGAATGGCGAGACTTGTTTGACGAGTTTGAAGATAAACCGATAGCGGCGGCGTCGATTGGTCAAGTCCATCGCGCGACACTCAAATCTACGGGCGAGAAAGTCGCAGTCAAAATCCAGTTCCCCGGTGTTGCCGATTCGATTAATTCGGACTTGGATAATCTGTCTATGCTATTGACTGCATCCAAGCTGCTACCGAAGGGGCTATATCTCAACAAAACGATCGACAACGCGCGAACGGAACTTAGTTGGGAGTGTGACTACGAGCGAGAAGCAAACTGTGGGAGACGTTACCGAGATCTCTTAGCCGACGAACCGGACGTCTTCGTGGTACCCAAGATCCACGCCGCCGCCTCTGGAAAACGCGTTCTAACGATGGAGTTTATGGAAGGGATAGGCGTTACGCGCAGTAAATCCTTCGCGCAAGAACAGAAGGACTGGATTGGCACGCAGATCTTGCGGCTCTGTCTGCGCGAGATCACGGAGTTCCGCTTCATGCAGACGGATCCCAACTGGACCAACTTTCTCTACAATGCCACTACTAACAAGATCGAACTTCTCGACTTCGGCGCCTCACGAGAGTTCCTCGAGCGCTTCGTCGCGCAATACGTTAACCTGCTAGCCGCGGCCTCGCGCTCCGACCGCAAGACCATTAAGGAACTTTCCGAAAGACTGGGATATCTGACCGGCCACGAGAGCAAGACTATGCTTGATGCGCACATCGCCTCAATTCTAACACTCGCCGAACCTTTCTCTGAATCTGCGCCAAAGGTGTACGATTTCCAAGACCAGACAATCACAGACCGCGTCAAGGCGCTGATCCCCGTCATGATTAGGGAGCGGCTCAGCCCGCCGCCCGAGGAGACGTATAGTTTGCATCGGAAGCTTAGCGGCGCGTTCCTTCTTTGCGCCAGGTTGGGCAGCAGAGTGCCGTGCCGAGAGTTATTCGAGCAGGCGTTGGGGAAGATGGATGTTGTACGATAAACTAATGTACATATACTATAATTGTCTGCCTCTGTATAAAAGACCCGCGAGTTGCCATGACATAAAAGGGGAAACGGAGCATTGATAACGAGCATGGACAGGATAGCGGGAAAATGGTATCATTGATGTCTAAAGTCATAGGTAATAGATAGACCGTAGGCAGGGCATAAACCTCACGCCCGACCCAATCAAGAGAAAAAACTCCCTTCATCACCCTCATCACCACCATCGCACCCATCCTAACCATGCCCATCAACTCGTCTCCCGTCTCGGCATCGGCATCGGCGCATCCCTCCTCTCCCTCGCCGCCAACTTCTTCCTCCTGCGCTCAATCACACGATCCACCTGCTTCTTCTTCAGCCCCGCGAACCGATCCACCAGCAACCGCTTCTTCTGCTCGCTCTTCTTCAGGTAAAACGGCTTCTTCCCCTGCTTCACCAGCTCCTTCTCCTGCTTCCGGTGCTCCTCCATCATCTTCCTCTCATTATCCCGAGACTCTTGCGCTTGCCGTCGTCCCTGCATCGATTTCAACGCTCGTCGTAACTCCTCCTTCGACGACTCGTCTCGTGTCTTTCGGATCGCGAGACGTAGCGCCGCCATCTCGTCGTCTTGGTACTTGTCCAGGAAGTCGTACGCGCGTCGCGATTTCTCTTCGTCGAGAGGACGCCCCGATACCGCGGAGGAGAAGCGCGGGTCCCGCGCTATGGGCTTGTGCACGGCTATTACTTCCCGCTTCCGGCTTACGGGCCGCTTGCTTGATTGCTCCGCCGGCGCGTGTTTGCTGGTCCGCTGCAGTTTATGCCGCGGTTTTTCGTGCGCTCTGGAGTCGGGCTGGTCGCTGTTTTCGGACTCTTCGTCGGAGGCTTGGGGTCCAAGCCCTTTGCCCCGCCGGCTGTTGGGGAGCGAGGCTTGGGCTTTGGCGAGGGCGCCGAAGGATATTTGGGAGACTGCTGCTGAGGGGTCTTCTACTTCTTCGTCATCATCGTCGCTGTCTTCGGATGCGGAGTCGGACTGAGGAGGTTGTTAGTGCTAGGCTGGTGAATTGTGGAGGGAGAGTGTCGCTTGCCTCTTCGTCGTCCTGTTGTAGGTCCTCTTCACTTGATCCTTCGGAACCCTCGTCTTCACTACTTCCTTCAATTGGGGACTCATTGCTAGGTATTTCTTCGGGCTCGTCCCTTCTTGCTCGTATGCGCCGTTGGATATTGGAAAGCGGCGCTTTCCGCTTGGATTTTGTTGTTATTCTCTCCATTTTAGATGTGTAAGTAGAGTAAGAGAGGTAGGTGATAGAGAGTGTGTTTCTAAGCTTTACCTTCTCAAAAAAGGTGGCGGTGATAAGATAACGCCTTTATCGATAACACTTTTAAAAATATCTAGCCCCACCTTCGCAGTTACCTGTATACAGTATTCAATGGAATATTTGAGTGCACGAGGACTTCTTCCTACTTTCACTTTACTCTAATTGTTCCAGTTTGTTGCCATTCTCTCCTCATGAGGTGTAGTTACCCCAGAAATGTGCTGAGTTTCAGCGCAAAATTGTCTCGTAGACTTACAACGCCTCATCCCAACTACGCAAAAAATCAATTACAATCCCGTCTTTTCACTTCAACTTCGAAAACCGAAAGAAATTCCAATGATCAATACATGACTTCCAAGACCAGGCTGAAAAAAAAGTTGAAAATGATGGCTGATAAAAACGAGATATCTCCAGCCCCCCCTAAAATATTCAGTGAAATCTCTCTCGAGGGAGGCCGCAACTGGCAGGGTGAACAGTCGACGGATCAACCGCAGACATGGGGAACGTTGAAGAAATTACTTAAATCCGAAAAAATCTACCGCTCATCAAGAAAAAAAAGTCCTACTCTCAAGGCAAAAGAGTCCGATCCACGAGGGCCTTGGATACCTTTCAAAGCATTACAGCGGGATAGAATTAATCCACCATCGGCGGAATCAGGCGGAATACCCGAGCCTTCTCAATCCTACCTCGACTATGCGTCGCATCCGCCCTTCGTCCTACCCGACCCGCGCGTCATCCTCATAGTCCTCGACCTGAACGGCACCCTCATCTTCCGCCCGTCAAAAGAAAACCCTCACAAATTCGTATTGCGCCCGTACGCGTTCGAATTCCTAGCTTACTGTATCCGCACCTTTAAGGTCGCCATCTGGTCCTCTGCACGGATAAAGAACATCATCATGATATTAAATAAAATTCTCACCGAGGAGCAGCGTTCTCGGCTTGTTGGAGTCTGGGGCCGTGAACACTTTGGTCTCTCGCAGGACGACTTCAAGAGCCGAACCATGTGCTACAAGAGACTAACAAAGCTATGGGACGACCCAGCGGTCCAGGCCACTCACCCGGATGCTGGGCTAGATAAGCGTTGGGATCAGACCAACACATTGCTTATCGACGACTCAGTTGAGAAAGCTCGCAGCGAACCCTTCAATCTCGTACAGATTTCCGAGTTCCTAGGCAACCCTACCGAGACGGGATACGTCATTCCCCAGGTCCACGATTACATAAACGAGTGCTCCCGTCAGCTCAATATCAGCTCGTATATCAAACAGAAGCCCTTCGTGCCCGATTACAATTTCGTTCTTGAAGCTCCGAAGAAACAATGGTGAAGTACCGAGGCAAGACGGACCAAAATAATGATACGAAGCATTGTGAAAAGCCTCGGCGAGAAATCAATCGGAGGTGCCAGGGAATAACTATATTAGATTAGATACCCCAAGGTATGGAGTGTATTGGAAGACTTAGGATTGAGCACCGGAGTTCTATGGCGTTGGGTCAAAGAGTGACGTTTTGCGATGGATACGGCATTGGTCCGATGTGGGTATTGCTTGCTTTACTAAGCTATCGCATCTCGATTCACATTGGGGGTGAGAGATGGCGGGAGATTCTGCTTGGCTAGGGGATCAGGTTAACGATCTGGATGGATGGTGAATACTCATCTTGATGCCCCTTTTCTACTCTTTAACCTCCATCCATCACTCCCCTCGTAGCTCAGTAAGTAGGTACGTCCCTAGAGCGCGAGAAGCTTCAATTAGTGTACCAAAATACGAGACAGACCGATTTATTCATCCGACTCGAATGTCATACCCAAATCGAGTTACAGATGAACCATTCTCGATCTGTCTGGTCACCTATACGGAAGCTTACTCGCACTTCTAGAGAGGGCATATTGCTGAGGCCGAGATGGCTTCTCTCGTGGCCGTTAAGCACCTTCTTACTCAAGTACCTACCTAGTTAGATACTTTAATTAGGAGCAACAGCTTCGATGAGCCTAGCATAAAGGGTTCAATGCCTACCTATAGGTAGCAGTCAACCTCAATTAAAAGAACTGAAACAACCGATCTGATATAAATCTTAAGTCTCCTTATATATGTGCTACTTTCTAAGACTTCCCCCCTGGTTCTAAGTCTACGCGGTATCTAACCTCTACATATCTACGCCTACCTAGGTACCTATCTACTTCTCTCTACCCCTTAAACCTACCGATTTGCTCATGTACAGCTTCCTAGGTATCTAAACCCCTATCTATTCCCTACACACCTACCCAAAAACCGCCTTCAACCCCCTCAAAGCCTGCTCATTCGCCGCAAACAGGATCCCCCCCGCCATCACCGTCCGCCCCAACCTCATCACCGTCCCCCTCCAAAACCCCCTCACCCCGTCCTCGCGGTATATCCCCCTTACGCACTCCCCCAAACTCACCACCTTCGCCTGCTGCGCCGTCGTCTTCACCGTGTCGAACGGCTGCGTCGCGAGCGTCGTTATCGTTCCTGCTACCGCCCCGTTCGCGAAACTTATACTTGTGCTGGACACGGCGAGGGAGGCGCCGAAGTGGGAAGACTCCCAGTCTTTCAAAGCGGCGTAGGTCCCGAGCCGGAACCCGGTTGTCCCGGTTTGTTTGAGGGTTGTGGGGATGTACCCGGAGTAGAGGGCGCGCCGGAGGCCTTGCGTGTGGATGAGGGTGCTGATGCAGTGCAGGGGCGAGCGGAAGCGTTGGGTCGTGCGGGAGTCGTCGATTAGGGCCGTTTTTATACGTTCGCTGGGCGTGACGATTAGGGTTGAGGCGAGGATGCCGGTGAGCACTGGGTGGGTTAGTAGGGATTGAGGGATGGAGAGGTTAGGAGGTTAGGGGGGTGAAGGGGTGAAGGGTAAAGGGGGTGGTGAGAAGTGAGTTTGAAGCTGACTAAGGTCAATAGGGGTGAAGTGAAGTGCCGAAAAGGAGACGGGGATCTTGGCGATGCGTACTGCCAGAAGCGATGGACTGCGCGGTGGACGACCGGTGAGTCTCGGGGTCCTCGAAGAGTGAGCGGATGCTATCGAAGGTGACGAAGCGCACTGCGTCTTTGCCGATGGAACCCTGCAGCCGCGCGGATAGGAGCGGCGGGTCAGCTGAAATGCGCGTATGCAGAACGGTGGATAGGACATGTAGGTATGTATGTATGTGGGTATGTATATGTATCCTGTATTACTACGTCTCCACGTATAACATGACAATATATAACAATATATCTCCCGGGATCAGATTTACGAGGGTTACGCAGGAAAGGACTGTGCGACCCGGGGGACGACGGGAGGAAAGCGGGCTGAAGGAGATGCATGTGGGATGGGACCGCATGCAATGCAAGGCACACAGGGGGGCGCGCAGAACAGGCTCGCTCCCCGGCGGCCGAATCACGTAGATCGTGCGCGGGTACGACGTTGAAAAGCAGAGCATAAGGCTAGGATGAGAGAGACATGCATACTGCAACTCGCAGAAACGGGAGGCCAGCTCGTCGACCTGCAGAGCTGGGGCTTTTGTTTTTTTTGTCTTGTCTTTTTTTTTTTTTTTTCCTCTTTTCTCCCCCTTGTCCTTGTCTTGGCTTCTCGATCGAGTAAGTGATACGATGTTATGTATCCGCGTATTGCTTTTTTCGATATGCCACGGCTCCTTTTGCGGGTTGGGGATATTATTGTGTATGTAGGTATGTATGTAGGCATGTACATACTTACATATCTCCCACATCCACGTAAGAGGCTTCTCGGGGAATTGGTAATTGCCCGAGAAGCATGACATCTTCCCCGCGGACACCGAAGGAATGACAAGCTGGTCGTCGGGAAGGAAGCGAAGGAATATATCAAGGCAGCAAGGTAAAAGGGTAAAAGACAAGACAGAAATTAGATCGATAGGCGAATGAGACAATGATATAACACATACCACGATCATAGTCGAGCACCCTTTGTACAGCGCGCGTAGTCCCTCTTCCCTCGCAACCTTGGCCACGACCATGAACGGGTTTCTGATGCCCTCGTGGCCGTAGAGCTGCACGCGCGTCTTCGCGAACTCGAACGGGTATGTGCAAGCCGACTCGACACCTCCCGCGATCCCGCCGGCCACCAGCGAGATCACGGGGGAAGTCTTGCCGTCCGTGCCCGCGACCATCCTCTTCCGTCCTCTCACCCTCTCTTCCTTTCTGTCTCTATATCTCGTATTCAGCACCTACTTTCACGGCATGTGAAAACGAGGCAGAAGACGTTGTTACCCCTTGTGATTTGTGATTGCTTATGAGGATGAGGCGAAGCGAATCGATGCGATGTGATCCGGTTCTTTGAAACAGGAGGATAGGTCTGGTTGGGATGACGTTTAGGAAGTGCGCTGTGGGAGAAAGATACCCCCCCATATGCAGTTAGGTCCGAATAATAGTTTCATAGCGGGTTGGTTATTAATCCCCCACTCAACTTATGCATGTTGTTCTTGGTACTTGCATTTATGTAAGGATCGATTGGGATGGCTTCGTGGGGGGCGGGTAGTGGCGTCTTGAAGATCGTTGGTTGGGGTCATATAAACACGGCGCCAACAATAATCATCGTGATAGGTACCTACCTACCTAGGTATCTACCTACTACTCATGCACAGTACAATATTGGATATGTTGGAAGACATGGCTGATTTTACCTCCACCCCCCTTAAATATCACACCATCTTTGTAACTAACTAGATCAGTAAGCCAGTCACTTACGCACAAGTATCAAGACGGGGAGAAGGCTTTGAGGCCTATTTCATGAGGCGTATTGTCATGTCATCGTTATAGGCCTCATATATCCAGTACCAACATGTACATCTGGAAGCTGGCAGTTCCGTCAGGATATGGAACTGCCGCTCCTGCGAACAACAGGATCAGGGCGTCCGTCGCCGCAATCCGTTTCACGAGGTACTCCATACCGACCTCTCTGCCTCCTCCAAGCACTTAATAAGAGCACTAGGATCACTAGGGTATCCAGCCAAGCCAATATCTATTCATGACCAAACCCACAATCATGCCATCCCCAAACATGTCTGAATAGAACCACCTAGATCACCCAGTAGAATTTGAACGGCTAGTTCCCGCGACTCGAAGCGCTGTTCTCTCTGAAAAGATAAGCCGAGCAGCCCGACAAGCCGCGATCAACCGTATGCGGGGCCGTGTCCGAGATGATCCCATTCGGCATTCATTGCTTCTACCTGGCCGACATCGGCCCATACGTCTAACTTCTCGAGCTCTCGCTTGAAGAAATCTTGCTCGTTCCGCAGCGCCTCCCTAATATCCGCTGCCATCTGTTCAGGGTACCTCCGGACGTTGAACCAGTGGGTCAAGCTCCGGAGGGCTTGCTCGAGTGGCAGCGCCTCCTCGACTTCCGCATCCACGTCGCTACCCGCTAGCCACTCATCTCGAAGCTCTGGTCGGCAATGCAAGTAAATGGCGGTGATAACGCGCATATTACTCTGCCGCCACTTGCGGCCGCAGTAAGGTACTTGGTTCTTGAACAGCTTGAGCGTATAGAGCCGCAGCTCGTTCTGTGGTACCTTAAGTGACTTGCGTATAATATTAGACGACTTATACTGGACGAGTAATAAATTGCGATGCGCCTTATTCTTGCAGATCTTCTGCATGATTCGCAGATAGTTGATGAGGGCAAAGAAATTGCGGCGAGAGAAGTCGGTAATAGGTTCATTCGGCAGAGGGTTTACTGGGTAGCCCAATTCGTCTACTTCAGGACGAGTGGGTACCTGCCCTTCCGTCGTTGCAACATCGCCCATTTCAGCGGCTGCAGACACTTGTTCAGGTGGTGATCGTCGTCGTTTGATAGGTGGAGGTGCCGCATCGTCCTCGCTTTCCTCCTCAGGTCCGTTAATCTCAGCCGGTTCTTGCGGCATCTTATCCAGGGGATGGACACGCTCATTACAAAATTGGAAGAAACTATGACATGTGAGATAAGAAATATCATAAAATCGCTTAAGACCTTACCTATTTTCGAGGCGATCTGTTTTGCTATCGACCACCTGCTGAATGTCTTGATGCGCGAATAGCTTTAGCACCAAAGGAAGATAATTAGAATCCAATAGTAGCTGCGACAGGTATTCGAACTTTAGAACATCTAGAAGAAATCAGTATAGCGAGGTAACATAGAGATGCGAGTAACATACGCGAGATCTTGAGCCATTTCATGAGTAGAAGAATAATACCCGTGGCGGCTTTCGATTCGATTTCTCTGCATCTTGTGCCATCTAAGTCATCCAAAGAAGGTTCAGTGCCATCCTGGTTTGCCAAGCTGCTGGCGCCCATGGAGCTATCTTGCGATCGATTTGTCGCGACACCACCATTGACGCGGGGCTGGGAGTTCACTTGCATTCCCGATTGCTGCTGGCTATTAGCTGGCAGGGTAATACATGCAGTAACATTGAATAATACGCCCTTCATAAGGACTATCACTAAGGACTGCAGTTGCGGCAATGCAGCGGCCTATCATTAATTAGTAAGGGCCCGGTCACTATAGGTGGCAGAGATACTCACATAAAATGATTCGATAGCTTCTAGTCGCCGCTTGACTTCTGGGTCAAGATTCGGGTTCGGACCGTAATCGATCTCGGCCCCTCGGATTTTTCTCTCCCTCTTTTGAATTGCTTCGAGAATTTTGTCCTCGTCAACATCGTCTCCAAGTTCTAAGGCATCCAAATCCAGATCTTCAATGTCATCATCTGACGGGTCCCATCCCCTCTCGAATCTTTGGAACTTCTCCCGCTCTTCCCATAGCTGTCTTGTAGCCCGGGTCATTCGTACTCTCCTAGCGAATAGCTCGCCTGCCTCGAGAATGGATGCAGGTACATCACTGCCTTCCCATTTACGGCCGACAAGGATATCCTGTAGACCAGCCCCACCCTTGCCTCCCGCACTGTTGCTAGTAGCGTCTAATGGAGGGTACATGAACGGAAAATTCTGATTCGTTTGGTAGTTCTGCTTCTTGCCTCCCTTTCCACCAACTGCCGGAGACGGCGGAGGAGACGGAGCTGGGGTGGCAATGTGGACAGGTTGATGTAGGATCGACGCCCCTCCGTTTTGTGTACCTGGAGCAGCCGGAAGTATACCATTCGACCCATTATTTCTAGTAGGGTGGTTGGGCAGAGGAGGCAAGAGTGAAGTATTATCTGCTTCGAGTGGTATTATTGGTTGAGGAGGTACATAAGCTGGGTATTTCGAAGTAATTTCTTGTCGAAATACATGATAGTCGAGAGGTGTAGCCATGATTAGGTCTTTCTCCTTGTCGTCCACGGCCGTTTCTCGTAGGGCCTTTTTAGTGTCATCAATCTCCTTGGTCCCACCAAACTCAAGAAGGATTGATTTCCATAGGAGCAAAAGTGTCTATTTCGTTAGTAAGATATTGAAAATGCGCCAAGAGAGTTCGTACCTGAGGAGCTGGTACAACGTTCACTTCTTGCCATCGAAGCTTTGCCGACGCCGAGAGCATGAATGTTGTCAAATGAGGATCCAATTCCACTACTCTAATTAGCTTCATATCCAAACAGAAACTCGGTGATCGAATACTCACAAAGCGTGCGCCGCACCAAGTTCATGTCGTCTAGGTCAATGAGTGTTTCTTGTATGCACATATACATGATGGTCATTAGGTTCGTCAGCTCATCTTGGGCCTCTGTTAGGCGATTACCTTGAGGTCTTATCGATTCGTCTACCCTAAACAAGGATTAGAGTGATATAAAAGGGGTTGAAAAGATAAAATACCATAATGATTCATAAGCATTGCGTAACGCCGTCCATACAATAGGAATGCCATTCCACTCAGCGAGTAGCTTTACTGCAGATTTCATAGCAGCAAGTTGAGCTGGTGTTGCGACGCTTCGAATTTTTGTCCTATCTCCTTGAGGGGCCCCAGCCGTGTCGGCCCATCGACCCAGGATGAGATAAGTAAGTCTCCCTATCGCAGCAGCACGTATACCAGCATCGCTAGCTTTGATGCCATCCAGGGCCTGCTGGATGAAATTCGTTCTGACCTCGTCATCTGCTTCATCCCAAGTTATTTCATCCTGTCTTGCCGCGATATCATGTTCCCACTGCCACTCAAAAGCTCTCTGGACAGAAGTCAATCTTATCCATTGCGAAAATTGGTAGACGAACCACTCGTCGATCTCCTCTTCATTTGGGCCCGTGTCAGAATATTCGAAATCGTATGCGGGGGCTTCGTTACGTGGAAACTCAGACACTATGCGCCTCAGTTGAGCTAACGATAATGAATCCTGGGGCTGATTGCTCGTCGGCGGAGTAGGTTGCGTAGGTGGATTAGGCTGAATTTGATTTCGCTGCATTGGAGGTCGAACGGGTATGGGTTGCCGAATGGGCGCTGTATTCGCGGTTCCAGGGCCGACATCAGCAACGCCTGTGTCGGCAACATCTTCTGGAGCTTTCAGTGGATCAGCGCCATCGTCGGCAGCTCTTGACCATAACGAGTTCATGATGTGTCGATGCGTTGAGGGGGTTGCGATTAACGCGCTGTCACTTAAGGGTACATAACGAGAATCCAACTACAGGTGGCCATACATAGCTCTTCGAGAGTATGTAGTAAAAGAACGCCAAGAATATGCAAAGAGAGGTAATCCTTAACCTGGGCTAATTTCGCAGTGAAGCAGTGAAGAATATTTGAAGCTGGTTAACGACAACGCGCAAATCGATGAAGTGGGTTGGTGGGTTGAAAATGTACCTAGGTACCGGTGAGCAGCTCGGAAAGTGAATGGGGCGTGCATAGCTTGGGAAAATAAGGTTGTGGCGCGAGCTCAACAAATCATTAAATATGGTTTGTTGCATTTAACTTATGCTTATAAGAAGTATTATATAACTCGAGTTGTAAGTACATTACAAAATATTGAAGATTTATAGGAATACCTATTTTGATATAGAAAGTAAAAATAACAGCTATATATTGACAAAATATACCTAGTACGTATTTGTATATATCTGTTTCAAGAAGTGTAGTCATAATATTTCTCATTGACATTAACTTGATCCTACTTTGAACTCGGGCTACTATCCCTGCTATTTTGTTCAGAAGCTCCATCACCTTTCATGCTCTGTTTTAGCTCTCTTGCCTTGGCTCGGCGCTTTAGTTTCTTCTGCTTGTTTAGCCTCTGTTTCTTTTCTTTTAAGTGCTGCTCCTTGTCGACAAGCTGTTTCTTTGCATTCTCCTCGAGTTCCTTTTTCGCTTTTTGCCGCACCCTGAGAATTATTCTCCGCTTCTTCCCCGGCCTCTTCTTCTGCTTCCCTATGCCAGTCGCTCCATTGGAACTAGTAGAGCCACTTGGGGCGGCAGTTTTCTTATTAGTTGTGATAGTAATAGTTGTCACTTTCCATGGCTTTTCCAGTCCCCATCGTCTCTTCTTTGCGTCCTGTAAAAGGTAATCTGCACTTACAGAAGCCACTCTGAATTCATTTGCAAGTTCAGGTGGTGGCTCACTAGCTAAATAATACGAGATGGGGCGTTTTTGTACCACAAAGGCGCCCTCGCCGGCCTTTTCAGTGCCGATGTCCTGCGATTCGAGGACTACCTTGTGAGATGGCTCTTCATTTCGGAACAATCGAAAAGTAAACGCCTCTTCTCCAGATTTTTGAGCATCTTCGTCGTCGCCAACGAGATCATCAGCTGCGTTCTTTATTCGAGACCCTGGGGGGATTTGTGCGATATCATCTCCATCTGCTTCGAGATTAAGACCTAGCAAACCGGAAAGCTGCGCATTGAGTTTTCCACGTAAGGTTGAGTCTAATTGATCATCCTGCATTGACTCGTCCTCTGAGTTAGACTCATATAGGTCTTCTCGTCGAACTCTTTTGATATTTACTATTAGTCTGAGAAAGGGGGAGTCATATATAAGAAGTATCATACCGTTTAGCATCGGGAACTTCGAGCATGACGTCCGTAATATGAGCGCTTCGCCTCGAGCGTGGGGTTTAAAATGAGTACGGAGGTCAATAGCGTGTTATGAATAATAATTATGTGGCTTGGTTGTACAATGATGAGGGTGAGATGAGGGATGATAGGGTGGACCATAAGCCCGTATCCGCCAACCCGCCAATTCAATTAATGTATTAAAATGTACACAGTATGAATAAGCAGTATATATGGAACTTATACTGTGCTTTATAGTTTACAAAGCGTTATTAATGTTTAATGATAATATTTTTAATATTTAAGTAAATATATACTTATTATAAATAAAAATATTTTTTATTTTATAAAGTTTTTAATTTAATAAATTAAAATAAGAAAATAACGTTAATTTTTATTATTAAATTTTACGGCTTATTAATAAAAGAAAAAATAAAATGAAAATTATATAAATAAATATTTATTAAACTTAAAGAAAAATATAATTTATTTTTACTTTTTATTAAATATATATTATATATTATTTATTTTTTACTTTATTTTTTAATTTTACGTTAATATTCGAATCTTATAATTTACTTATTTAATTAATTTTCTTATTTTAACGTTATATTTAAGTAATTATTTAAAACTTAATGCGAATTAACGTTAATAAAATTAATTATTTTATTATAAAAAAAATTATAAGTTTTTAAAAAAAAAATAAATTATTTAATTATTTATATTTAAATTTTTTTTTTTTTTTTAAATAAATATTATTAAATATTAAAGTTATAAAACTTTTTATTTTAAATATTTAATTTATAAAAAATAATTAAGAAAAATTAATATTTATTATATTAAATTTTTAACTTATTTTAAAATAAATATATTTCATTTTAATAATAAATTTTATTTAAATGTAAAATATAATAATATTTAAAAAAATTTATAAATATAATAATATTTAAGTAAAAATCGAACGATTTTTATTAATTATTATTTATATTTTTACTTATTATTTAAATTTTCGATATTATTTTTTTTACGGTTAATACTTAATTTTCGAAAAAAGTTACTTATTAATTTAACGTGTTTAATTTAATTTTTTCTTTTTATTAAACGAAATAATAATAATAATAATAATTAATATTAACGTTAAAAAATCGTTATTTACATAATTATTTTAAAATTTTATTAAAAATATATTAAACGTATTAAACTAAGTTTTACATTTTACATTTAAATATAAAATCTTTATAATTTATTTAATAATTTATATTTTTAAACGTGTATCGTAACGGTTTATATTATATTTTTTTCACTAAAAAACGGAAAAAAAAAAAACGTAAAAAAAACGGTATTATTAATAAAATTAAACACGTATTTACTTAATAAAAACTACGTTAAATATAAATTTAATTACTTTAAAATATTATTATTAATATATAACACCGTTTTTTAAGTTTATTAAAAATATTATTTTTTATATTTTTATAACTTTTTTATAATAATAATAATAATAATAATAAAAATTATAATAATTAACTTTATTATAAAACGAAATTAAAAAATTAAGAAATAATAACGTTATTACGCGAAAAGTTTTTAATTATTTTTTTTATAAAAAATACGGTATATATATAAGTAAAATTTTTTATTTATTTTATTCCTAAAATTAACCGTAAATAAAACTTTTACGAAGATTTTATAAACTTAATTTTAATTTTATAAACTTTTAATTATTAACTTAAAAGAAAATTAATATTTAATAAACTTTTTTTACGTTTAAGATTTTATTTTTAAATAATAATTTAAATTTACGTTTTTTTAACTTTAAATATTTTTTAATAAAATAAATAACTTTTAAATATATAATTACTTAGTAAATAAATTATTATAAATAAATATTATAACTTATTTTTTTAAATAATAATTATTTACCGCTATATATTAAAATTATATATATACGTTCATTTAATAAATAAACCGGACTTAATATAAATATTAAAAAACTAATTACATCGAGGGTATACGTATTATTTATTACACGGGGATTAATGTTAAATATCGTTAATATTAAAATAAATATTATTAAATAATTATATATTATATTATTAAAAATATAATTAATTAAAAAAACATGTTAATACATGAAAAAGTTATACATTAAAATTAACACGAAATTATCGGGCGTTTAAAACTTAATATAACTTTAACGTTCATTAAATAAATTATTATTAAATAAAAACGTAGTTTCCTTTTCGAAAAAAAAAGAAAGAAATTACGAACTTTAAAACCTTAAAAAATTATTACATTAATTTTAAAATACTATTCCAAACTTTTATATTAACCTTTATCACATTATCATTTATTTTACTTTATATTATTTAAGTTACGAAGCGAAATTAAAAAACTTGGAAATAATAACGTTATTACGCGAAAAGTCCTTAATTATTTTTATTACGAAAAATACGGTATATATATAAATAAAGCTTTTTATTTATTTTATTTTTAAAATTAAAAATTAACGAAACTTTTACGAATTTAACGGGAACTTTATAAGTTAAATTTCGATTTTATAAATATTTAATTATTAATTTTTTTTTAATTAAACGTAAAATAATTTTTATAAATAAAAATATAATAAAAAAAGTGGTAAAATAAATAAATATTTAATAAATATACGACTTTTATAATTATATTTAATAATATAAAGTTATAATATTTTTTTAATTAATTAAAACCGAGTTTTTATAAAAGTTTTATTATTTTAATAATATAATTTAAATTTAAATACGTATTTTTTAATTAATCGAAATATTTATCGATAAACCCTCGCGTTTTTAAAATTAAGCTTAAATAATTAAATATATAAATATTACTTACATTATATAAAATCGGAAAAACGCCGGTAAAATATATATATATTATTTTATATATATTAAATAAAAAATTAAATATCGTAATTTAAACTTTTAAACTCGATTTTAAAATTTATATTTTTTTATAATATTAAATTTTTAATTAATTATTTTACATTTAAAATATTTTTAAAAGTTTAATAATTAAAATAATTTAATTATTTTTATAACGTGTTTTTAAATAAATTTAATTACATTAAAATTAATAAAAAATTAAATCGAAGTTTTATAATTAAAATTAAATTAAGTTAAAATTAACTCGAATCGATCGAAATAATAACTAGTTTTTAACTTTAAATATTATAATTAAATAAAAGTTTAAAAATTAAAAAAAAAAATAATATATAATTTAAATTAAACGTTTTTAATTAAATTAAATTAAAAAAATTAAAACGTCGAATTAATTAAGTTACGAATGGTTAAAGTTAATTAAATATATAATGAGATTTTAATATAATTTAAAACGTGTTCGAATTAACGTTAAGCTTTTTTTCGATATAATGCGCGTATTAATTAAAATCATATAACGCGAATAATATTAATTATAAATATTTTAATATTTAACTATTTATTTCTTTTAATTTTTAACGAATATATAAAATTTACATTATTTTTAAAAAAAAAAAAAAAATTTTACATTATACGAGGTAATTTATTTAATTTAATTTAATTTAATTTATAATAATATATTTTATTATATTATTATTAACTCGTAACGTTATTTATAATGTTTAAAATAAAAATTAAAAATGTTTATATAATAATTATAATTATATATATAATTTTAAATTTAATTTAGTTTAATTTTAAACGGTATAACTTTTATTTATATAAAATTTCCTTTACCATATATATATTAAAAAGTTTTAACTTAAACACTTAAAAATTTATTCGATAATAATTTTTAAAATTATTTTTATTATGAAAATATTATTTATATAATAATTATTTTAAATTTATATATATTTTATATATTTTTTTAAATATATTAACCATATTAAATTTAAGTTATTTTTTTTTATAAATTAAAAATATAAAAATAAATACTTAAATATAATTAATATAATATAACGCGTGGAATTTTTATTATTTATTTTTATAAAAATATTTTTTTAAATAATTTTTTTTAAAACTTTATTCATTTAAATTATTAATTTAAATATTATTTTTTTAAATTCTCATTTTATATTTATTATATACATTATGAAATTAAAACTTTAACCCGATTTTTTAATTATAACGAAATATATGTTTCAAATTATAAATAAATTATCGTTATATAATAACTTGCTTATAATTAATTATAGTTAATAAATCGTGACTATTTTTTAAAAAATGGAAATAAATGTTAATATTATTAAAAATAATGTTTACACGTTTAATATTAATTATTACGTTTAAAATTAACGTGGTAAAACTTAAAATTAACGTTATATTTTTAAAAACCAATGTTACAACTTTAAAAAAAAATGTTACGATTTTAAAAAAAAATGTTACCATTTTTAAAATAAATATTACCGCTTTTAAAATAAATATTACCATTTTTAAAATAAATATTATTACTTTTAAAGTTAATGTTATTACTTTTAAAGTAAATATTACCACCTTTAAAATTAATGTTATTATTTTTAAAGTAAATATTATTATTTTTAAAGTAAATGTTATTAACATTAATACCCGGCTTAACACTTTCGAGTTTTATTTTACCGTTTCGTAAATTTTTCTTTTTAATTATTATTTTTATATATTAAAATATTAATTATACGTTTATTATAAAAACGAAAATATAATTTTACGCTTCGTTAATAATAATATTAAAAATTATATAATCACGTTACGATTTTTTAAAAATTCGAATAATATAATTATTAATAAATTTAAAGTAACGGTTAAAAAAATTAAAAATATATTAAATAAAAATTTATATATTAATTTATAATTAATATTAATTATTTTTTTAAACTATAAATTAAATATAATTTTCCGTAAGTTAAATATAAATAATAATAAAACTTATAATAATAAGTTATAAAAACTTTTATATATATATAATATTATTTTATTACGTAATTAATATTTCGATAAAATTTAATAAAAAATAAATTTTAAGTTTAATAAAA